TATAAAAGGATATGATCCAAATGTAAAACACAAGGAATAAAAAACAAGAGAGACGCCACAATGGTGAAGAAAAGCTAACTATAACATCGATGTTCAGGCAGAGGTTGAGTTTTCACTTCCATGTTGTATCGATCCATTTTCTTCATTTCATTCAGCCGACCTAAGCATGGGAGGTTTCAGGAGAATGATTTCTACGGTTTCGAAGAAACAGTGTCGTGTGTATTGGGCAAGGAGAACAAGGCCCAGGTGAAGCGCAAAATCTAGTGATCAAGCGGCTGAATACTGCTAGATGTTGCATTGGCTTGTCTGGACATTACATTGCTACAGTTCCTGAGGCTGAGATTAATTGTCCGGGACAAGCTGCAGATTAGCGGTGTTTATGTTATTCTTATCCTGTTGGTGAGAGTATTGAGAGGTCAGATCAGCAGGTCGACATGTTTGCAGTGTTTTATAGGAGTAACATGGTCAACCCCATTCAGATTGTTGTCGACTGTCGTTACACATTTTTTATGCACTAAAGCTCTCTTATTTTCTGCCGAGACTCGACACGAATTGTTTTTGACAATGTAAGTCTTATAAATCAATGCATTGTCTCAAAAGCCAACTTCTGCCTTCTTGGGCAATTTCTTCAGTTCCTCGGTGATCTCATACCCTTCTTAGATATTCTTCAATTAGCCAATAATTTCGGTTTTATTTTAATTCTTCTAAGGTGGCTAATTTTTTTTTGTTTGAATTGCTTCAGACTAATTAAAATTTTCTCACAGTTTTAATTTCACTCAAAGAGATCTCACATACCCTATTTAGTTTTTTTTTCCTAGGATGAGAAATTAATATATACCTTTGCCTGGCACACATATGCAGTAATTAACTCTAGGTGTTTAGTGAGAAGTTATCTAGTTTTACGGAACCCATGCCGCCATCTTTTCATTAGATGCGGTAGATTCATTTTGCATGGACGACCCACATGCTAATGACCCTAAACCCCTAAGGTCACCGACTTAAAAGTCAAGGATCTCGTTCCCCTTTCAATAAACACTATAAGTCACCTACCCACCCTCCCAAGCAGCCCAATACATAATATCGTGTCCTCTCGTTTTCTTTATTGTCTCCATATAAAGGGTTCAAGCTGACATGAAACATTGGAAACTTAGAACAGGGTGAGAAAGCTAGGTAGTGGTGGTGTAGTGCTTGATTCCTGAGAGATATATGTGTGTGAGAAAAACCTAGCTAGCTAGTTGCAACAGGGGATTATTCCATTTGCTAGTATATCTTCATGTCATTTGTTTTCAGTCTATTGGGCTATATGCATTGTGGATAGGAGGCATTGGGATAATTGTATTCGCAAAATACAGGGTCGAAACGCAGCATCTTCACGTGAGAAGGATTTGTTGTTCAATTTCCTAAGCCGTTCCAAACAAACTCCGGGTAACATGCCTACAACCTGTCAGCCTTAAGATTGAAGAATGACCAAACGAGAAAGACAAGCTATCGTCGTGTACCTACATCCTCTTTTGTTAAGCATAAGGTGGCGCATGGTTTGGAGCATATTCGTTATAATATGGGATATGCAATGTAAAAGTGTAATCAATGGAGCTGTATACCTTTGGAGTTATATTTTGCTAAAAACTCTGTTTATATGGGTGTAGTAAGGAGGCTAACGTTCATAAATTAAAATATGTATGCATAACAAAATGATAAGCACCACAAAAGAACATCAACTACAGCACCGGGGACCTTGGACAGTTGGATTTACTATGAAGTGCATCAGAAACTTGAAATTACTCTGATTAAACCCAATGTTGTAATGGTCAATTGAGAATTTGGCATATTAATTGTAGTTGCGAATTCGATCTCACTTCTTAATATTTTTTTTAAAATTGTGAGGGGAACAAATTAATCTTATCATATCAACATACAGTTAGTTTTTCGGGTGTTTATTTTTTAGTTCATAACCAAAATGTATCACACCTCACGTACCACTGTATGTGATGATCTTGATTGCTCTCATGATATCAGTCAAGGAAGGGTTATCTATCAATTATTCCAGCTTCTCTTCATTCATTTCCCTGTAATCTACATGTGAAAAAACTCTAATTTGGAAGAGAGATAAAACCTAACTTGTACCAATCCATTTTTTTTGTCAACACAACTTCTATCCCCTGCTTCTTTCCATCTAGGTTATATAAGTACGAAAATGTGAAGTACAAGGAAGAAAAGAAGAACCGCAATGGTGAAAAAACACAAGAGACCGTTCCTACTTTCTTCATTTCGTTAAGCCAACCTAGGGATGGGAGGTTTCAGGAAAATGTTTTCAACCACCTCAGAGTAATTAACCAAAGTTATTTTTCTTTCCTTCGAGAGAATTCCAAGCTAGTTGAGATAATTTGAGAAATTTGGAATGTCAAATGCCAATATTTTGATGCTACAAATTAAGAGAGACCTCTTCTTTTTTTTTCCAGTTTCGGGGGTCATACTAGTCCGAAGTGCATATTAGCTTGGTTAATTTTACCATCCTTGGAAATGTACCGGGAGATGTCATATTTTCTAGTGTAAAATTTGGTGTCTCTAGGTACTAATTACCTTGTTATACCAAAAATTTTAGTGTAAAATTTAGGTACCTAAGGTATTTTCTTAAGAAATGTAAAATTTCTATATTGGCTTATTCAAGAGGCTTGCTAATCGCAACCGAGCCTGGTTCTTTTCTCCTCCATTGTAAGGTACACTCAGTGGCTCAACTCAATTGCTTGTCAAAAAGGGTGATTTCCACATCAAAGGCCGGGTACAGAACTGCAGCAGTACAGCCCCTTGCTCAAACAAATCATTTATTTGATGACCAAATTTCATTCAACTATATTGCCTCTGAATCAGCCTCTTTTTTTTTTTTGAAACACAAGTAGGAGCTCTCCTATTTCATTGATTAGGAGGAAAGTACATGGCCTTCACCTGTCAGCTCAAAAGCACTAGAAGGCAAAGGAGGACCCTGTGGCGAGCCAGGGACAACTTCTCCAGGAGAAGCAAATGATAGAGTGGCTAGAACAGATAACTCTCAATGAGGATGATCTGGGCGTTGAGGTCTTCGTTTTGGAAAAACACTTTTGTTGCACTGCTTCCAAATATTACAGCATATGTATACGAAAACCCCGTCTAATCTTCTCATGTCAGCTTTCCCAAATCCATGGATGCTTCGTGTAGATGAAAACTCCGTTTAATCTTCTATAAATCAGCTACATTTTGACATTTGGAGGTTTTTACTTTTGCTCAACAAAGCATGGCTAATATTTTTTTCGAATAAGAGGGCAGGAGGACCGCCTCTTTTCATTAATAAAGGAGGAGAGAAGTGGTTTAATTACCCCTAGCCTCCTCCTTGATCTTTGCTATGAGTGTAGCGGGGGTTGAAGCGATGTGTTGGAACACCCAGGCATTCCTTTCCTTCCATATTTCCCAGCTGACCAGCAGTATTAGGGTGTGAAGTCCGCTCTTTGGTACTCCGTTCGGTTGGCCTACGACCGTCCACCAGGATTCCACTGAGTTTAAGGCGTTCCAATATTCTAGTGGCAGGTTGATCTGTGCCCATTTCGCTATCTCTCCCCCATATTCTTTTTTAACTCGACAGTGTGCCAGAAGGTGCACTGCCGTTTCATCGCATGTTCAATATAGTGGGCATAATCTTTGGTTGTTCCATCCTCTCCGCTCTAATCTGTCAGCCGTCCAAATTTTGTTTTGAACCGCGAGCCACGCGAAGAACTTGCATTTTGGGGGACCCCAAGGCTTCCATATTGAGGTGCATAGGGTGACGTTTGTGGAGCCATTAAATTGGAATTGGTAAGCTGATTTTGCGGTGTAGACTCCTCTTGCAGTGGTCGTCCAGGTTATCGTGTCTTCCCCATCGGTGAGCGCCACTCCTTGTAATTGCTCCCAAAGCGTCACGTATTCCTCAAATTGGTTTGTTGTCGTGAGATTGGCTATGTTGATATTCGCTATCCACTGGTTGCTTTGTTATAGCCTCTTTAACCGTTGCTCTTTTCTTTCGCGAAGCTTCATATATGCGTGGTGCTATTGCTTTTGGCGCTGTTCCTTCCAACCACATTGATTCCCAAAAGCTTGTTGTTTCCCCATTGCTCACTGTGACGTGTGATTGCGGTAAAAAGTTGTTGGTCCCCTCATCCCACGGGATCTCCATTCCTATCCACGGCTTATTTCGGTCTGTCCACTCGTGCCATAGCCATCTCAACCTCAGTGCTCTGGCAAAGCGCTCCAAAGCATGTCTAATATAGTCTACTTCTAACATTGCGAAACATTACATGTAGTGAGGCCTACATATCATAATCACAATTAGGCGAATTTTGTTTTAAATGGTGAAATGGGTGAAATTGACCATCTATTTCCATGTCAAAGGCCGGGTACAGAACTGCAGCAGTACAGCCCCTTGCTCAAACAAAACATTTATTTGATGACCAAATTTCATTTAATTATATTGCCTCTAAATCAGCTTCCTTTTTTTTTTTGAAACACAAGTAGGAGCTCTCCTATTTCATTGATTAGAAGGAGGCCTTCACCTGTCAGCTCAAAAACCGAAGAAGGCAAAGGAGGACCCTGTGGCAAGCCAGGGACAACTTCTCCAGGAGAAGCAAATGATACTATGACAGAGTGGCTAAAACAGTTAACTCTGAATGAGGACCGGAGAAAGATCACCCTTTGTTGCGCTGCTTCCAAATATTCCATGAGATGTATATGAAAACTCCGTCTAATCTTCTCATGTTAGCTTTCCCAAATCGTTTGGATACTTCGTGTAGATGATTTAATCTTCTAAATCAGCTAATTTTGACATTTGGAGAGTTTTACTTTTGCTCAATATAAAGCAAAGGCTAATATAGTCTACTTGTAACATTGCGAAACATTAGATGTAGTGAGGTCCACATATCATAGTCACACTTAGGCAAATTTTGTTTTAAATGGTCAAATGGGTGAAATTGACCATCTATTTCGCCTCAAACGCATGGTTTGGAATCCAAATACTTCACCATTCACCCTTTCTTTTTTTTTTTACACATTTAATTTTGCGCACGACCAAATTTGGTCATGAAGAACAATAAAATTGTCCCAAACCAAACACCTCGACTCCTCTGACATATACATTATTACAACAGACTTACAATATGTCACATTATCGTGAGATCAAACCATTTCATTTCCAGCATCGAAATGAAGCTTTGTACTTTTAATTATTATTATGTTTACAGTTTAGAGTATTTCTTGAGCGCCTCCCCTGCATTTTTCACGCTCTCCGGCACCGGCAGATTGCAGAGAAGAGTCACCCTGGATTCAGAGATCTGAGCCCCCTTCTCCTTCGTGGATGGATCCAATTTCCACAGCTTCACCGCCCACACCTTCAGAAGTTCAGAACTTCAGATCCATTTTATGATTCCAACACAATTAATTATTCTTTTAATTACTGCCAATCATCAGGCTGAAAGCTCCTAAAAAAATACTAGACATGTGAAATGTACGGAGGAGAAGACTTAATTTTTATTGCTACATGTTGAATTGGCTAGCCTGGAGATAAATTATTTTGTCTATGAGGCTGTGCTTGTCTGGGACAAGTTGCAGCCTAGCCGTGTGTATCTTATCCTCTTCATAAGAAGATTGAGAGATCAGCAGATCGACATGTTGCAGTGTTTTATTATAAGAGTAACATGGTCAACCAATCCAGATTGCTGTCACTACAACTTCTTTTTTTCTGTATTAAAATGTCATTTATTTTTCTCAAATACACATCTCTAGCTGTGTAGTAGCTGACAACTACCCCATTGATTTGTGCCCATAACTTATCAATTTTGATCACAAACAGTCTACAGTCCTCACCGATCTTGGGAGAGAAAAATACATTGGTTGCCTGTCGCTTTTGGCTGTACCGGCTTGTTTCCCCGGGCTCAAAGTTGACCATAAATGATACTCTCTCCATTTCAAAATATTTGACGCCGTTGTTTTTTTTAAAAATGTTTGACCGTTCGTTTTATTCAAAAAATTTAAGTAATTATTAATTCTTTTTGTATCATTTGATTTATTATTAAATATACTTTTATGTATATATATAGTTTTACACATTTCACAAAAGTTTTTGAATAAGACGAACGGTCACATATTTAAAAAAGTCAACGGCGTTAAAATGGTTAAATATTATATATCATTGTCCTATGCTATTCCCATAACGATGAAATCTGTACTAGCACTGTGTGATACCTGACATTGTCGATGGAGGTAGGCCCAGTAAGCAAAGATCTAGGAGTACTATAGTAAACAGCAGCATCATAGTTTGCTCTTCAGTTTATTACTTGGACTGAGAAACGCACTGGGGTATTCTAGCTAGCTCCACAAGGTGGGGTGGTGGGCTAAACGATTTGGGTTCAAAGCCTCACCCCTTCTAATTATTTGATACTACTCTATAATATTTGCGTTTTTTTTGTTTATTACTCGGACTCTCGGAGTATGGTGCTTTTTCATCGTAGTTTATATTTTAAGCATTGGCTTTTAAATTATTGAGTGTGTTTGAGAGGAGATGAAAATAAAAGATTAAGAAGATACGCAAATTTAGGTGATTATTGCATAATTAATTAAGTATTAATTATTTTAAGCATGAAAAATGAAATAATATGATTTTTAAAGAGACTTTTCTATAACTTTATAAAAAAAACATATTGTCTAACAGTTCGGGAAGCGTATGCGAAAAAACAAGGCTCTTTTCATATCTATCTCGGATACTCTCAAACATAAAAGTTTTTACTATATTTCTATATATCTCATAATGAATTATATGCGAAACGAGAGGAACCCATCATCAACAACTTCGTATGGGGATTTAAGAGGCGGCTCGCTTGCATCATTAGGTATGGCCAGCACGCACGGAATGACAGGTGGTGGTGCCTTGTCTTAATCAAGTGGTACTAATCCGGCACCTACTGATTAATTAATCGGCGTGGTTAAAGCAGATTAAACTAGGGGTGTGGGTAATTACTACTAGTAATTAGTGATGAACTGGCTGGACGGATGAGTTAGTTGACTTGTGGTACTAGTAAGCAACCAATTGGAGAATAGTGTAGTGAGAAGTCACCGATGGAGTGGTAGGTTAGGTGATGGGCGATGATGAGGTAGGTAGGTAGCTAGCATAGCAGCAGAGAAGAGGAATTGAGGATGATGGGTGAGGTTACCTGGGTGGAGCGGCCGACGTGGAGCGGGGCGGCGCGGACGAGGACGGTGTCGCCGAGGGCGGCGCTGCGGAAGTGGTTGATGCTGAGCTGCACGCCGGCGACGCGGCTGTAGCCCGACGCCATGTGCGCCCCCATGCTCGCCAACCCCTCCGCTATCAGCGCCGACACGCCGCCGTGCAGCACCTTGAACGGCTGCGCCCCATCCATCCATCGATCAGTATAACAATCACACGAATTAATCCAAGGCTCGGGAGGGGAGGGGGAGTGGGCGTGGCGCGTACGTACCTGGCAGCAGGTGGGGGTGACGAGGAGGCGGCCGGTGACCTCCGCGGGGGAGACCCGCTCGATCTCGAACCCCATGGCGTGGAGCGCCGCGTCCAGCTCCTCCGTCTTGGGCCGCGGCGCCCGCGACGACGACGACGTGGCGTCGTCCATGCCGGAGCCGGACCGGGTAAACGGAGGCGGGAGACTGCTAGTAGCTTGGAGGAGCACGCGCGGGGAGCAGTAGCGAATTGAAGCTACGCTATCTCTCTCGGGGTCGGGGAGGGAGCTGAGCCTGAGCGCGACAGAGGGCGTGGGGGGAGGAGAGGAAGCCACGGAATTTTGTTGGGTCGCTATTATAGATGGACTGGCCGGAACAGACCGGCGGACGGCGGAGGCCACTGGTCGTTACGACGTGCATTATTATTATAGCCTGTGTTTAGATGCAGTATCACATCAGATATACGAACACACATTTAAATTATTACATATAGTCTAATAATAAAATAAATTATAGATTCCATCTATAAAATCGTGAGACAAATTTATTAAGTCTAATTGGTTCGTTATTAGCAAATATTTACTGTAGCATCACATTATTAAATCATGACGTAATTAGACTTAAAAGATTCGTCTCGCAATTTACACATATTTAAACATTCGATATAACGGGTGTAAAACAGACCCATACTCTGGCGATTTATGTCTCTTTCTGTTTTTTCTCTTTTTATTTCCTTCTTTTCGCTGCTCGCTTTATCGTTCGTTGGGGTCGTTCATTATGCTGACGTGCTGCTTTGCTCCGTGGGCAAGGGCGTTCGTACGTTCAAACTTCTTTAATTTTAACCAATTTTATATAAAACTAGCAAAATACCCGTACTTCGCTACGGATAAGTTATTTGTTAGGCTAAGTATTGATTAGATATTTTGATAATAATTAGAATGGATAAAAACCACTATTGCATATTGATATACTCATGTTCTCATAATACCCAAGATGGTCGTGGATGCACCATCGATCAAACTACGGTGAGGACTGTGGTATGATGTGTCCCACGATTAGACTCATCCATTGATGGTGGACATTAGCAACGAAGAAAACGCGACCGACAATATGGTCCTGGTAGAGAAAGAGAGAGAGACGCCAACGGCGACCTCCGGTGGTGAACATGACCAGATGAGTATGTCAAAACGTGTTTTCGGACGAGAGGGTTCTGTTTTATTTGAACACATAGGAAAAAGGAAAGATGGAGAAAAACAATTAACACTGTTCATCTTTCCTAACCGAAATAAGAAACAAAATAGGAGAGACGATAGGCGCCGATGCTCTGGTGACCAAATGGCGGTGAAGAAGGTGGCCGGACGTGTCCCACGATGTGACTCCTCTATAGATGGTGGTGGTTGGAAAAAAAAACCAAAACAGCAGGAACGTGCCCGACGAGACGTGGTCCCAACAAAGAGAGAAACGATTTGGTAAAAAAGACAAAGAGAGAAACGACAACGATGAGCTCTATTGATGAACACGGCCTGGTGAGCGCATCAAAACGTGTTCCCGAATGAGGGGATTCTGTTTTCCTTGATCGTGTAGAAGAGAGGAAGCGCAGGGGAGAAGAAGGGCGTTGGGAGGAGGAGCGTTAGGAAGGAGAGGGGCCACAGGGGGAGGGGGATCGTGAGGGAGAGATGGTTGGCTACGAGAGTGTCGGAGGGTGAACTCCTCCACCAGGGAACCATGAGGCCCCCCTTTTTTGGTTCGGCCGGGGGCAGCGGGTGAGATTCGAGGACTTGGTGAGTGAAACTGTGTGATTTTGAGGGGGTTAGGCCCCTCCAAGACGATGAGACAAAAGGGGTTTATACAGGTTTGGGCTGCTAAGAAGCGTAATACCCTACTCCTGTGTTATGCTGATTGTGGGAGAAATTGCAAGATCTCCTTGTTGGAGCCGAAGGTCTTGATCATGAGGGGCAGAAGCTGCTCTAGAGTCTAAAATGGCTCATCCTCTCCCCCCTCCATCCGTTCACCCCCCTAAGTAGGCCTAGAACTCCTTTTATACCTTGAGGGGTTACCACATGGGCCCAACAACCTAACTTGGAGAAGTATTACAATCTTTGCATTAAATGCAAGTCTTGCCTCTTGACTTGGGAAGCCAAGCTCACGTCATCTTGATGATGGGGCCCGTCAAATCTTGCCGCTTGACACGGGGGGTGCCCCTGTCAGTCGCCATTTAATGGTTGAGGACTTCCGAGTTCCCGTTCACACCAGGAAACATGAACCCTGGTCAATTCAGAGTGGTTGGACCAGTTCTGACCGGGATAAGAGGCTGTGAAGCCCCTCATTATTATGATGGGACGGGACGGAGCACGCCGCCTGACACACTGACAGGGCGGGGGTACACAGTCGCCGTCCCATCGGTCATTCGATCGGTCACAGACCGGTCAGATGCGCAGCACGCCGTGTAAAATGCGGCATGGCGCGACTGCATGGACCGCTTTAAATGCAGTTAGGTAGGCGTTAGGCGCGCCCACCTAACCCTGTACATGCGGGCTGATACGTTAAGGGGGTCGGGGGAGCCCAACCCCAAGCTGGGAGGGGGCAGCCACCGCTCCACCCCGAGCTCGACCCTCCTCGGGGGAGCCACGTGGTCTTGGGGGCGGCCCGACCCCAAGCTGGGAGGGGGCAGCCGTAGCTCGACCCCAAGCTGGGAGGGGTAGCCATGTGGGTTTGAGGGCGGCCTCCTCCCTCTAGCTGGGAGGGGGCAGCCGCCGCTCCACCACGGGGGTTTGAGGGCGGCCTCCTCCCTCTAGACGTGATACCCCTGGGCCCATATCACCAACAGAGAGGGAGGAAGGTGGAAGCGGATGGATGGAAGTAGGCAGAAGCGAATGCGCCGTAAGAGGGAGGAAGGGAAGGAAACGGATGCTAAGGTGCGCCGGAGGGAGAGAGGGAGGCGGAAGAGGAGGCGGAAAGGGAGAGGGGGGCGGCGCGCGGGAGGGAGTCGGGATGGACGGACGAAAAAAGGGAGGAAGCCTTACGTATTTTTTAATTAGGTATATAGATATAATAGTATTTAATTGGGTTGCAGGAAAAATATAGGAATTGAACGACAGAGATATACTCGAAGAAAATTTTCCAAGAGGTTGGACCTCTTGTTAAATTTCCTCTAAAACCTACAATGCAATGAGATATTCCATAGGAATGGTTTGGAAAACTCTAATCCTTTGAATAAAAGGATCGAATAGAAAAATTTCCTACAGAATTTTAGTCTTGTGAAATTTATATATAAATCCTTTGATTTGGAGGGACTCTACAAGTTGTAGTGGTCGCCTAAAAAAGGTGTATCTGCTTTTTTGACCATTTTCTCCGTTGTGCTAATGCGTTGAAACTTGAGATTAGATGCTGTCATCTTCTTTTCTAAGAATGGCCGAATAATTTGTTATAATTGTTTTAAGGCTATAAATGATTGAATTAATTATTATAAAGTTTAAAAATTGAATTTAGACGGTACTCTATGAAATTCATATACATAAGTTTTTTTTAAAAAAATTCACACCGTTTAAGATTCGATAATATAATCCGTTTATCAACAACCTTTTTTTTTCTATCAATGCATCAGATACTTACTCAATTTAGGACTGGACAATCTAGACAGAAGTAGTACGAGGTTAAATTTGTATGGGACGGGGTAATCACGGAACCTCTCTTAGGAAAATGTGGAGGTGTCCATATATATTGCTATAGAAGAGGTCACATTTTCTCTATTGAATTTTTTTTGACGGAGTAGTTGACTACTAGTACGTGGCTCTAGCACAGAAACGGCGATAATGAAGAAAAGAATAAAAACGCTAAAGAAACAAAAAAAAATCGGTTTAAAGAATGCTTACACAGCTACTACACGTTGGTCAGAGGTGGTGTGCGTGCGCGGTTTACACGTTACCTGTAGAAAAAGAAAGTCCACTGTATTTGGGTCGTGGTAGGCCCAGTTTGTGGAATCTGACCGATAGTTTATTACTACACTTTTAAACCAACCGAGGTAAGTACGTGGTTATGAACTTGTGCCCATGTTACAGTAGTTAGTACTCCAGCTCATCATTTTTTTTAAATTCTTACCCATAATAATTAATTAAAGAATAAGTTCATTATGGATCTCTCAATTTCACTACTACGAAAAGAATTTTTTTGTGCGGTAAAAAAAGTTTTCGCATGTGGGTGGGTGAGCCACACGCACCCATGTATATGCAAAAATCACTATTTTTGCCTGCGAGTGGCACACTTGCACGCGAAAAATCTGATTTTCGCGTTCGGTGTGGTTATGTTGCGCACGCAAAAATTAAAAATAAAAAAAGAATCCAAAAATACGAAACCCTAACCCTAGCCGTCGCTGTCCTCCTTGTGGCCGTTGCCTGCTCCCGTCGCCGTCACCAGATCCGCCGCCCCCATGCCTACCCACTACCCGCCGACGCCACCCTCCCCTCCGGCCGCACCGCTGTCGACTCTACCCTCCCCTCTGGCCGCACTGCTGCCGATGCCCCTCCCCTTCGCCGGATCTAGGAGGGAAGCGAAGGAATGCTGCTCATTGACATATGGCCCTATGTGGGTCCCACTGACTCAGCTTGTCACGTCACATCAACTAAAATTGGGTATAATACTGCTTAGGATGTCGGGTGAGCCGGTTTTGTAAATTAATAACGGTATTTGGGTTTAGGGGTGAAATTCAGACTCAGCAAAAATGTGAGAAACTAAAGTGAACTTAGTTACATTGATTAATGACAGTTTAGGCCCATAACCATGTTGGTCTCCGTCAGCCGCTCTTCAACTCGGCCCAGTTATTCGTGGGCCAGCCATCCTGGCCCATGTACCGTCAGCCGAGCCATTACGACGCTGTCCCAGAACTCCACGTGGGCCCCACCTGTCAGCCACAACCCCCGTGCCCCGTCCCATCGCCACCGCCGCGCCGCCAATTTCAAACGCTAGAAGCCGCGGACGGCGGCGGCTAAAAAACCAAACGGACTCGCCGCGTCCGCTTCGTCCAGATCCGCCTCCGCCCTCCGCCACCGCAGGTAAATCCCCAAATTTCAAATCCTCCTCTTCCCCCCACACCTCCACATTTTCTAGGGTTTCCATGCCCGATCTCTAGCCATGTCCCGCTCCTTCTTCCCGACCTGCTCCTCCCTCAAAGGTGGGTGGGTTGGGTCTGGCCGCCGCCGCCGCCGCGGCTTTCCGCGAGATTTTGGTTGGGTTGGAATGCGTACTGTGCGTTCTCACATTGGGGGTTGATTTGTGTGTTTTGGTGCAGTGGAAATGGAGGAGATGTGCAGGGAGATGGACGAGCTGAGGTCGGAGGTGGAGGCGCTCACGGCAGAGTGCCGCGCCAAGGCGGAGCTCGCCGAGGGGCTCAAGCGGGCGGGCGCCGAGCAGGCGGCGCGGCTCCGGGAGGCGAGGGCGGAGGCGGAGAGGCAGGCGCGGGAGGTCGCCGCCCGGGACGAGGAGATCTCCTCCTCGGGGGAGGCGCGCCGGGAGCTGGAGGCCAGGCTCGCGGAGAAGGAGCAGGCGCTGCGGCACCTCTGCGCGGCGCACGAGGGGCTCAGGAGCAGCGCCAGGGAGAGGAGCGATGCCCTGGAGGCGGAGAAGCGGGAGCTCGTCGCGGCGCTGGAGGAGTCCGAGGCGAGGCGGCTCGAGCAGGAGGCGGCCGCGCGCTCGTGCGGCGAGGAGGTTGCCCGGCTCAGGAGGTTGCTGTCGGAGAAGGAAAAGAAGTGCTCGGAGGCTGAGCAGAGGGCATTGGCACCGAAGGAGGTGATGATGAGGGACGATATGCTGCTGAAAATGGAGGACCAGAAGGCCGCCGTCGAGGGGAAGCTCAAGTGGAAATCTGAGCAGTTTAGGCACCTCGAGGATGCACTCAAAAAGGTCCAGGATGAATTCAGGGCCGCGAAGAAGGAATGGGGCTCTGATAGATCAATGTTGGTTGATCAGATTGGCACTCTTGAGGTCAATTTGGATTCCAAGACCAGAATGGCTGAGGATTTTCGGTCAAGGCTCGAGATGTGCAGCCAGGCATTAGCCCATGAGGAAGGCCGCCGGAAGCTGCTCGAGGCGGAGATGTCTGAATTGAAACACTTGTATGGTAATGTGGTCTCCGATTATGAAGAGGCGAGGTCCACAATTGAGTCGCTTGCCGCAAAGCGGGATGGGGAGATCGCATCGTTGAGAAGCTCACTGGCTGAGAAGGTCACATTGCTCAAGGAAATGGAGTATGGGAAGGCACGTCTTGAGCAAGAAAATGAGGATATGCGATCTTCGTTGAAGGAACACCAGGAGGCTCAGATTGGTGGTGCAGATGCTGTAGTTTCATTGAAGGTTCTGCAGCAGAAGTTCCGAGCTCTAGAACAGACGCATAGAAACTGCATTGATAAGCTGAGAGATAAAGAGGCAGAATGGAAAACACAGATGGAGAAGCTTGGGAGTGAGCTGGATGGATGCTTGTCACAGTTAGATTCTAAAGATACACTTATCAAGCAAATGCAGATTGAGCTTCTGAGCAGTTATAGCTCCCTGGAGATGCAAGCTGTGCAGAATTGGGAAGCTTCAGTAGCTCTTGTTATTGTAGAATCAAAACTTTATGATTCTTGCTCATATTTTGAAACGATTCAACTGGATATGCAGAAGAACTGTGCACAACTTGAGCACAATTTTGCTGCTGCAAGAAAGCAGTTAGAGGAAGATAACTGTGCCATTGCTCAATCTCAAGCTGAGCGGGCACAACAAGTTGAGGTAATAGCAACATTGCATCAAAGAATTGAGCAGCTTGAACACATGGAAAAGGAACGTGAAGAGATGCAAAGGCAGCTTGATACATACAATCTTGACAATGCATCAAGAGATGTTCACTGCTTAAAAGGTGAATCTTCAGAAGAGGAAAAAGGCCTGCATGAGAAACTGCAGAAAGCATTATCTGATTTGGATGAAGCATACTCTGCAGTTTCTGAGCGGGAGAGTGAGCTGAGCCAAATAGAAATCAATCTTCATAAGCAAAAACAAGCAATGGAGCATTTGGAAGAGCTCAAACTTTCTATGGAAAATGAACTAAAGGGCTATATGGATGAGAACAATGTACTGAAAAGAGATCTTATTGCAACAACAGAAATTGAAAAGTCCCTAAGAGAAGAAAAGGAGAAATTACTAGGTGCTCTCAATGAAGCAAACTCTGCCCTTTCTGAGAAGAACTGTGAACTGAGACAATCTGAAATCATTCTTCATCAGCAAAAGCAAGCACTAGAACATTTGGAAGAACTGAGAGTCAATATGGAGACTGAAATCAAGGGCTACATTGATGAAATTTGTGTCCTGAAGAGGGATCTAGATGCTACCCATATGGCTAAAATAGAAGCCGAGAAGACTTACAGTGAAGAAAATGAGAAGTTGCTATGTGCTCTTGATGAAGTAAACTGTTGTCTTTTGGACAAGAAGAATGAGCTTGACCAAGTCACAGAAAATCTTCATCAGCAAATGCAAGCAGTGGAAGAATTTGAAAAGTTGAGAGTTAGTATGGAAACTGAGCTAGGGCGCTACATGGATGAAAACTCTGTGCTAAAGAGTGATCTGGTTTCTGCTCTTAATTCCAAAATGGATGCTGAAGAGTCTCTTAGGGAAGAAAAGGATAAGTTATGCAGTATAATAGATGAGAGGTGCAGGAATATTGACGAGCTTCAGCAACACATCGCTGTGCTGGAAGAAGAAAATTTAGATAAAAAGCTTGATGTGGCAGGTCTTATCAAGTCAGAGGCTGACAGGTCCATTCAAGAAGTCAATAGAAAGTACTCTGAAATCGTTGAGGTCTTTGACAAAAAGCTTTTGGAACTTGAAACAAGGCTCAGTTTCTTCGAACAGAAATACACATGCAGAGAGCAAGAACTCATGGAAATGTTTGATCAGGAGGAAGCTGATTGGTATACACTAATTGCAGAAAAAGAAAATGCTATTTCTGAAATTCAAGAAAATGTTGAATCTGCTCAAGTTGACATTAAGCACCTAGTCGAATCTGCTTCAGAAAAGCTAGCAGAAGTTCAGGTTGAGGTTCGGCAACTATATTGTTTAGCAGGAAATCTTAATTCACTCAATCTTATCCAAGAGCATGATAATTTGTTCAAGGACATGCTCATTGAAGAATGTGAAAGAGAGCTTAAGGCAGTGCAAGTAAATTTAGCGTTGGAGAAACAACAGTCCAACAATTTGAAGAATGATCTTGAGCAACTCAAAGCCAAGGCAACTGCAGAGATGTTAGAAAATGTAAAGGAGCATCTGGAAGTTGCAAATAAGCTGAGATCTTTGGAGGAAAGAAAAGAAGTACTGGATGAGCATGTAGGAGAGTTGAAGTCTAGGACAAAGAATATGTGCAATGCCTTTGTTCAAGAGAGGAAAAATTTATTTGATGAGTTGACTGGACTGGTCGATACCATTGGAGCAGCAATTCATGTAGATGAAGATCTGATGACAAGCTTGACAAAGATCATGCATAAAGTTAATAATGAAGAAGCCTTCCGGAATTCTAGTAGCAAAGAAATGCTTAGCTCGGAGAATATAAATGCGAGGAATTCTGCACCCTTGGTCAGGAATAAATCTGTACAGCTCCCAGATAGAAGATTACCATTGAAGGAGCACAACTATTAGCCTTCGTAGCTGAGGACAGATTGTGTACTGACATTGTTGTTATCTTAGCATCCTGTCTCTCTGGATCCACATAGGCTTTACATGCTACCTGTAGATTTGTGCTGCCATTTGTGTTGTGTTGTTTATACGCAATGGCTATGCTCATCCTACATTTCTTATGTATCAGCTTTACCTTTAAACTAATTTATTATTTTGACTACCTAGAGGAATGAGATTATTCCTTTAAAACATGTGCTCATTTCATTATTTTAATCACCATCAGCTGTGTTGTGATCAGCAGTTGATTGCTTAGATGAATATTTGGCATCAGATGTAAATCTGCTAGTTACTTTTAATTGCTTGTGCATTTTCCTAAGCTCGTAAACAGCAAGTTCTGAAATGTTCATGTTAATACACCTAAGTTGACTTGTTTGAATTGTTGAAAAGCCACTAGAATAGCTCTGAAAAAAATTGAGAGAATATCCAAATGAGGTGCTGCATCATAAGAATTTTTCAGTAGCAAGTAGATTCTCCCATTCCCTTGTCTATGAGGAATCTGCTGTCAGTTGGTATGTAAGATTACGTATGAAAATTTTTGTTTGTGCAATTACGTCTGTTGTAAATTTAGTGAAGTTTTTTTCCTTAAAATTTCTCATTTGTAAGAGCAACCTGCGTTGCTTATCATAGTGATTTTCTCTGGGACAGAAATAACTAGATAGCATACCAAGGCTTCAACTGGTAAGGTAAGCAGTTATTTTTACATGTTACAGTTTCACTAGTTTACCGAGGGAGTGAAACTGACAAAATCAGACCAGAATCTCCTGGTAAGGTCATGCACTCATGCAAGTAAAGAAGAGGGCTGACTTGTTACATGGTTCTCTAGTCCTTTGCAATATACTGTCATCTCTCAAGATGCATAGTTTGTGGAGCTGTATTCCTAACAAGATGAATATCTTCATTGGTTCCTGGTGATTCAACTATATGTCCACTTTTGAATGAATTTGAACATTTGAAATAACGTGTCTGGTTGGGTGATGAACTCAATCTTTGATTCTTTTCTGTAGGACTGAAGAACCTGTGGCCTGTATTCTTTAATTACTCTTTCTCAGTTTATATGGTCACTGAATTTTTCTCGTGCATCTTTATATGCATGATTGTAGCAGGTTTGCCTGTTTGAATTCCTATCGAACTGTGATCTGCTAGTTGTTAAATATTCAGATTATTTTTTTGTTCTGTAGCCTACTGCCCTTTCATAACTGATGTTCCTGTTATTTCATCCCCAATGTTCATTGTGAGGTTAAATGTAAGTTTTGTGGTGACGTTGTCAATCTGTAGGTTCTTATTTGAACTTGTGAAATTTTGACATACCAGGATGCTACCTGCTATTATACGAGATTAGGCGCTCAGTTGTGTGGGTTTTCTTCCCTGTTATCATTGAGTCAAAATGGCCGTAACATCTTGAATCACTAGCAACTGGCCAATCCAAAACTCTAATAGTGCTTCCTATTTTCTGCAGGAATTCACTGATTAAGTAGGAGTTGTAATCACTCCGTTATTTGATACATATCTCAGGACCATTATGTCAACAGTTAATCTGATCTGCAGGTTATATTGCTCTATAGGCTTATAATGCAGAGTTGCGACCCATACACATAATTTCAGATGAAAATACATCTATTTTGTCTTCCTTCTGGAATACAACCTGAGATTTTGTATCAACTGGTCTGATCATACCCTTTGTGCTCTTGGACAGGGCTTAACTGAAGTTTAAGGTAGCTGAAGACAACATGACCAATATTTGCTTCAGAAAAGAGGGTCTGCACTGGAGCAAACAGCCAAGAACAGTCCAAGCTTGCTGCAAGGAAGGTAAAAGCCAATGATAATATCATTTGATCATTACATATGCTCTGCATCATGTCTCCATCATGCAAGGAGAATCGTTCATCGATCCTTATTTCAGTCGTTTTGCTGAATTGTTTTCAACAATTTTTATCGAGTGCAAATCAATTTCTGTTTGGCCTTAGAATAACTGACTAAAGTTTTTGCCATTTTCTAATGTAAAGTTATGACAGCCTAAGATATTGCATGTTGTACAGCCTAAGAATCCCCTTTTACACGTTACAGTTTCACTCATTTTAAGGAGATATTTGATGATGCTAAAAAAACCAGATGAAAACCTTCTTCCCAGGAGAATGCAAACCAGTAAGAACTGCATCCTTACTAACCGGCCTTTGGTCTGTTGAAACATACTGGGGCCATACCTCAAGATCCGAAGCTTGTGCATCTGTATTAAATTGGTTTGCAGCTCTGACATGGGCAAAATCTGAAAAGCATTGTTGTTGGTTGAATACTGGAGCGAAGTGGAGAAAAACTGCTGAAGAAATCAATCATAATGTGTGGGGGATAATACACCGTCTGAATGGCTGTTTTGTTCATTCTGAACCTTCTCCTGGATACAATTACTTTCAGTATTGTATAGAACTGAGGACATATTAATAGGCTCTTTGGTCTAATTAAATCAAGGTAACTTCTTCGCTGATATTCAGTCTGAGTATGCAGTGTTTGTGGTCTAAGGAAATCAAGATAACTTCACTTATAATCTGTCTTTAAATGCAGTACTTGTGGCTGATATCCGGCTTGCAAACAGACATGCTGGAATCGTGGACAAGGAATTTCATATTCCATTATTTTGTGAGAAAGTAAGCTTCTGCACTCAGCTGATTGCGTAATTACCTTCTCGTTTTGCGTAAAACACTTAATCTTTATCTTCATGTTTATCTTCAGAAGATTCAAATACCACCTGAATCTGCTTGCTTTATTGAATTCCCTGATGAATCATTGCCCCATGAAACGCTGCAAGGTTGTCAAGCAATCATAATTATCTATGAATTTTTGAAACAATCAACAGCACACATCAGTCTTAAACTGCCCGTACCATTGTTCAGAATTTACTTCATTTATTTATTTACAGTCAAAGAATCAATCTTAATCCATCAATTCATCCCGTGGTCAAAACTAAAACCACAAATCGTCCAAACTAAATATTGGACGAAGATCAGGATGTTGCAATGGCAATTACAAGCATTTACAGCTTCAGTTCTGATTTCTGAAGATAGAAATTGAATCTTCTCAATTTCTGTAAATATTATCTACAAGAGGCATGGTTACTGGTTACAAAGACTAAGCCCTAACTATCACTCCAACTCCCAGCAAGCTCTTCGGCTGTCCATCTCCATGGCCACCATGGCCGCCTTCGCCGCTTCTTGGCCGCCGGCCGGTTGCGCGCCATTGACGTTCTTGGACATGGAGGGCAGCGGGCGCACCGGCCACGCCGGCGGTGGCAGGTCGCGGCGGCGGTGGCAGCAGCAGCAGCAGCAGCAGCTCTGGCGGCGGCGGTCGTAGAAGCACTGGTGCGAGTGGCTGCCACCGGCGGCGAGCTCCTGCGCGCTGCGCGCTCGCCGCATGGGCGGCGGCGCGGCGGGGAGCCCGGCGGCGAGCCCCATCTCGCTCCGGGCGCGCCGCATCATCATCGGGGGCGCCGCGACGGGTGGGTGTGGGCGGCGCCGCTGCTGGACGCCGGCGGCGGCGTCAACGGCGGTGGAGACGAACACCCGGAAGCTCGCGGACGGCCGCGTCGCCCTGAGGCGGTCGTACTCGTCGCGCATGTGGGCGAGCTCCTCGTCGGAGGTGACCGACACCAGGAGGTCCTCGTCGGGACCCTCGTCGGCGAGGCGGTACCTGACCGCCGTGACGGCGGCGGCGCCGGCCTTCTCCGCCAGCCGCGCCGTCAGCTCGCGGAAGGGACACCGCGCGGCACGGCGAGGGCGCGCGTCTCGCCGCCGACGTACCGGAGGCCGCCGCCGGGGCCGCACGGAACGAGGCGGCCACCGTGGCTGCAGAGCAGCCTCATCATCGCCTCCTCCTCCTTCGCCGCCGCCATCGGAACGATTCGATCGATGATGGATCGATCTCGGAGTGTCAGCAGGTGAGGTGAGAGTCTGGAAGGTGAGGGGGGAGATGAGATGAGATGAGATGTGCACGGGGGCGGGCGAATCTGGCGCGAATTTATCGACCCCGCCTGCGCGTGCGCAACCGTCAACGCGTCGTTCGAAATCCGAATCGGATTCGACATGGCCCTGTCTCGGGGTGATGCTTTCGTTTCGTGGGCCGAAATTGCATATGTCGGCCCAACGGACGGATAATTCAGGTTTTCCCAGGAGTATTGGGGATTTGGGGGTGCTATCATTTGCATAAACTGGAAATGATATCCTAGCGATTTTAGTAAAAATATACCATTTTATCATATGTTACTCTACCAGATATTAATGTAAGTTCGATTAAATAAAAGAGTTGTGTTAAAATAGAAATCTAAAATGAAAAGGAAATGGCTCGCTGAAATTTCTCTCTTTTTTTTCTAAATAACTGGGCATGCGAAGTTTCATATTGATACAATAGGAAAAATAATTATAAGATCTATAACAAAAGAATAGCCAACACACGACAACTCCTTGAAACACATCAAAAGAAAGTACTAGCACCAAACCAGTCGCCATTGTGTGATTGATTGTCGCTAATTTTAAAAGGTGCTACAAATGCCTTGCTGAACACCTACTCCAAACAGAAGACCGTCGATGGGCTCTTAGTCATCTTCATGGAGAAGAGTTAATGAAGGAGAGGGTGAGAGAGAAGATATGCTTATCCCTTGTGCTAACCTAGTAATGACAACCTAGAACACACAGCTAAACTAAGAGGAACCAAGGAGGTAAAGGTGGTGAAACAGGACCTCCTAGACGAAGCCTCCGGGACGGTAGTGGCGCTGAAGACGCCACCATCATCCGTAAGCCAAGACCCAGGCACCCAAGCCTGTTTAGCCCCATAGAAAAAAAAAAGGAAAATCATTGAGCTCTATGGACCTTTTACCTGGCCATGGCCAAGTGACCCAGAGCCTAAGGTCCACCTTGAGGACGACATACCCTGCTTTGAACATCACCAATAGTTGCAAAAATTTTTGTTCCCTAAATCTCTTTTAAAAATCTCTAATAAGTATTTGAGGACTAAAATACATACTTCACTCCAAGAGATAGCCTACCTGTTTGGTAGAGCTCCAACTCCTAAATCTAGTTTTTAGGAGTTGGGTCTGGAGTGTAGTTGTGGAGCTGTCTAAACCCAGCTCCACATATCTAATTTCATTTTGTGAGAGAGCTCCACCCAGCTCCGCTTCCATTTTAGGTGGAGCTGAAACTGTTCGGCTGAGCTCTAGCTCCAGGAGAGGTGGAGCTGGAGCTGGATCTGTGTCAAATAGGCCCTTGACTAGAGGTGGACCACCTCCAAACTACCAACTTGATCTCCCCTCGTCCTACGTGATCACGCACGCCCCTCCCTAGCTAGTCACAGTGGATTGGGAGCCGGTGCACTCCCCCACTAGTGGAATAAGAGAAGAATGGAGAAAGGGATTTCAATCGGCTTGCAGCTGACTTGGGCAAAACTTAGAAACAACCATTGTTAAGTGGAGAAGAACCAAGAGTGGATTGTAATATCTCGAGGAGAAGTCCTCTTGTATTCCTTTGCCACTCAAACCAAATGTAAATGGTTGTAAAAAAATTCAAAACTTTTGATAATGTAGAATATAGTGATATACTGATATTTATCACTTCACTTAAAATCAAATTCGAAATCAACCTACATATTGAAAAAGAAGGGACACATTCAAGTATAAATAGTGCACATACTGTTCATATGTTGGATTTGTCTTTTTAATATCTTCGATGTATGAGTTGAGTTTAGACTTAAAAGATTTTGTAAAGTTTATATGTTGTATGAAGTGTCAAATTTTCAATGAAATATTCATAACCATTGGATAGTTTTTTACCGAACTAGGGAACATCCCCTCAAGGAATCTGCATACTTTTCCCAGAAAAACTGCTGAAGAAATCAAGCATAATGTGAGGGATAATACACCATCTGAATGGCTTGTTTTGTTCATTCTGAACCTTGTCCTTGGATGCAATTTCTTCAGTATTATAGAACTGAGGACATTCTAAATTTCTAATCGGCTCTTTGGTCCAATGAAGTCAAGGTATGCTGATATTCTGTCTTGAGTATGCAGTATTCGTGGTTCAAGGAAGTTAAGGTAACTTCACTTACAATCCGTCTTTATATGCAGTAGTTGTGGCTGATAGCCGGCTTTCAAACAGACATGCTGGAATCATGGACATGGAATTTCATATTCATTTATTTTCTGAGGAAGTAAGCTAATTTCGTATTCAGCCGATTTAATCTGATTGCTTAACTGAATGCTGATCGAATCTGATTGTTTGATTGAATTTCCCTGATATTTATTCACTGCGCCATGAACTCATGCAGGCTGTGAAGCCAACATATTGTAGATGTAACTTTGAAACAATCTACATCAACATCAACAAGCAATAAACTGTACCTACCATTGTTCAGAACTTTATTTATTTACAATCCAAGAACCAATCTTATTCCCATCATTAATTACATCCTGTGGCCAGAACTACAAATTACTGAACCACAAATCGTCCAAACTAGTATTGGACGAAGAGGACGTTCCAACCATTGGCAAACTACAAGAATTTACATCTCCACTTCTGATTTCTGAATGAATTCAGAAATCGACAAGAATAGCTATGATCTACAGAGACTAAACCCTAGCTATCACTCGAACTCCCAGCAAGCTCTTCGGTTTTCCAACTCGAAGACCACCGGACCTGTCGCCTTCGCCGCCGCTGACACCGCAGGAGCCGCCTGTCGCGCGCCATTGACGTTCTTGGACATGGCGGCCGGCAGCTGGCGCACCGGCCTCGCCGGCTGTGGCACAGCCGCGCACTGGTCGCGGCGGCGGTGGCAGCACCAGCAGCAGCTCTGGAGGCGGCGGCGGTCGTCGAAGCACTGGCGCGAGTGGCCGCCCCCGGCGGCGAGCTCCTGCGCGCTGTGCACTCGCCGCACGGACGGCGCAGCGGCGCTCCGCCCGGCCGGCGGGCAAGGCCGGCGCGCCAGGCGCCCGGCGAGCTCCTGCGCGCTCCGCGCGCGCCGCATCATCATCGGGGGCGCGACGGGCTGGCGCCGCTGCTGCTGGACACCAGCGGCGGTGGAGACGAACACCCGGAAGCTCGCGGACGGCCGCGTCGCCCTGAGGCGGTCGTACTCGTCGCGCATGTGGGCGAGCTCCTCGTCGGAGGTGACCGACACCAGCAGGTCCTCGTCGAGGCCCCCGTCGGCGAGGCGGTACCTGACCGCCGTGACGGCGTCGCCGCCGGCGCCGGCCTTCTCCGCCAGCCGCGCCGTCAGCTCGCGGAAGGGGGCCCCGCGCGGCACGGCGAGGGCGCGCGTCTCGCCGCCGACGTACCGGAGGCCGCCGCCGGGGCCGCACGGCACGAGGCGGCCGCCGTGGCTGCAGAGCAGCCTCATCGTCGTCTCCTCCGCCGCGCCCATCTCGATCAATGGATGGATGGATGGATCGATCTCGGAGAGATCGAGTCGAAGAGCACGGAGAATTGCGGGGCGAATTTATCGGCGCGCGTACGCGTGCGCGCGCAACCGTCGACGCGTCGTTCGAAATCCGAATCGGATTAGAGTATTAGACGTGGACTCCGTGGGATCGTGGGTGAGGTGATGTCATCGTGTGATACTGATGCCTACGTGGGCCGGAATTGGATATGTGGGCCCATGGGAAGACATATTCAGGTCTTCTTCCCAGGAGTATCACTGTATCAGGGTGCTCTCATTTGCACAAATTAGGAAAAATAATATCCGTAAAATTTTAGTAAAATAGAACATGTTGTCGTACTGTTACTCGACAAGGTTTTAATGTAATTTTCGAGTAAACAAACGAATTTTGTCAAAAATGAAATTATTGTTACCTGAAATTTGTCTTTGTTGTTTTTCGTATACTCCCTCCGTTGTTTTTAAATATAATTTTCAAAACAAACCTCTATAAATCTTGATTTAAAAATAATATTTTTACATTTTTTTAGAGGAAACATAGAACATTACTCATAAGAAACATAGAGGTAGGCTCCCCTGAAAAAAAAAACATAGAAGTAGGCTAAGGCCCAGATTGACAGTCCAAGCCTGTTTAGGCCCACCCAAAAAGAAAAGAAAATCATTGAGCTCCATGTACCTCTTACCCGGCCATGGCTAGTTGGCCCAGAGAATGAGGTCCAACCACCCTTGACGATTTTTAATTTTTATATTTTCCTAATATTTTTTTAAATATATATATATTTTGGTCCTAAAATTTTACAGACCTTTACCTAACGCTATATGAGAGAGTGTTTTTTTATAAACACCCTTCTAGAGGGCCTTTTTTACGATGTTGTAGACGTTCATTGGCATATGCTAATGATCACCCGTCGAGGAGGCCGACCATTTTGCAAATAGCCCTTGCAGCTCTTGGAGAGGATGGTAAGAGGGTCGCCTATAAAATTGATACCCTAATCGTTTTGCATGCGGCTCCCTTTAGCCCTCCTAAAGGGTGGCAAAAAAAAATGACACCCTTGATTATTCTGTAATCAGCTCATTTATCGCTCTTTGCCTAGCAAAATGACCAATTCATCGGCGGGCGTCTGTTAGCATGCGCCAATAGCCATCTGCAATGTCATAAAAACATCATTTGTTCAAGAGGACGTTATGGTATAGATCTGTGATGCACATGGTGACTTTGTGAATATGAAAATATGTTGACCCAATCTTCGAATGTGCTCATATGTATTGGGTGCGTATGTTCCTGTGAGCGTCATGCGTCTGTAGTGTATTTCGGAAAAAAAAGGGGGAAAGAAATCTGATCTAGTAAGATAACATATATTATTTAATCTAAAACTGGAACCATAAAAGGACAGCCGTCAGATACGGATGGAGGGAGATAATGGCGAACGGCAACCCTTGCTAGCAGCCTAGCAGAGGATACGTATCTGGAAATACAATCTGGCAACTGGCAAGGAAGAACAACTTGTGGGGAGCATGCGAATTAATTAATCTATGCAGGTGAAAATGCAGGTAGGTAGGAGAACACAGATGGGAGTTCATAGGAACAACCGAAACAACAGGTAAGCCACGTTGGTCCTCGATACACCATTGATTCTGATAATATATAGTACACCACATACATGATATGCTACATTATATTATAAAATTATAGTATGCTAAACAGCTAAAGTACTTTTGATGATAAAATCTACTAATATATTCTTCCCCCACATCGAACGCAAATGCTATTTTATTTGCCAACTTGCACTGCCAGCGACTAAAGTTTCACCAAAATATGACTATATATCACAAAACGCGCGCACAAAACTTTTTTTTGAAAAAAAAAATTGCCAAAGGATCGAACACGAGCAGCAGCAAGTCAAAATTGGAGACTTTGTTCGTGGGCTGCCATAAACTTCCAACCGTTGAACTGTGTCCTTGACCGAGACGTCTACGTGCTCCCAGCTCAGGTTTGTGTTTGCACACTGTTCAGACCACACAAAGCTTTAATTAATTTGCCTCTTTTTTGTTTGAACGAACTAATTCTGTCATCTTCGTTGAAGGATAGGACTTTTGGCATTGCGTCGACCGACAACGCAGTTGACAAATGCAGCCAGCCGCTTTCATGAAACTATAACTTTTTAGTGATCCTTGTGAACCAAAGTCAGAAGAGTTGGAGCTATTGCTCGATCTGGAAAGAGATATAGTCAGCTCAGTTGTTGTGGCACAGTCAAATAAACCCACAGGTTTTGTAGCACCAACCATTTGTGCTGAGATGGAGAGATCAGTAACTATGAGCATGCATCAAGCAAATAAGGGCCTGTTTAGTTCGCGAAATGAAAATTTTTGGATGTCACATCAGACGTTTGACCGGATATTGGAAGGGGTTTTCGGACACGAATGAAAAAACTAATTTCATAACTCGCTTGGAAACCGCGAGACGAATTTTTTGAGCCTAATTAATCCATCATTAGTACTTATGGCTAATCATGAACTAATTAGGCTCAAAAGATTCGTCTCGCGATTTCCCCCCTAACTGTATAATTAGTTTTTCTTTTAATCTACATTTAATGCTCTATGCATGTGTCTAAATATTCGATGTGATGTTTTTGAAAAAAACTTTTTAGGAACTAAACGGGGCCTAATTGAGACATGCATACTGAGTAGGAGTACATTACAAATTAACACTGAAACAGTCAAGCAACCACGTACATATAATCATATAGTATATATCTCTACGCAAGCATACCTGGAGAAGAAAAAAAAATCCAACCTGACTGCGGCAAATAGGAAAAAAGAAAATATCCATCCAGTGTGAACCGTGGACTTAAGCAAATGTTATCGTGTTTTCTCTGCCATGCCAACACTCTTAGATTGTGTTTAGTTCATGCTAAAGTTGGAAGTTTGGTTGAAATTGGAACGATGTGACGGAAAAATTAGAAGTTTATGTGTGTAGAAAAGTTTTGATGTGATGGAAAAGTTGGAAGTTTGAAAAAATATTTTGGAACTAAACACGGCGTTACTCCTAAAATTTGTGCTTAACTTGTACTCCGTCCCAAAAAAAAATATGCGTGTTCAGATTCGTTGCTAGGATTGAGTTTTTTTTTTGGGACGGAGAGGTATATATTTTAAAAGCATGTACAGAGACTTGATGATTAATTTCCTGAAGGATATTTTCGGTCCAATTGAAAAGATAAATTCGTTAAATATATGAGAATGTCTCAAAGACCATGAGCTTCTAACATGGTGTTAGCAAGAGTGAAAATCTAAAAATTATGCAACATTGAATCTTCAATCATTGATAGCGTACATCATACTCTGGGCTTGTTTGGTTACAGCTTCAACTCTACTTCCATCTCTCCTAGAGCTAGATCCCAACCAAACAGTTTCAGTTCCACCTAAAATAAGAGCAGAGCTGGGTGGAGCGCTCTCCCAAAAAGAACTAGAGACTCCACTCCAGACTCAACTCTCGAAGCTAAATTTAGGAGTTGGAGCTTCTACCAAGCAGGCCATTTATCATCACCCCATCATCAGGTTCAAAGCTTTTGGCTTGAGGGATATTTTTTAAAATAATATATATATCTTAAATTGTGCGGAAAGTATTCTCTAGCAAATTACTAACTTTTTATTATGCCATTCAACTGTAACACATTTTTACGGTGTCTATCAACAAATTACACAAACTTTAAGTGTCATGGTGTTTATCAACAAATTACACAAACTTTGAGTGTCATGTGATAAAATTTGCCATTCCAATATGGCTGCTCGTAGTGTTCAGATTTTGTCTTAAATTAGAATACAATTATCTCTTGATCTACTCCGTCTCAACTAATAAAAAAATACTCAATTTAATTTTATATGACTTCTTAATACTCACTTTGAAAAAAAAATCAAATATGATTTTAGAACGGAGGAGTGGCTATGTGCATATGTACATGCTCGAGGAGTTTAAGATTTTATAAACGCTTTCTAACTTCTGGTTGCCTGGTTGGTTTTCTGAATTTCAAAAGTACAGCTTCTTAGAATCAGATGAAAATTTAAGTCGCTTGGAAGAGTCGAAGGTGTTAGGAGAAGCTTTACGGCTTTAGAAACTCGGACTAGGCACTTCACACCGTGAAGTTGAAACTCAAACCACTCTATTGTTGTCTACTACTACTCCCTCCGTTTCACAATGTAAGTCATTCTAGCATTTCCCACATTTATATTGATGTTAATGAATCTAGACACACACACACACACACACATATATATATATATATATATATATATATATATAGATTCATTACTATCAATATGTGAGAAATGCTAAAATGACTTTGTCGACGGGTGATACCCGTAGACCGGATATAGAGGGTATTGGGGTACGTTGGTACAAGGATCTACATAGTACGACATCAAGCAAACAAAAGACAAGAATTATACTGGTTCAGGCCCCTTGATAAGTAATAGCCCTAATCCAGTTGATGTGGGATTATATGGTAGAAAACACAGGTTACAAAGGGAACAAGCGAACTTGTCGGATCCGGCGAGATTGTAGTCAAGTTGTTTCGACTAGCTCTCGATGACTTGGCTCCTCGTAGGCTCCGGCTTCGTAGGCTGTGTAGGTTGTGTTGGTTCTGAGATTCGATGTCCTCAACCCTCCCCAGGGGGTCTCTTTTATATCGCAGATCTAGAGGTCTCCACGTAGAACTCGGAGGTATCGGACCCTATACGATACGCCAACGACCCAGTTCTGCCCGAGTAGGATTCTTCCCGTCTGTAGATTCCGTGAAAGGTTTCCTTAGAATATACAGGAAATATCCGCATGCGCGTGGGTATGCCATATCGATATGTAACGTATATCGAAGGGTAAAGGGTACGCCTAACCCGTAACCCTGACAGACTTATATTGTAAAACGGAGGAAGTACTATCCAAGTCATCAACCGATCAATCTCTTTTTTTAGGCTTATTTAGTTGGTAAAAAAATTTGCCCCTACATATCACATCGGATATACAGAGGCAAATTTGAAGTATTAAACGTAGTTTAATAACAAAATAAATTACAGATTCCGCCAGAAAACTGCGAGACGAATTTATTAAGCATAATTAATCCGTCATTAGCAAATATTTACTGTAGCACCACATTGTCAAATCATAGCATAATTAAGTTTAAAAGATTCGTCTCGCAATTTACACGCAAACTGTGTAATTGGTTTTTTTTCCACATATAATATTTCATGTATGTGTCTAAACATTCGATGCGATAGCGTGAAAAATTTTGTTTGGGAAATAAATAGGCCCTTATTTACTACTTCCTCTGTCCCAAAAAAAAGACAAATCTTGGGTTTCCGTGTCCAACGTTTGACCATCCGTCTTATTTAAATAAATTATGAAAAAAATTAAAAAGACAAGTCACGCATAAAGTATTAATCATGTTTTATCATCTAACAACAATAAAAATATTAATTATAAAAAATTTCATATAAGACGGACAGTTAAATGTTGGACACGGAAAATTAAGGTTTGTTTGTTTTTTTTTTGACGGAGGAGTACATGTGACGAAACAACTGGCCGGCCGGACCACCGGCTAGTGTACGGACCCGGCGCCGGAATGCGCGGTGGGGCGACCCATCAACGAGCCGACACGGGTCTCCAAGTTGCGCAATATTTAAACCAGCAGGCGTGGTCAACGCCCGCCCACATGCGAGATACGACTCTCCCCCTCCCCTCCTACTCCCGCAAGTCCAAGTGCTGAGCTCCTCCCCCAATAAATCCGCCCAGCCCCGCCGCGCCATGCCCGCGAGACCCCTCCACGGCGACGGCCATGGCGAACAGCAAGAGCCTGCTCCTCTGCTGGTGCTCGCTCCTCCTCCTCCTCCTCGCCGCCGCAGCGCCGCCCGCCCTCGCCCTCCCGCTCTGCACCGACTCCAGTGAGTAGTGTGATTCCGGCGTGCCGTTCCTCTGTTCTGGACTCCTTTTTGTTTTTTGTTGTTGAGTTTTGTGTGTGGTTGATCGGGTGCAGGGGCGCCGGTGCCGCTGAACGGGACGACGCTGGGCTTCTGCGGCGGCGGGGGGAGCGGGAGCAGCAGCTGCTGCGGCGCCGCGGATGATGCCGCGCTGAGGAAGCGGTTCGAGGCGATGAACGTCTCCGACGCCGCGTGCGCCGGGGTCGTCAAGTCCGTCCTCTGCGCGGTACGCACGGATCGTTACTACCTCTGCTTATCAATTTATCATGAGTTTCCGTGGCCGTCTCGTCTTCAGGGGAAAAAAAATCTGAAGACCAAAAAAAAAAAAGTACTAGTGTTGGTTCAGCAGTTTCTGCTGTTTGGGTTGCATACCAAGTGTTCGATGTTTTGCCTGATCAGGCTGATATTCCGGGGGGAGGTTCTAAGCTGAGCACTTTTTTTTTTCATTCTCGGGGATGATGATAGTGTTGATCAGTCGTATTAGCATTCCAAATGTTGGTAGCCGAAATCTCTAAACCAAACTCATGAACCACCCTCACAGCGAACAACTTAACTGAATCCTTGGGCATTATTCTTCCCATGTTGTGATGACTGCTGAGTCCACGCGCTGCACACCTCTGCCCAACACTATCACTCGTTGACTTCATAGAGGGATGGGCAGCAATCCAAGTACCATTTATTCTTGAATCAGATATTGGATAGGTGTGTTGTGATTCAAGACTCTTAACATACCAGGATATAGCCGTACTCTTATTACTATAAGAATCTAAAAAGGAAAAGCAATAGAATTTTCATGTAAACCGCCTTTGGTTCTAATAAAAAGTTCGTCTAAATCATTAAAAAGGAGGTGTGACTGGGTCATGCATGGGGTAAAGCCATTGGGTTTTACTGTGTATAATGATAATAACAACAACACTGCCTGACTGCCATGTGATGATCAGTACTTGCAGTAGGACATGGATTTCAAGAGATATTCTGCTGTTTATTTTTTCTGTGAGCTGATAGTTACTACTTATTTGTTGCTCGTAGACATCAATGCTAAAATATTTTCTAATCTTGTATCCAGAAATGTAATCCATATTCGGCTGAGTTGTTCAACTCAAGCTCAAAGATTCGGATGGTTCCCGTCCTGTGCAATGGATCAGCTTCAGCTAGTTCTACTCAATCGAAGGATTCTACACAAGACTACTGCAAACTAGTTTGGGAAACATGCAAGAATGTGACAATACTGAATTCTCCTTTTCAATCTCCTTTGCAAGGTGGTGCAACATTACCTAGTTCATCATCAAAACTTACTGATGTTTGGCAGTCAGAAAATGACTTTTGTACATCATTTGGTGGCTCATCTGACAACCAGTCAGTATGCTTAAATGGAAATGAAGTTTCATTTAGCACTTCAGAACCATCACCCAGTCCTAAAGGGGTGTGTATTGAGAGAATTGGAAACGGGACATACTTGAACATGGCTCCTCATCCGGATGGATCCAACAGAGTTTTCTTGTCTAGCCAAGCAGGTAAAATATGGTTGGCAACTGTCCCAGAACAAGGCTCTGGAGGCATTCTGCAATTTGATGAAGCCAGCCCATTTATTGATCTAACTGATGAAGTCCACTTTGATTCTGAGTTTGGACTCATGGGTATAGCATTTCACCCAAAGTTTGCTACCAATGGGCGCTTCTTTGTTTCTTATAATTGTGACAGAACTCAGTCATCTAACTGTGCTGGTAGGTGTTCATGTAATTCTGATGTTAACTGTGATCCTTCAAAGCTTGGATCTGATAATGGTGCCCAGCCATGCCAGTACCAAGTTGTTGTTGCAGAGTACTCTGCGAAAGTCTCATCATCAAATGTTTCGGAGGTATGCATTTTGATACACTCTTCTGTGCAAATATTGACATCAATGCTCTTTGCTTATCCTTATTCTTCTTCCGTGTGTTCTCTTATTTTCGAAGACACAATGCAGCATGTATATAAAATGAAAGAAGATATCACAGAGTTGACATTTCAGTAGCATTCTCATCATATATTTATTTTCTAGGCAACATCTGCTAATCCATCCGAGGTTAGAAGGATATTTACAATGGGACTGCCATATACAGCCCACCATGGGGGACAGATACTTTTTGGACCTACAGATGGATATCTGTACCTTATGATGGGTGATGGTGGAAACAAAGGCGACCCTTTTAATTTTTCTCAAAATAAGAGATCACTTTTGGGGAAAATTATGAGGCTTGATGTTGATGGCGTTCAAAGTAAGTTAGTAATATGGATTTTGTTTTCATGGTTGTTCGTAATGTCATTTCATTGACTATTCCATTATTATAATTTGTTAAATTGATGCCATGTGTAACTGTTTCATCTCCATGTTCCTGTTGTATAGAAAGATTATTCTGTTGGAAATTTTATAATTGCTTTATTCAAATGCCCACTATGTATAATTTAATATTCTTTCCTTCCTGAATACCAGGGTACTAGTAACTATACTAAATGAAGCAGCCTACACTAAGAAAATGATAGCATTAAAAATTTGCACCGTTTGGTGTTTACATAATTATTTAATGTGCACATGTTTCTGGATGGTTGAGATTATAAAAAAATATAGCTGACAATGGTAAATTGTAATTTTGTGTCTGCGGTCCTAGTTTGATATCAGAATAACATTACGTGACTGTTTACATTTGTCAGCCAAAGCTATTTTATCAGGTGAACACACTGTCCTTTCGGAACTTTCTGGATGAAAATAGTCATGCCATTACTGCATCTTCATGATATGGTATTTACTTTTTATTAGATTATTGCTCCTTCACAGTATTGTTGCTTTTCAGGCCAGAGTCAAATCATTAACCAGAGCTTGTGGGGTAATTATTCTGTTCCTAAAGACAACCCATTCAGTGACGACCGAGACTTACAACCAGAGATTTGGGCCTTGGGCTTGAGGAACCCATGGAGATGTAATTTTGATTCTGAGAGGCCTTCCTATTTCTACTGTGCAGATGTTGGGCAGGTAATGTTTCTGAAAATATTGGCAAGTGGGCAACCACTTCATATTGTCATGTGCATGTTACACAACTCATTTAAGTCTCTTCTTTGCAACTGAGCTCTTTTAATATGGGCTACTGAACTAGATTTGGACATGATCATGCATTCTCTTGCTAAAATTTCCATTTTTATGTAAGGGTTTGTAGTTACTATGCACATGTTTAAGCCTTTTTAAAACCCCATACGGGTCCATATTTTGTGAAGATTCACATATGGAAAATCGTGTAAGAATCTTGCCTTGTTTTCATCATCTATGGTATTCTTTTGCAGTATGTACTGTTCTTTTTGCTCATTATGTTTGAAGGCTGAGAATTATTTCGGGTACAATATAATATGGACTGTCAGGATGCATTTTGATCTGACCATTTGCTTTTATTGGCATTTTTACCTTGACATACATCCATAGGATTTATATGAAGAGGTAGATTTGATCTCGAAGGGTGGAAACTATGGATGGCGTGCATATGAGGGCCCATACATTTATCATCCAGAATGGACTCCTGGAGGGAATACATCGCTTAATTCTATAAATGCCATCTTCCCTGTTATGGGCTACAGCCATTCTGCTATCAACAAGAACACTGGGTCTGCATCAATTACAGGTGGATTTGTTTATCGAGGGTCTTCTGATCCCTGCCTATATGGAAGGTTTGTATCTGCTATTAGTTGGTTTCTTAACATTTCATAATTTTGGAGCAAATGACGTAAAAAATGACTCCATGCAGCATGAGTAAAGTTTTCCATGTATCTAGTTTCATTAGGTAACGTGTACGCTGGAATTCATCATTTAGAACCAGTTACACTACCTATTCACAACCAATCATGGCACATGCTATATTTCTATCATGTCAAGCCAACAGTGCAACTTCACTTTTTTTTAGAACTTATGGTGCGCAAAATAGTTTGTGCATTAATTGTAAAACAAATGCATATATACAGTATATTTCTAATGAAAAAATAAAAATATGGATTGAGCATGTAGAAAAGCACTTTGTTGGGCTTTGCAAGACAGAAGCATATAACATGTTAAGTGCAGAACTTTTCACTCTGATGCTTATTCATCAATCCCTATTTTTGTAGGTAGTCACCCTAGTACTAGTTTTTGTGTATACCATTTGCAGTTACAATAGCACCCTAACCATACATTTTCATCTTTGCACACCGACATATATTCACCAATCCTTCCATTGAAGAACATGACTTTAATAGCAACTTGAGGATTGATGAATATCAATATCATTCACATTTACAAGCTGCATAGTAATTAACCAAACGACTATTTGTTCTTCTAGTAATGAGCCGTGATAGTAACATATCATCTATTCTGATATATATTAATCAATCCTCATAGTAATATGCATATTGCCAGTATTGTTCTTCTAGTACTATTATTTGTGTTTACCATTTACAATTACAAGTTGCGCAGCAAAATTAGCTATAGAAATTACAATTTCTATCCCCTTGATATGTGTTCAGGTACATATATGCTGATCTTTACGCGTCAGCAATGTGGACCGGCACAGAGACCCCAGAGAGCAGCGGAAACTACACCTCAACTCTGATTCCGTTCAGCTGCTCCAAGAACTCTCCAATACCCTGCGAATCTGCATCAGGCAGCAACCAACCATCGTTGGGCTACATTTTCTCCTTCGGCGAGGACAACAACAAGGATGTCTTCCTTCTAACATACAAAGGCGTCTACCGAGTTGTCCGGCCTAGCCTCTGCGGCTACACCTGTGCCGCGGAGAAACCAGAGACCAACAACAATGGAACGTCTCCCTCAGGCTCTTCATCATTTGCTTCAGGAAGGAGGATAGGGAAGTTGGCAGTAGTAATGGCGTTTGTTTTGTGTGCATTATTCTTCTGAGATGTCCATCCCTGTTAGCTTGTTATATATCATGTATGGTTTCTTTCGCACCTGCTGTACAGCATTGACGAGCCCTACACGTCTGTGTGACTGTTTGTGATTATTAGTAGTATTTGGTTGTGCTTAGTTCTCAAGTGGTGGGCTTGTGCAATGTAGCATTGTGATGACTGAAAATTAATTAGCCGTGCTTGCCTTTAGGATTGGGCAATGGGCAAGAATATTTGGCAAGTGGAACCACGTTACTGTTATAAATGAAAGTTGTACGGGGGGTAAGCTTTGTTCTGAACCTTTAGTTTTCGGGCTTGTTTGGTTTGGTGCTAAATTATGCCCAACTAATTCATTGGTAATTTTGAATAGTGCTTCTATATGTTTGGATTGGTGTCAAATTTTACCAACACCAGTTCTTAGGTAGTACAAAATTTGTCCACCTAAATTTGGTAGTACCAAAATTTGTCTAAACTTTGATACTACCAAGATTTTAGTAGGGCACCAAACCAAACTGGCCCTTCATCTTCTTTTTGTTTGAAGAAGACAAAAATAAACTCACCATCTGGACATTCTTCTATTCCATCAAGGTTATCTTATCCTCCTGTGTTCCATCACTTCTTCCAGGTTGTTCCTGTACCTTCCTGCTCATTCGGTTGGCATCAGTCATTCGGTAAGCAGTCATTCGGTAAGGCCATCCCCAACGGGTATCCTTGGCTAATAGCCTTGCTGACGTTGTCGAGCTCACGTTTCTTTTCACGCCGGATCCGTCTCCCAGCAGAGAGAAGCGACTCCTCTGTGAGGCACGAGTCTCCTTGCGCTCCTCATCTCCTTTTCATGGAGCCACAGGTCGTGGGCTCGTGGCTACACGTTAGGCGATGCTATGGTTAAGCCTCACGCTAATGATCCTTGTTGCAACATAGTCATTTTCCTCCTTCAACCCTCGGCCTCGTCGCTTGGAGGAGGCCCACGGTGGTGGGGAGGAGCCAGAGGGGAGGCGCGGTTTGGAAATGGCGTGGTGGTGGAGCTCCCTGGAACGAGTCGGCGGCATGGTGGGGAGTAGGAGGCAATGCGACCCACCAAATCCAGCTGCCGGCATGGTGGACGTGTTAGGAAACGATAGGCAAACAAACGATAAAGAACAATAGATCAATCACAGAAGACACGAGATTATAACGTGGAAAACCCTCCCAAAACAGGAGAGAAAAAAACCACGGACGCTAGCCAGCAAAATATCTTCACTATATCTCATTAGATAGAAGAAGTTGGATCAGCGACAGAGCCTTACGATCTTTCCGCTTCTCCTCAGCGGTCCATTCAGTCGATTTCTTCTTCCCAAAGCTTTCCAGCGCCTCATCAAGATCCGAAGTTTGCGCCAGAACAGCCCGCATCTTGACTTGCCACAGCGAGAATCTCGTCTTGTAGTCTAGCAGCGGTAGATCATACTTCATCGACGCCATCGCGAAACCCTAATGTGGGAACAAGCTCTGATACCACTTATTAGGAAACGATAGGCAAACAAACGATAAAAAACAATAGATCAATCACAGAAGACACGAGATTTTAACGTGGAAAACCCTCCCAAAACAGGAGAGAAAAACCACGGGCGCTAGCCAGCAAAATATCTTCACTATATCTGCAGTGAGGTTACAACGCCGCACGACGGCTTATAAGAGATATATATATGGTGAAACCCTAGAAGGGATGACGATCAGTTTCGCGGGGGCTCCGCCCCCCACCCCCAGGCGTCCCCAGGTGCACGGCCCAATGGGCCAGCTTCAGCCTCCGCTCCACTATGGCATAAGCACCTTTATTAAGTGCAAATGAATTTGGATCACAACTCAATAGGACGGTGACAGGTGGAGGGAGAGAGAGAGGTGGCGGTGACCTGGGGACGGCGCAGCCTACCTGATCAGGTTGCTGGCTTGGTGGACGGTGAGGGACGGAGGGAGAGAGAGGCGGCAATGACCTGGGGATGACGCAGCCCACCAGATCTAGCGCGGTGAAGAGGAGCTCCATCAGCGACAGTGACAGGAGAGCTTGGCTGGGAGGAAGGAATCGTGGGTGGCGACGGATGGAGGTGACGAGAAGTGAAGATAGCTGCGCAGTCTAGAGGAGGGGAGAGGTGGTCGGTCGATGGGCATAATAATAAAAGAGGGGTAGGTGAGGAATACCACACTCGTGGTTTCGTAGGCTGGGACACATGTGTTATGTACTTAGAGTGTTTTCACATAGTGCCCTCAAATTTTAAAAGGTTTATTCAAGAGTAGCTTTTATTGTGAGTAGAATGTTCCATGTGTGATCTTATGCTATATGGTCCAAAGGAGACCACTACTATCGGTGGCTTTTATTGGGGATACTCTAATGTTGTTAATTGAGTTTCTTGTCCTACCTTCTGTCAGAGAATGGAAAAGGTGTCTTTGGATGTTGCTAACCTCATTCTTCATCATTGGGTTGGTTGTCCCTCCCCTTGGAATCGTGCAGAGGTGCTGACAGCCAGACGAAAAACTAATAAGAAGAAAAGATTAGCCAGCTTTGTGTAGTACGAGCTACCATTTGTAGACAGGATCACAGGAAAGAGAACTATATCAAAGTCTTTTCAAGCATCCAATCTCTTTGGAGATCTCTGAATTTGTCAACGATCGCCGCGAGCTCGACGTCCGGTCGGCCTGTATAATCGCTTCTCGCCCCTACACCTATACGCACGAAATGGCAAAAAGAAAGTACAGGAAGGGGATGTTGGAACGATCTAACTAACTAATTAAGCAGCTAATTAAGCCCGTGAACATTGCAACTGTATTGTACTAATACACCTATAGCTAGGTGACAATCTCTGCTTTTTGACTTTGTCCGGCTAAAGCTTCTGCTCTAATTGGAGAAATTTTAAGAATATTGTTTGGAACGAGTTCAAGTGTATAGGAGAAAATATATAAAAGGTACTGCACTTCAATATATAAAAGGTACTGCACTTGAACGTTAGGGAACGTACAATTCCGACTAATGAAATGTCTCATAGTACTCATATCGCAATCGTAGAGGAATAATGTTGTTGTCTCGTCAAAAAAGCAACTTCTCGGGCATTAGGTGCCGACAATGAAACGTACATAGCGGCAAAATGCTATTTAGAGTCGTACGATCTCTTTTACAGTTATACATGTACTGTGTAGAAGTCAGAATGGGAAGTCAGTTGAGTGTAAAATTTTGTATATTTGCAATGAATGGACAATTAACTACTGCTCTGTTCTTACTTTTGCTAGCTGCATGTTAATAAAACTTATTAGTAAAAATATATCCATATGAAAGTAATTTTTTTATAACAAATCCATTTTCGTGTATTAAATTCTAATATTTATAATATATTACTAACGTAAATTAAAGAGGTTTGACTGTAATGTTTATATCACAAAACGGTATTTGTTTTCAAAACAAGTTGGCTATATGCAAATATAGGACGCCATCTTTTAAGAAACGGAGTACTTTTCTTTTTAAACAAAATAGAGGTCTTTTTCTTAACAACCATAATAAGTCGGTTCTGCTATTTAACAGGTAACACGCGACAATTTAATTTCCAGTGAAAAATATTTTATTTTTTAGCCATCAAATATTAGTGCTGTGGGGAGAAAACATTTCACGCACATGCAAAGGCGAGGGGAATTAAACTCATGAGGTGCCGATCGCAACCGTCAAACCCTAGGTACCACTGCACCAGCTAATAGCTTTGTCTGTATACATCCAATTTACGTGTAAGTTATAGATTTATAGTATAATTACATATAAGTTATAATATAATTATGCTCTAACTGCATTATAAATTTAAAATTACATCTACTACGTACTTTCGAATGTTAGTACTTCCTAATAATAAGACTAATAAGTACGAATACTAAGTACGTGTGTGTTTGGAGGGTGTTGGTGGGCAACCCAGTGAACCGCCTAACCAGTGCCGCTAGCAAGCAGGGTCCCCCCGAGTCCCTTGGACGCTGCCGGCGCTCACACGAAAAGGAAAATCTCCCCCACGTAATGCCTCCCATGTCTCCGCGACACAACCAAACCCCGCAAATCCCCTTCGCCACTCCGATCCCTCCCGCGTCGATCGATCGGCTCTCGTCGCCCGCACGACGCCCCTCTTCCCCCGCTCCCGCGCGTCGCCGAGCGTTTCACGTTCACAACACCCCCCCCCCCTCCCCGCTCCCATCGTACGAACTCGTACGACTCGCCTCCGCATGCGAGGATTTTCCCTGCCGGCTACGCACGCCACCACGCTCTCCGTGACAACGAGGCGCCAACCTCCTCCTCACTACCCGCGTCGTGCTCCCCCTCCCCCACTCATATAACCGTCCACACCCCGCTCCTGCTCCCGCCACGCCATTGCATCCATCCAATATCCATGGACACCCACGCCGTGCCCCGCGCCGCCGCCACCGTCGACCTCCGCTGGCTGCTCTCCGTCGCGGCGGGGGCCGTCTTCGCGCTCCTCCTCCTCCTCGCCGCCTCCCCGCCCTTCCCGCTCCGCCCCGCCTCCCTCTTCACCACCACCTCCCCGCGCCGCGCGCTGCCGCCGCTCTTCGTCGAGTCCTCCTCCACGCTCTCGGCGCCGCCGCCGACACCGCCACCCTCGCCGCCGCGGTTCGCCTACCTCATCTCCGGCTCGGCCGGGGACGCGCCCATGATGCGGCGCTGCCTCCTCGCGCTCTACCACCCCCGCAACAGCTACATCCTCCACCTCGACGCGGAGGCGCCCGACGACGACCGCGCCGGCCTCGCCGCCTTCGTCGCCGCGCACCCGGCCCTCTCCGCGGCCGCCAACGTCCGCGTCATCCGCAAGGCCAACCTCGTCACCTACCGCGGCCCGACCATGGTCACCACCACGCTCCACGCCGCCGCCGCCTTCCTCTGGGGCCGCGGCGGCGGCCGCGGCGCCGACTGGGACTGGTTCATCAACCTCTCCGCCTCCGACTACCCCCTCGTCACACAGGATGGTACACTCTCTCTCACCATTAATGCCACTCCAAGCTCTTCCTTCCTACTACTCATTAATTGTTGCCGTTAGCGGTTGGATCAAATTCAGTTCATCCGCATTTCCTGAAAATTATTGGTGTTCTTGATTGGACTCCGCATTGATTCTTCGAAAATTGTGATTAAGATGCTCATTAATTTACTGCAGATTTGATGCACGTGTTCTCCAAGCTGCCACGCGATCTCAACTTCATCGATCACACAAGCGACATCGGATGGAAAGCGTGCGTGTTAACTGAACAGTGCCAATGCATTATTCTGATCGGTTCCTTTTGCTGATTGATTGCACTGTTTATGTGATTATTTTATCAGATTTGCAAGGGCGATGCCAATGATCGTGGACCCAGCGCTGTACATGAAGACAAAGGGTGAATTGTTCTGGATTCCCGAGAGGAGGAGCTTGCCGACAGCATTCAAGCTCTTCACTGGTATGATATGATACTGTCCTGAAAATCTCTCAGTGGAAACCTGATGCTGCAGTAAATTTGTCCATCATTGCACTTGATTAGCATGATAGTGCTGTAGTTTTTTAGAGGAGAAATGTTACTGCTTTTAAGTTCTTCACTGGTATGAGTGGCACCATGAGAAGAAGTTCAACCCAAAGGATCTTTGGTACAACAGAATTGCAGCTGTTGCAGGCTTGTAGGTGATGTTTATTGCATTGTTGATTTTGGAGCGTTGGTGATGTTGTTTACTCGTTGCATACCAAAGATTTCAACAGGATAAATTGCTTGTTCTTGCAAATCATATCCTGTTGAAAAATTATGATTTTTCTGTTGTTCTTAATTCATAATTCCAATAGCTGTTTCAAACTTGACTTTGTCTGAACTCTGAACAATTGAAAGGTCTAGATTCACTAAATCTCAGATAGTTGGCCTTCCTAAAAATAAGGTGATCCTCTCTAAGTTCTGAATTAGTGGAGACCATGTTTCTTTCTAGGAAGCCAATAAACGCAGCATTCCTGTGTCTGATTGCTTCTCATGGTCTTCTAATTAGTGGAGTATTACTAGCTAGTTAGCCTAATTAGTATGTGTAATATAATGGCAATCAAAATTAACTTATTGATCTTCGCTAATCCAGTTGATATACTCAATTCACAGGTTCGCGGAGTAATAAACTGCCAACTTTATTTGAGCTATTATAACATTGTTTTATTTTACTTGCGGCACATTTAGCTTCTCGGTCCAAGAAATGGTGCGGCACATTTTTATATGAGATTAATAATTTATAAACAGTGCTACAGGAGAGCAGGATAGCAGGATGACCACCTCTCAACCACAACCTAAAAACTACTAAAAGAAACATAATAGCTGGATAGTAGCAATCATATTATTCATTAGAAAATTATATTCATCGGATTATTATTATTATTTGCTCTATGGATCAAAGAAAGTTGATGGCGTCTTTGCTTCCTTCCTATCAAAGAGTCAAAGTCAACAGTGAATCGGTTGCTGCAATGAAATGAATAAACTTGCCAGCTATCTTATGATGGCCCATCATATTTATGCTATAAATCAGTAATATAATATGCTCCATCATATAATAAATTCCAAAGTTTTACTATGCAAAATGCTCCATTTTCCTCTGCCATTTCTCCTCTATCTGCAAAGAAGAAGTCCTGCTCGCTCACTGACTAAATGTCGTGAGTGATAGATGAAGTGGCCGAAATAGCGTCCCAGTTTGAAGAAACACCTGCGTTATGATGGTAGAATCATGTGTATATGAATTCAACCACCATGGTTCCACAAATATTATGTACAAACAAATATGCTTTTAATATATAGTAGGAATTTAGCGGTGCTAGAATATGTAGCTGGTCTCCGTCTCTTTGAGCGTGTGTGTCTTCCGTGAAATAAAAAAATAGTCTAGTTTTAATCTTTTTAGAGATAAATTTTAGACTTCCGTGAAAGTTCAGGGACATTAAAAAAAAAGAGAGACATTTTTCTTACTCCATTCGAAATCAAAGACTAAAATGCGAGATATCTGCAGGGTCAGCGTGGATGGTGCTATCGAGGCCGTTCGTGGAGTACCTGATCTGGGGGTGGGACAACCTCCCGCGGACGGTGCTCATGTACTACGCCAACTTCATCTCGTCGCCGGAGGGCTACTTCCACACCGTCGCCTGCAACGCCGGCGAGTTCAGGAACACCACGGTGAACAGCGACCTCCACTTCATCTCCTGGGACAACCCGCCCATGCAGCACCCGCACTACCTCGCCGACGCTGACTGGGGCCCCATGCTCGCCAGCGGCGCCCCCTTCGCCCGCAAGTTCCGCCGCGACGACTCCGTTCTCGACCGCATCGACGCCGACCTCCTCTCCCGCCGCCCCGGCATGGTCGCCCCCGGCGCCTGGTGCGGCGCCGCCGCCGCCGCCGATGGCGACAGCAACAGTACTACTACCGGCGGCGCCGTCGACCCCTGCGGCGTTGCCGGCGGCGGCGGCGAGGCGGTGCGGCCGGGGCCTGGCGCCGAGCGGCTGCAGCGGCTGGTGGCGTCGCTGCTGTCGGAGGAGAATTTCCGGCCGAGGCAGTGCAAGGTGGTGGAGGCGAATTGAGCAAAGCTAAGCTAGCTTAGCATCTCGCCATCGAAGATCGATCTCTCGTCGATGGGATGAAATCTTGATATGATCATGTGAGATGAGAGCGCAAAATTGCCTGAATATTGGGAGTGCGATCGATCGATCTCACGTACGGCATATAGGGTGCATGACACCTGAATATACTGATGATGGTGTGTGCATATATAATTTGTATGGTGGCAATGTGGCATGCAAGAATGCATGATGCTAGGTTGTCAATTAAGGTATACGTGTGTATACTGTATACTGTAAAAAGAAATAGAAATACTACCAGCATATATGGAACGAAGAATGTGTGTATTATCCGACATTTTAACACACTTATACATTTGTTTTTAGAAATTGGAAGAGTACAAGCTAAGTACAATTATTTTACCCTTTTTTTCAAACTAGGAAGGTAGCCCGCGCATTCGCGCGGGCATGTGTCGTATGTTAAGTTTGAGATACTTATAAAAGTGAAATATTAACCGGAGAACACCTCCCATAATTTCTCTATAAATTGTTTTCGTGGCATTAATTGCTTTTATAATTTTATAACCTGTTAAATCATATTTAAGTAATATCTATAAGTAATTATTTATAATCATCTTCATCATTTGAAAAGAAGGTAGACTTACTTTATTTAGAAAACATATCAACGTAAGTAAAAGTAAGTTGTTTTTCTTTTTTTAGTTGCATATATATTATCATAGTTTACTAAAGGATGAATTGGGTGGGACATGAAGCTCTAGTAAATGTATGGGTTTATATAGCCTAATATGATTAATGTGGTTTGAGAGACGATCCATCTGTGAACATTTCATGTAGAGTGAGTGAGAGGCTCCACGCAATCTAACATGAATACGATAACGATGAAATATAATTGCACAATAATATTTTTTAAATGTGATGTACCATGAATATACGCTTGTTTTTTTATATATAAGATAGATATAATGGTTAGAAATAATGGTACAATTGATTTAAAAGGCATAGGAGTATTCCATATATGTAGCTTATGGTTGTTTTAATTATGTGGTTGGTGACTTACGAACACTCTGGAGGGCGTTTAATTGATTTTTGTTATGTACAATGATTTAGTATAACACAATACATATTTTCAATTATTTTTCATGTTTATTTAGTGTTCATGCAAACGGTAGGATCTACCTTCAAATGATATGTTTTAACTTTTATATAGCAGAATAAAGCTAATGAATGTTTAATTATAAATAAAACAATAGTTATGACTGTTTTTATATTATGTTAGTTAGAAAAAAATAGAAGAGGTGATAATTGCATTGGAGAGGAGAGAATGCGATAGCCAGAGTGGGAGGATAGTGGTATTACGAAAGACAGGATGATGGAAGGAGATTATTGTTTTTAAGATAGATCAAATGTATCCTATAATTTTGAGTTATCTATTTTTATAAATACATTTAATCTTAGATCTAATTTAAAATACTTTTGGTGTTGTATTTTCTAATTAAACTACTTAATATATTCTAATTTTAGTGCATTTTATTAATCAGAAGGTTTAAAAATCTATTTGATAAAATAATAATAATTTAATAATTTATTGGTTAAAAATATTCGGTCTAGTTTGAATTTAAATAATTTATAAAAAAGGAGGGTGGACACCGGCCTTAGAACACGAAGGATGTCCGTTTCTACAAAAGTGTATAGGACGGTGATTTAGTTTTATTTTTTTGAAAAAATATTATTATAAATTGTGATTTCCATCCAACTAAAATAGCATGAAAATCATGAAAATAGGATAGAAAAGGAACAAAGGGGAGGGCGTACACGAAAGGAGTTCACGTACATGGAAATGTACTTAATGACATATGATATCAGGTCCACCATATAATTGTAAATCTTATAGCTGAAAATCTAAAATAGTGGGTTCACCGGTTAATTAGAATGCCATATGGCGGTTTAGGAATGTTTTTAGAAGTACACGTGGCGGTTTAGGAGTATTTGTAGGAAGACATGGACAATAGTTTTTTTTATGTACGTACATATGCATGTTTTCTTTTTTTTTTCCAAATAATAGTCTCCTGTACATGCATATATACATACATATATTTTCTCCGGATGAATAGTATATGTTTATTTTTCTCTCTTGCAAATACACGTGAGATTAGAAGAGAAGGCCGGGATTAATTACTTTAATATGATTTGATCTAATCTATTCTACACCTGTACATGCGTGACTACATATAAAAGGGAAAGTGATGTTACGTGTGGGAGGGAGGAGGTGGAGGTGGAAAGATTTTTTTAAAAGATAAATCTGACGGCTTAAAACAATGGGTCTACCGATTTTAATGAAAATGGATGGACAGATGTTTTGTTTTTTTCTTAGAATTTGTAAAAATTTCTATTATTTATTAGAATGCCATGTGGCGACTTAGGAGCGTTTGTAGGATGTCATGTGGCGATTTGAGAGTGTTTATAGGAAGTTTAATGTACTTTTAGTATATAATAGATAGATAGATAGATAGATAGATTGGTAATGGGATATATTTGTATTATTTTCTTGTTACTTACAACGAACTACAAGGAAACCGACCTGTACACTGCCTCTCTAACAATTAAATCAGCCAAAAACGAAGCACGTTTTGTCTATGGTCAGTTCTTCACTCACTACACCTGGTCTCAGAGTTAGGATTGCTTCCTTTTATTTTCACGAATATTAAAAAATGACCTAATATCAAATAAATAGAAGACTCGCTACACCTGGTCTCAAAGTTAGGATTGCTTCCTTTTATTTTCACGAATATTAAAGAATGACTAATATCGAATAAATAGAAGAATCGCTACACCTGGTCTCAAAGTTAGGATTGCTTCCTTTTATTTTCACGAATATCAAAGAACGTCCTAATATCGAATAAATAGAAGGGGCGAGACCTCGAACCCAGACCGACTAGCCCACCACTTTGTAGAGCTAGCCGGCCAGAAGACCCCTGGGTGTTTCTCGCTTCCTTTTATTTTCCACCAAAGAGTTATGAACATGGATAATTTTACTATTCTTGAGTAAAGGTATCAGGAGATATCATATTTTTTTAAAGAAAACTTGTCACCTCTAGATATTAGGTATCTTAAGATACTAAAATTTATACATATTTTCTCAGGTACTATAAAATTTTTGAAAGGACATACATACCAAATTCTCAATTGATGGTATCCCTGAGGTCTTGTTTAGAAGGGCCTCAATTAATTCTAGCTCATCCACTTCGTATAAAATTTCAAACACATACAAGCGGATAGGAATGCATTTTGGCCCATCCAAATGAAGCCGTACCTGAAGAAGTATGTTCATACATGTGTACGTACGTGCTCTCGAGTAATACTGATAATTAATTAGGCGATCCCCTAATTCATTACTTCACAATTCACACGTTGGCATCAAGGGAAAAAAAGAATAACTCATTCCCAGGATACAGTATCTGTTTTTGACAATTTGGATGGGCTATATGGGCCACGATTGCCTTTAATACTGTGGAAAAGTACATATGGGTCCCTCATCTTGTCATCGGATTTAAAAAACATCCCCAACTGCAAAACCATATATATTTCATCTCTCAACTAACAAAATCGGATCTCTCTAAATTCCTAGACGATTTTGACTCTGGTTTTGTCCTACGTGGCCGCTCAGTCATAGAACCCACGTGGGCCCATACGTCAGTCTTTCCCCTCCTCCTCTCTCTCACTTTTCTCTATACAGGCCAGCCGACGGGTGGGGAGGAGGCCGGCGCGGCGAGTCCGGAGAGGAGGGCGTCGGCGGCCAGCGACGCGGCAAGCAACGGGCGATGGGCGACACTTGTATGCTTTCATTGGCAAAAGTTCGGTTTGCTTGCTGCAAATTCCTGCAACAACATACGTGGTATCATAGATTGTCAGTACTGAGAGGTCTTAGTGAATTAGAACTACAATAAATAAATCGATATTTTCTATATGTACTCTGACTTATTTTCCCAACCAAAAAAAAAAAGCAGGACCTCATAATGTCGAACAACGAACGATCCCCAGAAAAAAAAAAAGAAGAAGAACTACACATCTATATATTCTCAAGCCGGCTGGTTTGCCGGGTTATGATTGGGCCACTTGGCGCTGTTAAGATGTAAGATAAATCAGGGATTATGGATGGTAAAAAGAAAAAAAGAAAACACTTGCATACGCTGCCCCACTCGAGCTTTCTCGAACGAAAGTGCAGTAAGCCAGCAACATTCTAGAGAGGCTTCCGAGTTCCGATAATCCGATCCACCTGCCCTCAAATATATTCAACCGCACAAGTGATTCATGTGTATGGTTAAGAACAATAATCGCAAAATCTATTTCGAGAGGCATCTCGATTTAGACTTAACGAGCGACGCGGATAATTACGTGAGAAGTACTAGTAGCGTTACAGACATGCATGCAGATAGTTTTTGCTATTAGATTGTGCATATTTTTTTCTTCTTATGAAATTTTCTATTAAATTAATTATCTGATCTATAATTCGATTACGCCGTTGTGTTCATAACAATTAAATCTTTACAACAAGATCTCACATGATTATATTTTGATGAAAAATCACAAATTACTTTTATGATATGTCTAAATTACTTTTAGATTTCACTAAGTTACTTCTTAGACATACAAAAGTAAATTCAGTAAAGCCTAAAAGTAATTTACATATATTATAGAAGTAACTTAAAACAAAACGAATGCAACTTTGGCATGTCATTTGAAGTAAATCCGTTGTAGAGATAAAAACATGACTCTATCTAGAAATTAAATTAATCAGCACAAATTATTGAATTAACTAAAAACAATAATAAAAGTAATCACCTCAGAGCATTATGAATATATAGAAAGTATTTTAATCAAACCTAAATAAGTAACTTATATATATGATAATTATATATGTGATAATTTGTTCAATGAAAAAAGGTATTAATTAAAGTTACTTTCTTTTTTGTTATAAGTTACTTCTATAATATATGTAAATTACTTTTAAGATTGACTGAATTTACTTTTGTATGTCTAAGAAGTAACTTAGTGAAATCTAAAAGTAACTTAGACATATCATAAAAGTAATTTATGATTTTTCATCAAAATATAATCATGTAAGATCTTGATGTAAAGATTTAATTGTTACGAACATAACAGTATAATCGGATCGTATATTGAATGAGTAGTTTAAGAGAAAATTGTATTTGAAGTATAGGTGGATGGTGTCTCTTATAGATGGAGACAAACCAGCTACCACTAGCTATGTAGTCACGTCCAACGATAATACCTCCATCAATAAATACATTGATTGTCCTGTGTTGCTAAGAAAAAAAAATTCTCCCAAAATGATTGCTCGTTGCCTTAATTTTACGAGCGGCTCATTTTGTTGGCATGTAGAATTAAAAAATGGTGTGTAAAAATGATTTTTATTAAGTAGTATTAAAATATGTGAAGCGTGTCAATTAGTAGCATCTAAGAAAGCTACCGTTATGTCTATTAATTTTTCTGACAATTATTAACGTAGGAACAAGTTTCGTTCAATGATATTTTTGAACAACTTTCTAAAGGTATACAAAATAGAAAACAGTAAATAACTAAATCAAATTAATCACAGAAGATAGGATGAAAATTCATAATCCTAAGAGTCAATAGATTTTCAAGAGTGTATACATACATGAAACATTTAATTCATGAATGTCACATTCTATAAAACATGCTTTTATTTAAAAGGAGAAGCATATTACATCCTATTTGATGAATACTTATTTCCTTCCTTTTCCAAAAATTTTAAAAAAATAACAAAAAAAATCTGGAACTCTAGTACATGCTTAACCCTCCGACGATTCCTTTCAGTTTTACTTAGGAAATTTAGGCCTTGCCTCTATTCGTCCCAAAATAAATTAATTTTTCATCCATTCCACACATACTAATACAAAACTCCCAAAATACTATAATGCCCCAACTTTATCAAATCCAAATTTAACTATTCTTCACTTTATCTACTCGCAATATAATTATTCTCTAATTATTTATTTAAGATTAAACTTATTCTAGGATAATAAAGGGGGATGACTAGGTATCGGTCGCCCGATCAAAATCTTCAAAAATCGGGCGCTGACGTCAGCATGACGTCAGCGTCCGATTTACGTGCAAAACTATTTTAAACTGATTTTTCTCTTAAATTACTTATCCAAATCATGATCCGATTGCACCATTAAATTCGTTGCAATTAAATCTTCAAAACAAGATCACACATGGATATATTCCGACGAAAAAAAAATTAGCTTATTATTGAATTTTTAAAAAATATTGCACGATGTTCCACCAGGTATATCGGAATTGTTTTACTAAGTAGATCGAAAATGTTTCCCTCGTTTAAACCGGGTGTTGTTTCACCTTATATAAAAATAATGTTTTAGCAAATAGTGAAAGAATGTTTCAGTTCACTGCAACATTTGATCTATACATAGTGAAACATTGTGTATACACTAGGTGAAACATTTTTCGGTGAAACAAAAAATAAAACGAATTCCCTTAATAGGGGGTTTCCAAAATATATGGGTTTTTTTAATGGAATATTTCAGTTCACTGCAACATTAGATCTATATATAGTGAAACATTGTGAGTACACTAGGTGAAACATTTTTGGTGGAACAAAAAATAAACTAAATTCCGTTAATAGAGGGTTTCCAAAATATGTAGTTGATTTGTTGCAATTGCAGATAAGGCAGGCACTATGGTGGAACCTAGTAGCATACATGCAGGCGTGTGGAGAGGGCCGCGCGGGGGGAGCGCCCGATCCGGCTCCCCCGCGTCGGGCGCCGACGAAGTAGTACTAACGATTAACGGATAACTAAGAAGTATGTACCTAATATAACCGTATTATTCTGTCACGTAGTGTGTAAATCTTTTCTCATTTACCTTGTCTAAAGCACATAAGCATCTCCTATATACTAGCACAATGGTGAGCGATGGAGAATACATACGGGCCATACAGACACCCTCTGCCCGTCCTACAACCGTTCACCGTGCGGCGAAACCGTGTGGACCGTGGCATCTATCTATACAGAATGGTTTTGCAAGTTGAGCTTCTAAGATTTATACTCCCTCTCTATTTTAATGTATGACGCCGTTGACTTTTTAACAAATGTTTGACTTTTCGTCTTATTTAAAAAATTTATATAATTATAATTTATTTTATTGTGACTTGATTTATCATCAAATGTTCTTTAAGCATGACATAAGTATTTTTATATTTGCATAAAAATTTTGAATAAGACGAATGGTTAAACGTTGGTTAATAAGTCAACGACGTCATACATTAAAATACGGATTAACACGGAGGGAGTATATTGGAGTACGTAGTATTATAGTTTAGGATCGTCAATTAAACTCGTTGTAAAGAGGAGGAAAAAGTAAACGTACTTATGGCCGCTCAGCTCGGTCGGAATCTCCACGGTCCAAGGTTGGGAAGGAACGGTCAAAAGCTCGATCCCCCGCGGCTCCCGCCTCGCGCGAAAAGAAGAAAAAACATTCTCCTCCCCTCCCCTGCGACGTGGATCGATCCACAGTTCAACACCAGCATGCAGCGACGACAGCATATGCCACCATTGCAACAACCTCCTCTGATCCTCTCTCTCTCTCTCTCACACACACACAGCCTCTCTCAAAAGCCGGAAAAGCTAGGCCGCCCGACCAGTGTAGCGAGAGAGCTAGCTCGGACTACACACTAGTATTATATGCGCTGTGCCAGCCAGGGTCTGGAGATGATAGCGATGCGTCCATCTCTGGAGAGATGTTGTGCTGTGTTGGGTCGCGAGGAGGGAAGAAAGCAGAGAGTGGATTGCGACAGCGCGTCCGGCCCGGTTAATTCCACCGGGAACTCTCAAAGCGACGCCGTAGGGGCCGGCAGAATCCGGCGCTGTCCCCTTGGCGCTCGCCAGCGCCATCACACGGTCGCTTTCCCGGTTTATCTTTCTCGATGCCCAGCCAGGAGCCAACAAGGCGTTTCTTTGCTTGTATATATATGTCTTTTACTGGAACAAGGATTTTACGTTATACTACGATCCGTGCAGTATACATTTGGTTGAGGGAGACGCACGGTATAACATATGGAATCTAACAACATCAATATGCTTCAAACAAAACATATAATAGTTGATCTTGTCCTAGCAAAACAAAATACGCCCTATTTTTAAAATGGAAGGAGTAGTAGAGGAATGCTTATGTGTTGATGATGTTGGCATAGATATGTATCCCAACGTGTACTCGTCTAGGGCTGTTAAAAAGCTTGAGCCCCGCGAGCTGCTCGAGCTCGACTCATCCATAGCTCAATTCAAGCTCCAGACGACACGAGATGAGCTGAGCCCGACCATATGCCAAAGCTCGCAAGTTTTGTTAAGCCGAGCTTAAACTTATAACGAAACTAACAATATATGGTTTTTATTATCTATTTAAAATATTATGAGATTAAATATGTTATTTGTATGTATCTCACACTATGGCTTGTATTGGCATCATATATTTATCTTATTCCTTTTCTCCTCTTTCATTAATGTGATAAATTAAAAATAATTATACTTTTAAGAGATTATTCTTGAAACAAACATAGTTCTATTTACAAACCAATCTCAGTACTTGAGCTCAAACCAAGCTTGTGTGAAAGCTCGACGGACAAGCTCAAACTTAGATAGGCAAGCTTGCTTGAGCTCGGTTTGTTGACAGCCCTATACCTGATCATCGAAGTTGAAGGGCTCCTCAAAGGACACTACATTAGCGCCTACCACATTAATCTTGGTGTGGATCCAACAGTGAGAAATCCGACTTATCCAACCAAAAGTGTGTTGAAAAAAAAAACTCCGAATAAAGCGACGAAAAAGAAAGCTCAAATATCTAATACAACTAGATGAAACAAGTACCTCGTATTTAGAGCATAAGCATCACTATCAGAAACCTCTTTATACTTGAAGGAACCTCCTTATACTTGAAGGATTGAGATTCTCCTACATAACATCAGATCCCACCGTTCAAGAGCACACATGTCAGTGACTACATCAATGAATCTACCTTTTGTACTAACAATGACACGTTGTTTCAACATTAGCCACCACAAAGGAGTGGCATTTTGATCGAATCCCTCGCACATCCAAATCATTCAACCCATGCGCCCATGCTCAAGCAACTAGACATAGCCAGTACTACAAAGCGACCGTATCTGATAGTACTATGACTAGACCAATATTCTGCCGTCGGTAGTAGTACCAAGTACTAAACCCTGCATTGCATTGTAGTCATCATCACTTCATCAGTTTGTTCAGACAGAGTAGGTCCCCTTCCATTGCACAGATCACCCATTTGAATACTCCATCATCTCTCTGCCTGCCTCCCCTGCATCCATTCCATTCCGATGATCGAGCTGGCCCGAATCCTGGCTCCTTTGGAACTTCCCTGTCTTTCTCGGGCTCTCACCCAAATTCATTTTCATCGTACAATCTAAAACTAGATGTGACATATTCTAGTATAATAAATCTAGATATATATCACATTTAATATTAAGTTGGTTTTTTATGGAATAGAGAGAGTATCTATTTATGCAGTTACGCAGAGAGCTGATCTGATCACGACGTGACCCTTGCCTCATTTCTGCTTGCTGCTTGCTGCTTTTCGAGTGAACCAACCAACAAAGAAAAGAAACGACGAGCTACTAGTAGAGTATAATAGTCATTCAGTCAGGTGTATGACTCGCCACGTTGCTATCGATGCACATCAACATCAACCTCTGCATCGAAAGCTAAGCTAATCCGATCTGAGTATATATATGTGCGTGATCAGATATAGTCGAATAGTCCATAGCCAAATCATACACACATAATTTCTTCCTCTAGACATTAGTCCATTACCAGTTTAATTACCACTTGTGTTTTTCAGCCTCTTCGTCTTGCTCCCAAGAACTCGCGAAGTTGTTGGCTAAAGCCATGATCTGTTCGTCCACACGGTACACCTCATCGTCTCTTGTGTGTCGCGAGGAGATCACTAGGAGGAGATAGCATCGTAGCGGCGGCAACCGGCGGCGACAGCTTATTATTACAGGAGAGAGGTTGCTGACGAGGAGGCCAGTGGTGATCGTCGTGGTCACGCCTGAGCAGCAGCAAGCTAGCTAGCTAGCGGCAATGTGCGGCGGCGGCGGCGGCGGGCAGATGGTGGTCGTCGTCTTGCTCGTCTGCGTCGTGCTGGTGTCGTCGGCGGCGATGGCGGGTGGCGCTAGGACTGGGCCGGTTCATCTTGCCGGTGGCACGGCTAGTAGCAGTAGTGCTCCTGGCCCGGCCGTCGCCACGCCGCGAGGTGATGCCGCCGGAGCTACGACGATGACGGCGACGACGACGACAATGACGGCGGCGGCGACCACGGCAACGTTTGCGGCTGATCCGTACAAGGATAGCAAGAGGAAGGTGCCGAATGGGCCCGACCCGATTCACAATAGGTACTCATCTCATCTAATTCTATATATTTATCTTTCTCGTTGCCACACTGCAAATTTAATCAAGGATGCATATGTGTTTCTAGTCTTACTTTTTTAGTGCAAGCATGTGAAGTTAACTCTGAAATTCTGCTGATTAAGCAGTAGTGGACTAGTGGTTAACCTACAACTCGAACAACTGTAACTCTGTTCTGCAGCCTTGTCCGAGAAAATGCATAAACCTATTAAGCAAATCAGATTAACACACCTACTAAAGTGGGCTTAACTACTCGATCTTGAGCTCGTGACCTGTCAAATGAGTAGGTATGTTATGTAGCATGTCATCACACAAAACATCAGTGTTCAGAAAAAAAGAGAACAGGTTAATTAGCTTTGAAATGCGCTGTCAGATATGTGCACTGATTATTGAGAGCATCCAAGAGGCCTCTCTGAAAAGAAGAGGAATGCTTCGATGTTTGCGCATGTCGTGACTGACTGACAGTCTCAAAGGAGTCGGGCAAAAACGCCCAGCACAACACAAGAAACAACAAATGATTGCAGTACACAGAAACAAGTATATACTATATTTCTATGCAGTATATATGTATCTATCCATCCATCCATCAATCCAAGAATTATTCCTAGCTACCAATCATATAAGCATGCATCCATGGGCCCCATTGAAGCAAGCTAAGCTAGCTAGTAGTCGAATTCACAAACTGACCTCGGTTTTCTGAATTCTGATTCTTCTTTTCATCATGATGTTCTCCCCTCTCTGCATGTGCCTAACCATCATTCTTGCATTTTGCCTTTTTTCAGGAGAGCCAGATGGGGAGATGCACCAGCGAGGAGAGTGTAGAACAACTACATGCATCCATATTCATGTAGAGTGTCGGATCGAAAATCGAACACATGAAACTGTCCATTATAGGTTTTGTAAAAGAGGATGCAGATCTCTGAAGAAAACAAGATTTGGTGTTGAATGGAAGGTTTCATGCCAGGTAGATGATGATGATGATGATGATCACATTATGGACGATGGTGAATAGAACAGCCATGAAGGGTGGTGGTGCTGATAATGATGGTGGCAGGAGGGGATTTATATAGTTATAAGCTTATATAAGTATTCTTGTATAATGTATTAGAATCAGAGAGGGAGCTGAAAGTGCAAAGCCATGGCACACTTTGCTTTGGCCAAAGTGCATGCTCGGAATCCTCTCCAGTCTCTTGGTGAGATTTTGTTTCTTTTCTTTTCTTCTTCTTGTTCTTTGGAGGGGTTAATGGTGTTAAAAGGAGCACTCCAACTCCAAGAGCTAGCTAACTTTGTTAGCTACTTCATTTCACACAGAGTAATTGAGTAAAGCTCACACAACAACTTCTGAACAAAGACTGAAGAATGGCTCAAAGCAAGTTTAATAGTATAGCCAACTACTAGCTCTAATTTATCTATAGCCAATCTAATAGCTCATTCATACAATAGTTACATACTACACTATTAATACCTGGTCCCACCTGTCATACACATACTGCATCTTGGAGTCCGTGCTACAGCTGGCTACAAATCTGTAGCACGCTTCTCTTCTCTCTCCACATTTATCTTCTTAAAATATGTTTGTAGCTGGCTTATAGCATGCTATTGTACTTGCTCTCATGCATGGTGCTTTATTTTTTGTATTTTTTTGTGCTTTCCTTCTTCCCAATGCATGGCCTCTCTTTATAGCAACCCCTCCTTGCTGTGCTTGGAAAGGAATCAAAGGGAGAGCAGTAAATCTAACAATGCAAGTGAATGAATGAGTGATACATCCATCATTCACCAATTGAAACCAAGAAACCGAAATTCCAGATAGCGAGGCAGGCAGATCCGCAGAGGTATATAGGCTTCTGAATGTCTGATCATTGGAGAGGGGTCAGCTACTATTCGGAGGCCTAGAAAAAATATACTTCCTCCCTCCCAAAAACTAAAATGAGATAGAACATAATCTGCATATGTTGTATTAGATTATATTACATTCCACTCTAGGTTAATTTTTATGTGACAGAGAGAGTATCAACTAATACTCGATTAAACACCACCAAATACTATACATTTGGATAAATGCTATCCAAATTCATAACTCTCGAGGGTATGTCCCCTCATTACTTATATGTCACTTAAGTAGTTACAAAAAAAATAAAATAAATTAATAAGATGTATTAACATATGATATATCTCTACAAACATGTAAGCTAAAATTCAACTGACATACAAATAATAAGGGACGTCTTCTCAAGAGTTTAGAATAGTTTTTTTTAATAAAGTATTCAATCAAGTACTGAATTACTACTATATTTTGGGACAAAGTGAATAGTTCTAGCCTAGGAGAGGTTCTTTTCACGCAGAAAGTAAGGTAGGATAGCTAGAAGCAGAGAGGCAGGAGACCGTGTCTTGATTCTTGGGCACTGTCATTGGCATTGGCATTGGCTTCTTTTGCACTTGACACAGGCAGTGAGGCGGCAGCAGCAGCAGCAGCAGCATCTCGTCCTCGTCGTCGCCGCTTTATCTTTTAGCTGCTGTTGCTGTTGCTGCAAACGAGAGTCACGCATTTTGAGGGGGTATGCTGATCATGCTGATTCGGGGTCTTGCATCCCGAGGATGCTGGTGATCGAGGACGAGCTGATGAATAATCGATCGATCAGCTAGCTGCCTGCGCCTGCGCCTGTCCTGCACTGGCTGTGCTTTGCTGCTGGTTATTTTGGAAGTGCACTCGAGCTTGCATAGACTAAACGTTCGTTCACCATGGAAATATTCTTGCAGCCAGAGACCAGACTCCAAGGCCGGCGGACATGCAGTCAGGCGGCACAGCTAGCTACTGGTACATCATGGTACGCAGAATATAGGATTACTACAGCATGATTACAACTACTGTAGATCATAGGTCTATCTAAATTTGTTGCACAACTTAGGCTGTGTTCGTTGTAGGGGGTTGGGAACTAACTCCTGTGCACGGAAAACCGAGCGGTCCATTAGCACGTGATTAATTAAGTATTTGCCAATTTTTTTTAAAAAAATGGATTAATATGATTTTTTAAGCAACTTTCGTATAGAAACTTTTTTGCAAAAAATACATCATTTAGCAGTTTGAAAAGCGTACGTGTGGAAAACGAGAGAGGAGAGTTGGGAACCAGTGCACACCAACTCAGCCTTAGTTTTAAAAAACAATCGTTGCACAAGATATATATACGGAGTATTCCAGCATCTTAGGGCAAGTTTTATAAGTAGATGATATTGTCACATATAATATTATCCACATCATCAACTTATTTATCGGAGGACAGCTCATACACCGCATTGCCTTTAATATACTAGTCCCAATACAACACAACTATTTATTTTATCCACTCTCATCAAATCAATCTCACTCTTTTTTTCTTTCTTCCTTAAAATTTGTGAAGAGGTTGCTCCTTATATGAGGGGGTGGCTCATCATCTCTCTCCTCTATTCTCTCCTCCACCTCATCATTTAAGCTTAGGTAGCATTTAGGAGATTGTGTTTAGATACTTATAGCACTTGTCCTTCTAGGTTGGTTTATTTTACAACGGATGATATATGTGGCACGGATCGCCTCCCGTACGTTGTGGCCCTCACTGCATCACTAACACATGCTTCATTCATCCTAAAAATATAATAATTCAAAACTTATTCTAAAACAACAACATTTCTATTTCTAATTTCACATAATTGGTTAGTACACTTGTTTAATTCTAAAACTCATTATATTCCTAATTGTTGATGAAATATGTGGGTTAATATTGATCTTACACGAAATACACATGTATCTTGTTCTACGCCCGTGATGTGGACCCATAGACATGGACATACCCCATCCGTGTATATCCCTGTTGTGCCCAACACAAATACAGATATATCTTGTCTTTGACGTGCAACCATCTCAGACGGAAAAAACAATATTGGTGGTATGAATTCATCATAGATGTTAGTGGTGGAGCCATGAATTTAATCTTGTGGAGTCAATTACTACTAGTTTGTATTTAAGTGGTGTCATTTCTCTATTTTTTCTGGGTTTATACATGAAAATAAATGCCTATATGGGGTGTTTTTTTAAAAGATGTGGGGTCAGCCGACCCCGCAGTTTATGCATAGGTCCACCACTGATAGATGCTATGTCCAATCCTGTCCGTGATTTGAACAACACCACAAATGACTCGATACATGTATGTGACCTTAGCGGGATCACATATATTCCTTCGCATCCCCGTCTTTATGCTAAGTAATGTCTATAATTTGGATAATGATCATAGACACGGGAGGTATCCCACATATGTACCATTCTTTAGCATAGGTATTATGCCACCAAAACTTAGGTTGTGTTCTTTAGCATGAGTTTCCACACACGCTTCCTAAATTACTACACAGTGTGTTTGTTTGAAAAAATATCTATAAGAAAGTTGCTTTAAAAAGTCAGATCAATCCATTTAGGGAATTTTTACCGTCCAGCAGTATAACGAATGGCTGTCGACAATCGAGTACCTAGCGCGCGGTACCTGCACTCATCCTGCTCTGTACTAGTAGTCCGAAGGGTAAATTTGGAATTTCGTGTTTAACCACGAAGCCGCGTCCCTCTCGCAGGAATCCCGACTCGGGAGTTCTTGCGCCTGACGCCCCATGGTATTCCTCTTCTCGTCTCCCAGCGCACCTACCTTGCAGGAGAACTCACCAACGACGAGAAACAGGGAGGGAGCTAGGGTCTGGATCCGGCTGCCCCAAGCCTGGGGGGTGCAAGATCTGGAAGCGCTGGCCACCAAGGCACTGGATCCGGTCTCCCGAGGAAACATCCTCACCATCCCCAGCGACAGGAGTTCGACCAGCCGTCGGCACCCTCGCCGCACAACGCATCTTCCTCGCTAGCGATTTGAAACCATCCGTGTTGATTTTTTTTCCTCGGCTCATCCATGGCACTATGGCAGAACCATCTGCCTTGATCTTTTTTTTCCTCTCATCCTTTTCAATCACAGTATGCTCTCACTATCGTAGATGGATGAAGCTAATCTATTGGTTCTATTCAGACATGGATTCAAAACATTGATATCCAATTTGTACGACATATAGCTCCACATTTTTTCCCCAAAACTTGAAAATCGGTGGCGTGTGATTCATATATATGTTTTTGGGTCGATGTAGGGATTAATTACATATGCATGCTAGATTTAAATTGGTTAGCGAACCAAGTCAAATCAAGTTTATATTGGTTTATCTGATGATACATGTGATTTTTACGGCCTCCGGATCCCTCGATGCATCGGCACCGCTCAGACCAATCAGTAGTTAATCGGCGACGGCGACACGGATGAACACTCAGGTAGCACTACGATGGTGCTGGTGGCCATGAAAGAACACCGATGTAGCGACTTTGGCGATCAGAAAGTTCACGAACAAGACGATGATGCTAGATTGAAGAATCGGGTCAAAGGGCGATGGCGCTAATTAATGTTCTCCACCGCTACTTCCCTTCTTTTCTTTTCCCAATCATGCCCCTCTTGATTCAACGGTACCAGTACCTGGAGGTACTAGTTGATGGACCATAAAAACTTTCATCCATTTAATTTTAAATTTATTTGTTAATACTTAATTAATATGCGCTAATCCACTGTTTTATTTTGCACGCAGGAGAAGAGGGGTTCCTGACCCCTCGCGAACACAGCCTTCGCTGCATCCTGAAAAAGAGCCAGGATTTGGCAGCCACAAACCCCGCAATACCATACCACACAAACATCATAGAATACCAAAAAATATTTTGGTACATCCTGAAACGTAACTCAGATTTTGGTGGCCACAAATTAAACCATGCAAAGATCACATATCACATATACGACACATAGAGCAATCTAAGATTATGTAGACAGTTCGAGTTAACGTTGAGACGAACAATAACATAGAACCGAGGAAGATCAAATGAATAACAACAGCGTCAATTCAAGTCACCTATACAGATCAACATCAGTTCAAGACTTCAAGTCATGGAGAGGTCAATAATTAGCAGTGGCACCATGGAACTATTTTAGCGATATCACCGTCATAAAAAAATTGGTGATCCATTTTAGAATGTGACTAGAAAATCAGCATGCCAGTTGGCACGCCGACTGATTTGTGTTCTGTACATATTATTGTGGCTCCTCTAGTCTCAATAAAATTTCCATGTTTATATGGATCAATTAGTTCATCCCTTCAAAGAAAATATGGAATTAGTTTAATGCCAATAAAATTTTTAATGAAATTTCATACATTTGAAAGTATCCCTTAATTGGTTATTTTGTGTTTGTAAGTGATAAGGGGCCGATTGAAATATACAATTTTGGTTATCTAAATAAATTTGAAAACTATGTTGAACATCTAAAATAGAAATTTTTGTATAGTCGCTTATACCGAAGAAAAAAATGTAGCATACCCGGTGCACACATTATATAGTGTATATTTGGAATGTGGAAATTACTATATAGATCTTTCATAAAAAGTAGTTTAAGTACCTTAAAATTCCATGAAAACTTACATTTATAAAATAAGAAATAATATATGCTTTGTGTAAAATACGTTCATCAAATAGGATGTAATATGCTTCTCTTTTTTTTAAAAGCATGTTTTATAGAATGTGACATTCATGAATTAAATGTTTCATGTATGTATACACTCTTGAAAATCTATTGACTCTTAGGATTATGAATTTTCATCCTATCTTCTGTGATTAATTTGATTTAGTTATTTACTGTTTTCTATTTTGTATACCTTTAGAAAATTGTTCAAAAATATCCTTGAACGAAACTTGTTCCTACGTTAATAATTGTCAGAAAAATTAATAGACATAACGGTAGCTTTCTTAGATGCTACTAATTGACACGCTTCACATATTTTAATACTACTTAATAAAAATCATTTTTACACACCATCTTTTAATTCTACGTGCCAACAAAATGAGCCGCTAGTAAAATTAAGGCAACGAACAATCATTTTGGGAGAATTTTTTTTTCTTAGCAACACAGGACAATCAATGTATTTATTGATGGAGGTATTATTGTTGGGCGTGACTACACAGCTAGTGGCTACCACTCCATCTATAATAGACACAATCCACCTATACTTTAAATACAATTTTCTCTTAAACTACTCATTCAATATACGATCCGATTACACCGTTATGTTCGTAACAATTAAATCTTTACATCAAGATCTCACATGATTATATTTTGATGAAAAATCATAAATTACTTTTATGATATGTCTAAATTACTTTTAGATTTCACTAAGTTACTTCTTAGACATACAAAAGTAAATTCAATAAAGCTTAAAAGTAATTTACATATATTATAGAAGTAACTTATAACAAAAAGAAAGTAACTTTAATTAACACCTTTTTTCATTGAACAAATTATCATATATATATAATTATCATATATATAAGTTACTTTTTTAATTTGATTAAAATACTTCCTATACATTCATAATGCTCTGAGGTGATTACTTTTATTATTGTTTTTAGTTAATTCAATAATTTGTGCTGATTAATTTAATTTCTAGATAGAGTCATGTTTTATCTCTACAACGGATTTACTTCAAATGACATGCCAAAGTTGCATTCATTTTGTTCTAAGTTATTTCTATAATATATGTAAATTACTTTTAGACTTTACTGAATTTATTTTTGTATGTCTAAGAAGTAACTTAGTGAAATCTAAAAGTAATTTAGACATATCATAAAAGTAATTTGTGATTTTTCATCAAAATATAATCATGTGAGATCTTGTTGTAAAGATTTAATTGTTACGAACACAACGGTGTAATCGGATTATAGATCGGATAAGTAATTTAAGAGAAAAATTCATAAGAAGAAAAAAAATATGCACAACCTAATAGCAAAAACTACCTGCATGCATGTCTGTAACGCTGCTAGTACTTCTCACGTAATTGTCCGCGTCGCTCGTTAAGTCTAAATCGAGATGCCTCTCGAAATAGATTTTGCGATTATTGTTCTTAACCATTCACATGAATCACTTGTGCGGTTGAATATATTTGAGGGCAGGTGGATCGGATTATCGGAACTCGGAAGCCTCTCTAGAATGTTGCTGGCTTGCTGCACTTTCGTTCGAGAAAGCTCGCGTGGCGCAGCGCATGCATGTGTTTTCCTTTTTTTTTTACCATCCATAATCCCTGATCGATTTTGCTATATATTTTTCAACAAATTTTTCCCCAAAAATTTGACAGATGTAATTACAGTACAATCGTAGTGTAATTACACTGTAACTTGCATGTAATTACACTGTAACTATAGTGTAACTTGTATGTAACTTTCAAAAATCTCCCCGTAACATGTTATTTTAGTAAATTGGAGGTCGTGGGAACAAATTCTTTCACATATGTGTGTGCTATGATTTGTTTTCTTCCTCACCAAAATAAATCTTGTAATAGATCTAACGATTCAAAATTATGTAAAACTTACATATAAGTTACACTGTAGTTACATGCAAGTTACAGTGTAATTACATATAAATTACAGTGTAATTACACTACGATTGTACTATAATTATATCTGTCAAATTTTTAGGAGAAAATTTATCGACAAATGAATAGGTAGTCCCATCCCTGATTTATCTTACATCTTAACAGCGCCAAGTGGCCCAATCATAACCCGGCAAACCAGCCGGCTTGAGAATATATAGATTTAGGTCCTTCATTTGACATTGAGTTTGAATTACATTCCTAAACCATAAAATCGGGTACAATGTACCCCTCATGTTTTAAAACCGGTGTAAATGTAGTCCTAAGGTAATATTGAAGTCGATTTTGGGTGAAGTGGCACAAGATGCAAAAACAAAAAAAAATATGTCCTTCACATCGGACCCACATGCAAGTAGAGGTGGGGTGGATGCCGTGGCGGCGGAGGCGAGGTGGCTCTAGCGCTCGCGGTGCATCGTAGGCGGGACCCAGGTGGACTTGAAGTGGGTGGTGCAGTCAAAGCCATGGCTCTTGCAACAGGTGTGGCAGCGAAGGTGGGTGCAGTCCTCCTTTGCCTGGTTGCCACGGTTTTGGCATCTGATGATGCCGCTGGTATTGGGGCCCCTCCCGCCGCATGAGGACGGCACCACCGCGGTGAGGTCATCGATGAAGCGGATGATGTTGGGGGCGTAGAACGGGTGCGCCTGGTGCTACTACCATAGTTAGAACTCGCCACAAGAGGTCGTGTTTGGGTAGAGAAACATTGTGGTGAACTCGAGGGCGATGGGGTTGATGGAAGGGTGGTGGTTGTTTCCTCCACTCTCAATCGAGCCCCTAAAGCGGCAACTTGATGGTGGTGGGGGGTTTGTCTGCGGCAGGGAGCAGGGAGTGGGAGAGGTGAGAGGAGACGAGGATGAGAGAGACAGTCGGCGGACGGAAAACTGACGGTGTCCACCACCGCTGCAGCAGACCCGTCCCCTCCTCCGATGCAAGGGCGAGTCCGTGGGTTGCGCAGCTGCCACCTGAGAGCGTGAGGGGATAAGAAAGAATGTTATTTCACTTACATGTGGGTCCCACATGGTTTTTTATTTCCTTATTTTCGCTTCTTGTGCAATGTCAGCACCACGTCACCCAAAACCACCTTCAATACTACCTTATAACTATATTTGCATCAATTTTGAAAGAAAAGGGATGTTTTGTACCTGATTTTACGATTCAGGGATACTGAATAAACTTGACATCAATATGAGAGACCTAAAGATGTTATTCCAAAAGGAAAACGATTGTTTGAGTTAGACCCTTTACCAGCCCGTTTTCGCCCAAGGAATAAGTTCACCCGCCATCCCTTAACTTTACGTCGAGTTTGTACGACATCCCTAATCCCTAATACCAAAAATGTCGACCCCCTCAATTGTTCAAAACCATGCAAAATAAGTCCCTTAGTAGTATGGATAGGGGTTTCGCTGATGTGGCAAAGTTGACCTAGTCCATTCGAGCTGACTAAGAACTTACGTGACAAAAACAAAAGTGGACCACACAGCTCGCAGGTCTTCTCTCTTCCCCTTCCTCCTCAGCTCTTCTCTCTTCCCCTTCCTCCTCTCCAGTCTCTCCTCCCAATTCCCAAATCATGGCAACGAGGAGGCTGCATCGTCGCCTCGTCAGGTGTGGCGGAGCTTGGCCCTCTTCCCCCTCCCGCCACGCGGCCGCTCCCCTATCCCGCTGCCGCGCTTTTGCGTCGTTGTTGTCGTGACTAGGTTGGTGCCGGCGCGGTGCCCCGACCTGGACAACCAGCACCTGCTACTGCGCGGCATGGAGAAGAGCAAAGAGGGGAAGCTGAGCGAAGGCGCAGGCGCATGCAGGACCGGCTCAACATGGACGGTGACGGAGCCAGAGTAGGCGACGATAGCCGAGGAGACTGATAGGGACTGGGTGGGACAGCCGCTAGGTGCCGGGGACGAAGTCGGAGCTCGCCGGCTGCCATAAGAGAAAAGAGAATAGAAGAGAAGAAAGAGAAGAGAAGAAAAAGAGAGAAGGGAGAAGAAAGAAGATTATGTGGGTCCCACATTTTTTTAAGTCTCCCTTACATGTGGACTCCATGATTATTTTTTATTTTTTTTTCTGACTAGAATGCCACGTCTGCAAAACCACATATCTATACTGCTATGGACCTTAATTGCATGGTTTTATATAGTTTAGGGGTGAAGATTTCTGGTATTAGGGATTAGGGATGACATACAAACTGGACGTAAAGTTGAGGGACGGCAGCTGAACTTATTCCTTCGCCCGAAGGCTCTTCAGCCCAGACAAGTTCAAACCTGGGCTGCTACCGCAGAATAATCATGGACCGTAAAATGTGTCAAACTTTGCGCCCATCGTCAAGCACCACATCTAAAGTCGATGAACAGTATTTGAGTTCAGAACAAAATTTGGATTTGATGAACAAAACCCAAACAAATTCTGAATTTGATGGACTAAACAAACGAACTTTTGCACAAATCAAAATCTCTCTCTCGAAGAAGAAGAAGAAGAAGAAGAAGTCCTAATAGGTTTTCTCCTTCTCGAAGGCCTCGTAGCACTGGTACACGGTGGTCACCGCGAGCAGCATCCCGGCGCCGGAGCCGACGGCGCCCATCAGGTCGGCGGCCACCGTCAGCGCGCCGACGCACACGCCGCCGAGCGCCGCCGCCGCCGGGATGTACCGCTCCAGCTCCCTCTGCATGCTCGCCTCCCGCATCCCCGGCATCACCATCTGCTGCTCCCGGAGCCGCCTCGCCACGTCCCGGGACGACGACCCGGACACCACCACCCACGCCCTGGACAGCGCCGCGCACGCCGCGAGCACGAACGCCACGTACATCGCCGCGTGGAGCGGGTTCGCCGCCGCGCTCGCCGCGCTCGCCGGCGCGGTCACGTAGTAGGCGATGCCGCCGACGGGGACGGCGGCGTCCGGCGTCCACTTGCCGAGCAGGTCGACGAGGAGGCTCCCGCCGAACCGGCGGTACAGCGCCTGGGAGACGACGTAGAGCGACGAGACCGCCGAGGAGAGCAGCACGACGGGCATGCCGGAGGTGTAGAGGAGGCGGACGCTGTAGGCGCCGCCGCGGTGGCTGCGCGGCGCGTTCCGCGGCCGCACCGGCAGCGCCACGCGCACGCCCTGGAGGTAGACGGCGGCGAGGAAGACGGCGCAGGTGGCGGCCAGGCCGCGCAGGTCGGGGAGGCTGCCGCCGCCGCCGCCGCGGAAGAAGGCCTCGCGCACCGCGGACAGCTTTCTGGCCCTGGTCGCCAGCAGGTGCGCCGCGGCGGTGACCGCGCCCACGAACTCGGCGCCGCGGCCGCGGTCCATCGTCGCCGGGCTGAGCGCCCTGGTGACGACGCCCTCGCAGGTGTTGGCGGCGGTGAACAGGGAGATGCCGGAGCCGAACCCGTACCCCTTCTGGAGGAGCTCGTCGAGGAAGATGGCCACCATGCCGCCGAGCACGAGCTGCAGCACGACGAGCACGGCGTTGCCGGCGCCGAGCACGCCGACGCTCCCGTACGCCCCGGACAGCACGTACGCCGTCGCCTCGCCGGCGGTGATCACGATCGAGAGCAACTTCTGCGCCGCGCTCCTGAAAAGAAATCACGTCAAACACATGCAAGAACGCAACGCCATGATCTGATGAACTCGATCGATCTACTCACAGGAGGGCGCGGTCGTCGGGATTGGAGGAGTCGGCGCGGACGAGGTTGGAGCCGACGAGGAGCTGGACGAGGGTGCCGGCGGTGACGACGGGGGTGATGCCGAGCTCCATGACGGTGCCGCGGTTGGAGGCGAGGATGGCGCGGACCCAGTAGAACGGGTCGGCGCCGCCGCCGGCCGCCGCCGCCCTGTGGAGCCCGTAGAGCGGCAGCTGGCTGCAGGCGAGGAAGGCGAAGAGCGCCGCCGCCGTGCACGCCAGCTTCCGCCGGAACGGGACGCGCCGGCCGTCGGGCTCCCGCACCTCCGGCAGCAGCGGCATGAACGGCCGGACCAGGTCAAGCAACCGGAACGACGACGACGACCTGCCCGCCATGGCTGATCTGACGAGCAAAATCGATCGATCTGAGGAGAATTTCGCAGCCTTTTTTTTCCCGCCGAATTTAAGGGCGGTTTCGTTTCGTCTCCTACTCGTATTGGACTCGATCGACGCCGCGGAGTTTGAGGTCTCGTGGTGACGCGTGTACCGGCCGATGCGCGTGAGCCGTCCGATCAGGCGGGAGATCTCGATCGGACGTGCGGGAGCTACTCGCCGTGGCGCGAATTCTTCACCGTGGCCGGGGTGGATACGAACAGAAGGTTGGCCTAGCCGGGCCCACTGACAGAGACCGAGAAGACGCCTCGTATAGGCTATGGGAGACTCTCGTAGAGCCACGTAGCATTTACGCATCTCAAAGCAGGGGTCCATCTTCCTCTCCAATTCTCTCTTCAAGTTGAGGCTGTGTTTAGTTCACGTTAAAATTGAAAGTTTGGTTGAAATTGAAACGATGTGACGGAAAAGTTGGAAGGTTGTGTGTGTAGGAAAGTTTTGATGTAATGGAAAAATTGGAAGTTTGAAGAAAAACTTTAAAACTAAACAGAATCTGTGAGTTCTTCTCTGAATAATATCATCGATGCAAAGATGTAAAATATATAATTTTTTCTTTTGCATACATCCGTTAAATCTGAACAAGTTTTGTTTATTTCTCTTCATCCACTCATCCACATCACCACATGTATAAAAAAAAAAAACAAGATGCACGGATAGATGATGAAGATCACTACTCTCTCTTGATTTAAGGACAGAAGCAAAATACAAAACGAACAATACATTATACTCTATAATTAATTTAAAGGCACTTACAGATGATAAGGAGAAGAGATTTTGATAATAACGTAAAGATAGGAAGAAGAGAGAAGAATACTCTAGGCTAACTGAATGCTTGAAAAATAATTCCAAACTTAACATCTCAATCTGAAGAAAGAAACGAGAGGCATTTCATTTCGTCAGTAACTTGATCTCTCTCTATCAACAGAGCCTATATGAATAACTCAACGCTGATCATGGGTGCAAGCTCAGCCTTCATCGCTGTCGCCATTGCAGGGCACCGTGTACTGAATCACGACTCGAGCTCCTGACGACAGCCTGCAGGAACAAATTTCAGAAAAAAAAGATGCAGGTCTCAATACCAAGATGGGGTCATTGCAGAAGCAAAATTCTGCAGATTCTGCTGCTCTAATTGTAAAGGGTAATAAGCATGGAGTGCATACCCAGCAATGACAAAGAGTTGGGGAGGGTTAAGAGAGGCCACTAGCACTTAACTTTCTTCGATCTTGACGAGCTTCTCCTCCTTCCTGAAAGAGTCTATCCTGCTGCCCGGTGCTCCTGTGGCGTCAATGAACCTCTTGCTGCCGTCTCCTGATGAAGCAAGGCTGCAGTCTGGTCCGGCCGACGAGCTCCTCCGGCAGTCGGAGATCGGTGACTTCATTGCCTCGCTCTTGGGGTGCAGGAAGGATGACAGTATCGGCGTCCGAGGGAGGCACCTTGCGCGAGATGTGTTGACGGTGTCTTCGTCAGGTCTCGCGCAATCTAGCGTCTCGTTGCTCCTGCAAATTGTTTGTTCATGGGTAAGAACATGTTTCATTAAGAAAGAGAGGAAAATTCACATGCTAAGTTGTGAATGGCTGCAGATGACAGTGCTTCTAACAAACTCTTCACCATGCTGTAATTTTTTGCAGGTAAAATTTTGGATTTCAAGAAACTGGGAGAAACATTGGTCCATTGAGGACAAGGATCTGTGCAAGAACTTCGCTGGCTTTGGCAGTGCCTACTATTTAACAAGTTGGTCCCTCTAGATTGGCAGCTTGTAAGGATAACAACATATTGTTCATGAGCAAGAAGAAACAGTAAGACTGTTGTATTTCAGTTGAGCAACTGAAGAATCTTGCCAGCCAACTGTCTAGCGTGGTCCTCTACATCTGACGGGTGGCTCGTGTTGTACCAATGTAGAAATCAGGCTAGCTGCATGGAATTAGAACTGTACAAGCGAAGTAATGACAAAAAAAAAGAAGCGACAGAAGGGCTTTCTGTGTTTAATTTTTGGCAAGATCTTCAGAAAAACTATTCACTCTCAATATCTCCTTATTACACTATTTTCAAATCATCAAACCAGGCCTTGTGTGGAGGTTGTGTAGAAGGCATAAGAAAAACTGAAAATGTAAAATGCAGGGAATAAAAAGGCCTGGTGTGGTGATAGTGAAAATTTCCGTTTTGAAATTAATTTCAAGTATTTCTCAATAAGCATATTTCATCAATTTTGCAACAATGGGGCTCCAAAATTCTTGGATTTACTTATTTTGTTTGCTATATGGTTTGCCAGCTGCATGCTGGGCACAATATGACAAGGATGCAGTGTTTGTTTTTTTATGGAGACATGCAGCGGTGTTGGCACCAAGCTAAGCTAAGTACAAACGCCCTTGTCATTGACATCAACGGAATGATAAAAGCAATGGTCCTTGTTCATAAATTATCTACGGTACATGTTTCTTTTCTGATTATTAATTGTCTGCTCCTAACCTAACAAGCCCCTTCCGTGAATATAACTCAACCAGGTATGTATTTCATACACTTGCATCTTATTCTTATGGCCACCAAGCTGAACTTTTTTTTCTCAAACACGCAGGAGATCTACCAAGCTCAACTGATTTTGGTTAAATGCATTGAGCATTGTCTGGTAAAAAAACTGGGTTTTCATGGTAAATGCACAATGAATCAATGAAAAAGGGCATTATACAACTGAAAAGTACGAGCCTTCGATTTCTGCTCGATACGAGAGCATTTTTTCTAAAGCACTGTCTTAATTGAAAACCATAGCATATATATTGCTACAGAATCAGCCTACATTCAGACGGATAAAATATCTAACCATTTCCACAACTAATAGCACAAGCCAAAGACTCAAATAGCATTAAATAGTCCCAGACACCCAAATACCCAACACATATCTACATGCACTCAGAACTCATAAGAGAACAAAACTGAAGCCTTCAAATTCAAAATAGTTGAGCACAAGTTCAAATTTTGTATTGAAGAAATAAAGCTTACCTTTCCGCATTGTAGGAAGAAGAACGTTTAAGCGCTGAATATCTGTCAGCGGGTACATCTCTTTGCATCTTAGTTTCGATAAGGCTCCCACTAAAGTATTCCTTGTCTTCCAGACGCATACCCATCAATCTGGGATTCTCTGACAGGTAATCAAGCTCACCCATCATCATGGTACGAGAAATTAACGGTGACGGGAACTTCATGTTTGGGAACCTTGGCTTGTATCCTTCAACAAGTCTGATATTCTCATGATCTTTCACCGAAAGCGAACCACAGGTGATAAGTTGCATTAGTACATTCGCTGGCCTCAGCTTGGGGCAGGTTGGCATAATGATATCATCCTCTTCAAGAATCCGAAAACTATTCAATGCATTGTTATCTGCTCGTATCAAGGACTCTAAACTCTCCGACTTGCCACGGGATGAAGGTATGCTCAGTGGAGTATGACACTGGGACATGGCCTCCCTGGCGATCCCTTGGAGCTCTGCTGACCGGCGTGGTTGGCTTTGCCGGTACTCAGTAATTTCCCGGACTACGGAGTCATGATCAGTGCTCAAACTCTTCTTATGCATCTCGGGCACTTTCCGGACTGACCTTCTGCCGAGGTCATCAGTTTGAGTTGCAGCATCCACACAGCCAGTGGGCTTGTAAACTCTGAATTCTGCAGGACTCGCGGAACCAGCCCTTGACAAGAGAGTTCTTTGAGGCTCCGACTCTGGCGACATGTTCTCCAAGGAGGTAACTCTGCATTGCACTGGTGAGTCATCCTCTTCTAGAGAAGGAACCGAAGGCGAACGCCTCGGCTTGGCTTCTCTAACTATCACACTAGGAGGGGAGGAGGAATAGGAAGCCTCTCTAGGCAAAGGCAGCCGTGCACCCTCTTTCAGCCTGCTCTGTTGCTTTTGGTTTCCATTGGTACCCTGATAAAATTGGCCTAAACAGGCAAAAGGCAACAATAGTCAGCAACTTAGCACTGCAGTTTCCAGTCCAAAGTTCAGAGACAAATGCCAATTCATGGAAGATCACTTACCTGAAGAAGACTGGTCCAAGAGCTCGGAGCCCTTGAGCACATATTCGCCGTCGGTTGCCGGGTGGACGAGATCATCCTCTCCAAGATCATGCCACACGAATCCATTCTTGTAGCTCCTGAAAGATTGCATTTCTCAAACCGATCAAATTAAATTTCAGACAGCCCAAAATTATTACCAACGAGAACAATTCTGCAGTACCTCTTGCAGGACCACGAGTACATAGCGGCCATACCCTTGCCGCGCACCATGTTAAGGTGGCTAATCACATCTGTAAAAGTAAATTACAAGAGTAAATTATACAGGGAGAGTTAAAGAAACTTCTTTGTTGCTGTCGCTGGCATCCACTGACCTCTGAGATAGAGCCCCTCCGGCGAGGAGACAGGCACCTCGACGAAGTGAGGATGCTCAAGGTGGCGACTCCGCGTGAGGTAGTACACCACCGGCACCTTCCTCGCCGCCGGCCTCTGCCTCTCCGGGCTCCGCGGCCGCCTCCCTCGGCTCTCCATCTCAGCCAAGCTCTCCAATTAAACCGCCAAAACTACCGCCAGTTCAGCGTGAGCAGCAGAGAGAAGAAGAAGAAGAAGAAGAAGAAGCGGAGACTGAAGCGCCCAAGAAAAAAAAAAACTGTGAGTCTTCCCTGCTGCTGCTGCAACATCAGATCAGAAGGCACAAAATTCAAGATCAAGGCCAGAAATTCAGGGTGGTTGAACGGGCGTATCCAAATCGTGGTAACTTCCAAGCGAGTAAAAAACATCAAATTGGGTCACCTTGTCAGCTGTCACCTCTCCAAGACTTGAGCTCTTGAGAGAAATCAACAGGAGCGTGCCTCCAACATCTGCATTTTTGTGGCCATACAACATTCAAGACTCTGAAACTTTTTCAGCAATCAGATACAGATAAAGGGAGAGAGACAGACAGAGAATCGATAGGTCAAGAATTCCCAGGTGGGCGGTGGCACCTCGAAGAAAAAATGCAAAGCCCTTTTCGCTCTCAGTGAACCAGCCACATGAGGGGACTGAACTGAAGAGAGAGAGAGAGAGAGAGAGAGAGAGAGAGAGAGAGAGAGAGAGAGAGAGAGAGAGAGAGATAGACTGACAAGAAGTGTGCTTAGCTAGCGAGCTAGCTTGCTCCAAGAACCGCGAAAGTTTATCTCCTTTTTACGCCCACGCCGCAAGAGTGCAAGGTGAGATGAATGTGGACAAGGAGGAGCAAACGGATACCTAGGGACAAAATCCAAGCATTGCGTGAAGCGATGGATGAGGAGTGCGTGTGCGTGAGTGAGAGAGAGAGAGAGAGAGCAGAGCAGAGAGTATACCTCCAAGATTGAAACTTTTGCTACAGCCAGTGACGACGCCGCAACGGACAAGCAGGTGGCTCCAAGGCCCTCGACGAGATATGTTGCCAAAAAGTTTCGGCCAAAACGGGAGCAGGAAGAGTAGGAGGAGGAGCACCGCACGAGAGAGGCACGGCAATGGCTCGCTCTGCTGAGGCGACCAATCGAACTAAATGGAGGAGGAGCGGATGGCGTAAACCGAGGTTTTTGGGAGCGTTAATGGCGAGAGCAACTGACCTTTGCTTGCGCAACTTTTATCGAGCAGGTAGCGGGCGTGCCGTGCAGTGGGACAGGGACATCCCTCGCCCTGCAGGGGTGCGTGCAGGTGCAGGTGCAGCGCAGCTCCCTGCGCGCCCTGCGCGTGTCAGGGGGCGGAGGTCAAAACCACGACGAGCGACGCTGACGCGAGCACAGCTGAATAAAGCGGGAGGAGGGGGGCAGTGTACAGCCGCCCGGGCGTAACGCGGCGGCGGCGGCGCCGGGGGGGGGGGGGGGGGGGTGTGGACGGACACCGCGCGGCGAGGGCGGTTAGCTAGCTAGCTGCTGCCTGCTCGGCGAGGACGGGGCACGTACGAGGAGGCCGCCACGCCGGGCATGGTGGTGGTGATGGCGGCGGACATGGTGGGTGCCATTGATTGCTCGCTCGCTCGCGCCGGGGCGGGGAGGCAACGCGAGCGCGGCGCGACGCGAACGGAACGCCACGGTGGTGGTGATTACCGGGATCGAGGAGGGAGGAGTACGAGCACGCGAGCGAGTATTTAGCGATGGACCGGGCGTATGGACCACGGCGCACGGCGGGCCCACCCTACAGTGGGTTGGTTGCCCCTCGGGCTACATCCGAGAATTTATTATGGCGGGGTATATGTGTTGGGAGCCCGTGGACCAGGTTCACGGAGGGTTCGGGTCCGGGGTCCCCATCATTGTAACATGGAGAGGGAGGGAGGGGCCTTTGTACGAAAAGGCTTCATCTTTACGATAGTAGAGGGAGGGAGGGGGTGCATAGAGGATGGTGTAAATACTGGCCTCGAATGTACTTGATGGTTTATGAAGTTTTATAAATGGTTTCTTCTCACGGTTATTCTAGGTGGGCAGGTGGGGTCGTACGCTCGAGGATTGTCTGTGGGCACTGGACATGCCAAACCAACAAACTTTGGAACATGAATAAATGACATGACATGATGGAGGAGTCGTAGGTGCAAGATTTCATTCATGAAGATTTAAGGACTGCTTGGTTCACTCTAAAGTTTGCCAAAAATTATCACATCTTATGTTAAGCAAGTTTGATCAAGTTAACTTTTTGTTTGGTTCGTAGTCACAATTGTGACCAGATTTCTTCTCATATTTTATGATCCTACATGTCATCAACTTAAAAAAGTCATATTTTGCTAGCTAAGGTGTGGCTTATTTTTTTTAGCCACAACTGGGCAGGTGCGGCATAAAATAGTGGTGATAAACTTAGTATAGCATTCAAACAACCCCTTACGTTTTCAATAGGAATGCGATGAGGTAGGAGATTTACCCTGATATTTGGGCCCTGTTTAGTTCACACCAAACTTCCAACTTTCCATCACATCACATCACATTACATCCAAAACTTTCCTACACACATAAACTCCCAACTTTTTTCCAAACTACCAATTTTTCCCAAACTTCTCCCCAATTTCAGAAACTAAACACAGCCTTGTTTCTTTGAACATGTGTTAAGGAAAACACATTCGCATGTGTGATAATGTGGTGTCTACTTCATAGCGTGCGCATTTGACTCATGAGTCTTTAATGTAAATGTAGAAAAAAAGTGAAACGATTTTTGTGTCAACCTTGAATTTTAGAACTTAGTTTTAAAATTGATATATGATTATCTTCATTTTAGTCACCTAATTTTAAAGAGCAATTTTACAACCCTTGAGAAGGTATCATGAGGTATCATTTTTTCTATTGTAAATTTGGTATTATGAGGTACCAAATTTTACATGTAAATTTTTGGTACCTTTTCAAAGACTATAAAATTGCTCAATTTTAAAAGTAGAAGTATAAATGCCTCATCCTAAAATATTTTTTTCGTTGTTTCATTCACATGTCTCTCTGGCTTGAGCTGAATGTTAACAAGTTATAGGCATGTAATCATGTACTCCCTCTGTTTCAAAAAAACAACTTTAGAATAGGATGTGTCTAGATTCGTTGTATTATGATACGTCACACCTAGTCTTAGGTTTTTTTGGGATGGAAGGAGTGCAATGCAACTATATTTATTAAATTTATTAATGTATCATATGTCAACAAAAAGTTGGTACGCAATAAATGGCAAAACATTAGTTAAATACATAAGGATATGAAGTAATTTTAAGCCCTCATCAGGGTTTACGATTCCGACGAAATCCGGTCAGATTTCGCGAAATTTTGACGTTTCAACGAGGCTCGAAAGTAGAAACCGTCTAAGATTTTGAGGAGTTTCATCCAAATTCAAATTTAAATTGATAAAAAAAGAAAACAAATCAAATAAAATCTTATAAATACTATGATATTCATAGAACCTATTGGGATATAAATTTTCGAAAAAAAATGATGTATTGTGTGTATTTACTTAAACTTACATCAGGAAAAAAAAGAATTTCAGCAAATCACCTCTATTACAAATTACTGATCGAAATTTCGATGATTTCGATCGGAATTTCGCCAAAACCGAGTGGTTTTCAAGAACTTGTCGGCAAATTCAGAAGAATTTGTATTCAAATTTTGGTTTATGAAATTTGTTCGGAATTTACCGGTTTTCCAATGGATTTCGCGAAATTCCGAATTCCGCCAATACTCGAAACGGAATGGTATGTCGGAATCGTAAACCCTGGCCCTCATTACCAATTAACCAACACTTGATAATTAAAAAAAAAGGACCGAATGATCTTGACCAACAAGCACTAGCTCGCGAGAACATATATTGAGTTATTATCTAGCCATCGATATATGCACCAAGCAGTTTGGATTTTTTTTTTAGAGAGAGGAGCAATTTGGATTCGAAGCAAATAAAGCATGTAGACAAGTACAGTACATGCTTGGCAGCGAAGTGTAGCTCCCAAAAGCAGTAGCCGAAAATGCGGAGACCTTGCATGCTGCAAGCATGAACAACAAAACATACAAAAAGCAGGGAGAAGAAGTGCAGTGAGATGTGGGTTCTACATCTACATTCCCTAATAGTTTTATGGTAGAATAATTGCATCATGGAGGAGCACTATGCAGAGGGGTGGCAGCCTGTGTAGGCAGAAAACGACCTAAGCTTGCAGGGAATTTTAAAATTTGTCAGAAGTTTTTTCTCCTTCCCTCTTTTTCTTTCCTGGCCATGCTTCTGTTTCTATCACTGGAGTTGGGAGGGCAGCACAACAGTGGAAAACTTGAATTGTGTGACAGTGTGAGCGACCTGTCTCTCTGTGAAGCCATGGACCAGCAACCCAATATAAATCAATGACTGTTCACCTTTACTCTTGCCCCTTTTTTCTCCCTTTGCCAAAAGTCAAAAGCCACAAGTACAAACAACTGCTGCATTTTGGAGAAGGCTTTTCACTGGGAGTAATATATTTGTAGTGTAGCTCATGGTTCCATGCTAGACCGCCCGCTAATAAGCCGGACCAACGTGCATTTTGTCCGGTGTTTAGCTGATGGATGATTTGCAGCGATCTTTGATTGAGATCTCTGATTGATGGTGCATAGCAGCATACCTATACATTGGCGCCATTAGCCCCATACACCAGACATTGGCCTACCATTCTCCTGTAATCTTGTCAGGCTGTGAAAAAGGCACCCGCCAGCTAGCTACGGTCATAGGACGGCTACAGCTCATTTGCTTTAGGAAACATTTTTTCCCCTAACAATTGTCTTGATTGCGTACTTTGCACTGGATACCAAAACCAAAGTATGCTGGATAATGAGACGGCTCTGCTTGGTTTGGTCTGGCTCATTGCAATAACAAGTTATCTCGACTTGTTATCCTAACAAGATATAAAAGGTTCGGCTCGCTTGCTAGCTCATTTAGCCCACGAGCCAGAGCAACAAAACATTAAGCATACAACATACAATATATATAAAAACAACAATGCATCACTTCCATACTTAAATCAAAGAAACAAAGCAAATGTCAAGTTTGCAAGTCGTAAGATTCAGGTCCATCATCCATTCATCCATGTTAGTATTAAGTATCGATTCCACGGATTATCAAGTATGCAGACTTGTTAAAGCTCCAGGATTAAACATGAAAACTATACGATGTAAAAACTTATCTCTGAAAATGCTTATGTTACTAACTCTGTTCCAAAAATATAAGCATTTGCAAGTTGTAGTAGTATAGAACTATAACAAGAAATGGTCAAATCGCATAGACCATGAAAAGCACTCCTAAAAATGATCAAGAAATAAAGAACACAGTATACTTCAGTAGTTCAGTAAAGCATCCAAGATGAGAAGGCAAACATCTTTAATGTTGCTATGATGTGTTAAAGAAAACATGGATGATTGCAATCACCGGTTGCTTAGGAGTATGTCTTAACCCTACTACTAATGATTTTTATTGTTAAAACCCCACAGATTAGAAGCTAGAATATTCTGGTCAACCATCCAGATATACGTGGATATGGTAGCTGCGCTCATCTCAATAAAGCACCCATCCTGGAGCTAGCAGCAAGGCTCGGCAAAGTGCCCCAGTTACCTGGGAGTTGGGACCGGTAAGGTTAACTACGCTTCCAGCTGAAGTTAACCCAAAGATTAACTGAAGTTACTCGTTCCCGAGTAACTGCAGGGAAAACTATACAGTTGCAGCAAAGGAATGCGGAGACACAGAAGCAGCCAAGACGGATAGCATACCAGACAACAGCGCATGTTAGTAGGGCCAACAAGGTTGGGCCCTGGCCTAAGACCCAACAGAACAGTGGCCTTTGTTCTCCCATTTGTCAGTCCCCATGTTGTTGCCCCTCTTGTGACACTCTAGTAGTTTATTGCAATTCATTAGCAGTCGCTACAGAACTGACCTAAATCTTAAGGACCTTCTGGAGTGGTGTTTAATACTACCAGGCACCAGCTCCATGCCAAAAAGGATCTGTATTATCTGTGGACTAAAAGGAGCATGTTCACAAGGAAGAGGGGAAAAAATAGAGAAGATTGTGCACGTGATAATCATGTGCCAGAGAAATCAGAAATGTGACCATATGGTATTGACTGCCAAGTAGGTTATTGAGTATAAGTTACATATAACCTGATAATATGTATTTTTTTTAGTGAAAGATGGATATGTATTCACTACTTCTATATGGGTATATATATCCCTCCTATATACTTCTCGAAAGAGGAAAAAGAACTCTATACGACTATGCATACATGTGATTTCGTGGCAAGAGTAAACTTATCAGGTTTCCTGGAGATTTTAACTTACAGTATCTCCCTAGCTCTGTGTCATCTTGGGTTGCAGCACTGCGGCCTTCCTTGTGCCAGCTTGTCCCAAAGGCAGGCCATCTGCCCCGGTGACTGGTAGTGCGCGGTGAGGTAGTCGTCGACGCAGCCGAACTGGCAGAACCGGAGGCTGTGGATATAGTCCACGGCCTTCACCGTGTCGACGAACTGCCCCACCCACATGCCCATGCTCACATCCTCCATCTTGAACAGCTGCAGCAAAGCAAAGCCAAAACAATTGCGAGGCAATCATTCATTTAAGCACCCGTGCACGCTGCACTGCATGGTGATGGATACAAACTTTTTGGCTTTTGATATGGCCATCTTTATGGCCTAGGAATGATTGGATTCATGTCTTTCTGTTTCATTCAAAAGTGGTGGCTCTAATCATCTAAAGGGCACCAAAGTGAGACCAGGCGGTTCTCAAATTCTTCCAGTGGAATGAGATATGCAACAACTCTACAGAATCCCCTGCTGCTTGATACGAAATGAGTACAGAGATCTGAAGATGTTAAGTGGAGGAGCTTACATTTAGTCTGCCCTTCTCCATTTCAGACACGACGAAGTTTGCAATGTCAGAAGAAACAATGTAGCCAGGACCATTGGCATAGGGCGGGTACGCTTCTCTGGGCCACTCCTGGAATTTTAACAAAGAATATATTACAGAAGAGTTCAACTGCCGCAGCAAACTCATAATTGGGCACCAAACGGTTGCACTACCAACAGACTAGCCAACATGAATACATGATTACAGGAGACAATAACAGATTTATACGGACTATAGATATTGCTCTTGCAGTGCTCATGAATTGACAGCCAGTTGCACGTTGAATTGATGTATTGTCCAAATCAATAATACGACAAGATGATTGTTCAGATAAATTCAGAAACACTAGTACTTCAGAACAATAACAAATGAACAGAGTTACAGTAAGCCATCTTTCACTAAGCTCTACATGAATATCTATAACCCTACAATTTACTCTGTCAAATAGAAGTTACAGATAGTATAACCTTTTCACTACAAAATTGAATGAAGCTCTAATATACTTCCGTCAGAAACCAAACAATTTGATTTCTGACAGGCAGCATCCCATTAATTTTGATCATTAAAGTAAAAGCCACAAACTAGTACTCCAGTAAGAAGTAACAAATGTAAATTGGTGATAGCTTTTGCCAGCAACATTTTAAAAGTAAGGGATTTTTTCTGTTCTTCAACAGATATTACCTCAAATGAGACTGCCCATTTTCCTTCTCTCAGTGGTCGATGGTAGTAGTTAATGTTCCCAAGATAGAAGCTTTTACCATATGGGATTTTCCTAACGTCAGCCATCACTGAATCAAGTCTGACAAATGTATCATCATCGCACTTCATGATATACTTGGCGGAAATGACACGTGTCTTCCAAGGACAAGTATAACAAAAGCAATGAACAAGCACATACACAAGAGTTTTCAGAATTCAGAAGGATACATGAAAAATTAATGTAATGTGGTTTTTCATATGCATCAATTTGCTACATACCGCATATTCGCAAATGGCAACAGTCTTCAGAACAACCAGATCATAACTATCTGCAAAAGGCACAATGACAATGTCTCCAAAGAAATTTGCTTCTTTCTTCAAATCTTCATTAACTTTTTTTCTTCCATTCTGCCCTAGAACATGTTGCAGTTAATATGTCTCTCTTGACATGAATATGGAAAAGACAAGCAGCAAAACTAAAATGGTTAGACTTAAAATTACCAAGGCAACAAAAAATCGAGCCATGGCACCAGATGAATTTCGTACTGAAGACATCCATGATCTCCTCACAGCCATGCGCTCTGTGAAATGGCTTCCTGCTGAAAGAATGCCTATGAACAACTCTATAGGTTCTTCAGGCAGAGGTGGAGCTTTCAGTTCTGTAAGCAACTCCAAATTTCTCTGTGCATTTCTAGGATAAGCCATAGGTAATGAACCAGCAACTATTGATTGAATGTCAACATCGCCATTCACTGACAAGATAGCAGCATCCTCAAGGCTATAACCCTTGAAAGAACAAAAACAATATTTGGACACATCAAACAACCATGCAAAAAATTACAGTGGATGGAGCTGCTGTGCTATGCTTTCTTAAAAGTCAATAGAAATGCTAATCTCCAACTAACCATATCAAAATGCTTACAGCTGTCAGTTAGATGTTAGAGGATAACTCTAGAAAACAGTATCGCTTGCAAAGAAGGATGGTTTCAGAAGTAAGCACTTACAACACGGTAAGGAAAAGAAGCGACATGCCTCCCATCGACTTGAACATGGTAGCCTTCTAAACCAGTGCTTAGTGTTAGAACAAACAATTCGTCCTCTACAAAAGGGTATGGCCAATCCATTGAACCTCTGTTCCTCTGTCCAGCAACACGGTTAAGAAACCACATTTTCTTCAACTCATTGAGTTTGCTGCCATAGTTTCCACCCCATTGCTCACATTTCACCAATCCATCAACTGCAAAAATGGGAGGCAATTAAAAGAAAACCTAAAATGATCACTGGCCAAACTAATATTCCTCAGATGTAATTATTGGGGGGATGTATAATCGGTAGACTTAACATTTGTAGAAGAAGTCAGTCATCAGGTTATCAGATGGATAAGTAAAAGCAGATATATACATTCGAAGTTTCGAACTATGAAGAACTAGGGTAACATTTCAGACAGAAAGGATCATCTGCTCCAAGTCTTCCAGTTACCGAAAGAACTATTTGGAAACAGGGACCAATGCCATGAGCCATAGCACTTTATTAGTATGAGAAATGACAAGCCACGGAGAGTAGCGATATGGAACTGTAGGAGAATTGATAGGCTGTTCGCCGATGCAATTAATTTGTTACTATTGTTAGAAAAGTGTACACTAAGAGTACTGATGATGAGTTGGGAAGTTCCGCTTCACATAGTACAAAGCGAAGAAACAAGCCATGAATGGCCTACCAATATATCATAAATGTGTAAACAGCATGGGAATTCAGGCTTTTATTCATATGACTCGCACAAGGTACAAAGCCTTCTGCATGGTACTTCAACACCAAGGACCATAATTAGATTTTTCAGTAACAGATGAAGTCACTGGGTGCATCAAACTTGTAAAAATATGGGAATGAACGATTGATCTAACACCCATGAATCAAATGGAGCACTTCACTCCCCATTTCTCCTCATGGAAAGCATCTGGCATAAACTTCCCCAAAGCTTTGATAACAATCATAATTTAATATTTCACTAAAGGTGGCAATGTTAACATGACATATTGGCATAGCATTCCATCAGTAATAGCATGGCAGAACCTATGTATAAACAACGGTACCTTGGTAAATAGTCCATACAATTGGCAAACATGACGAGCAATGGCACTTTCCTTTTTGAATTGTTAGTTCTCTCATGATCCGTTAAGACTACCATTAAACTATAAACAACTAGCACATTCAAAAATTTATACAGTGAAAATAGTCCATTCGTTTGGCAAACATGTTGAGCAATGATACTTACCTTTATGAATTATTCTGTTCTCTGACAATCTGTTAAGACTACCAGCAAATTACAAACAACTAGCCCATTCAAAAAATTTATAGACAGTTGACCACGCAGGACAAAAGCTGCTAAATCATTTCAGAGACATAAAGCTAAAAATTATTGAGACTAGGCTAAGACCGAAAGCTGGAGACTATTGCGCACCAAACGAAGTACTATCAAACCACAGTCAGATTAGCACCTACCGTGAAACATGGCACTAAATGCAAACCACTACTAACATAAAAGCCATTCGGTTAATTAGCATCACATGTGTACTATCAATAATAGCAACTAGAGCTGAGCTCCTCAATTCCTCATAGCTTGGACTAATTACTGCACTAGCTATGATATGAATATATGATATCGATACTTCGATAGTACATATGTGATGCTGATTACTGCACAGATTATTGAAGGTGAAAAGTCTATCAAGCACACGTACCAGTCTCCTCGTCGGGGCGCGACCGCCAGCCCTCGCACCGGAGCGCGGGTCCCCACTGGCCGCGGAATCGGGTGTTCTGCTCGATCACCGGCCGGCCGCTCCAGTCCCCACGGAGGCGCGGGTTGAAATGGAGGATCCTGGCCGCCTCGTCCCCGTCCCCGTCCCCTCCGCCCCGCACCTCGACGGCGAACTGCGCCACGGCGTTCGCGGCGACCCGCCGCGGCGAGCCCACCACCGTGACGTGCGACCCCAGCCCGAGGCCGCAGGGCAGCGCGAGGGCATCCCCCGCGCCACGGAGCTCCGCGCCGGACAACGCCACGAAAGGCGGGCACCGCGGCGGCGAAGGGTCGGGACCGCCGCCAACCGCGGGCGGCGGCGCGGCGCCGGGGAGGAAGGCCTCGCGGAGGAGGCGGCCCCCTGAGCGGAACGCTCGGACGGCCGCGGCGTGGAGCGGCGGCGTCGCGTTGAGCGCCCGGATGTCGATCCCCGAGACGGCGTCGCCGACGAGCCCGTGGTGGTGGTGGTGGGACGACGCGGTGTCGGTGTCGGTGTCGGTGGATGTGGCGACGGTGACCGCGGCGGGCACGACGAGGCCGACCGGGGAGTGGAGCGAGAAGGTGGCGACGGAGAGGAGCGCGGCGAAGGGGAGGAGCATGAGCAGCGGCCGGAGGCGGCGGCCGCAGCCGCAGCCGGCGGCGGCGCGGCGCGGGCGGCGCATGTCGGCTTCGTCGGCGTTTGGATTGCGGGGGGCGGCGGCGAGAGCGACGAGGGAAAAAAAGGTTGCGCGAGTTTTGGAATTTTCCGTGGGTTTAAGAGGGGAAGAGACGGAGGAGAGAGGAGAGACGTTGGTTGGTTGCTAGGCTAGCGCCTTTTTTGTGCGGAGCCCCTCGGTGATTTGGCTAATTAATGAGGAATTATTGGGGTGGCGCTTTTCTTTAGACCAATTGCTAATTGCTCATGTGTATTGGTAGGCCTGTAGCCATAATTATTCGTATCAATGTGTCAATGTGCATTTGCGTGCACTCGTGAAAAATTATTCTTTCTCGTACCATTTTTGATGTGTTTTTGTTATCACTGATTAGTATAGCGTGCAAATATAGTGCACTAGCTTGTTAGGTATTATCCATTGTTCCCCGCCAAAAATAGGTTATATTATCCATTGTTTATACTCCTAAATCTTTACTAACAATAAATAGAGTAATTTTAATTGTTGAACGCATGATTCTAAACAATAATTGGAATGTTAATTACATCATATTAAATCTTACAGGAAATAATACTATAATAAATGATCAAAACATGTGTTTGATGTATGATAGAAAATTTAAGGTTATATATTGATATGTCATAGAGATAAAGACAGAGAAATGCATTGGGTGTTTCAAAAAAAAATTGAAACATGAGTTTAGACCTCATGCTAGAATTTCTAGGAAACTTTCCTAGCCTATGTATTTTCTTCGAAGCCATCCATACAACCCAAATGACATACTAGGGTTGTTCATATGAATTGAATTCTTCTATTTTTTTTATAAAAATCTTTCAATCCAAAAGTGCCATGAATATGTGTTTGGATTTTGTCTAGTAGCATAGCGGTAGCCGGTAGGGGTGCCTCTCTGTTGTCTACTTGTCTTGTCTCCCTCTACTCAAAACAAAAAACGTGGTCCGTATATAATGTCGTATTATTGTGACTATGCGAAGTTATCACTTGATTTATACGTCTTTGGTACGATCTGTTTTGGATTATTAATTGGTATGTTTTATTTAACTAAACTAGCGCTGTAGACAATGCGATACGTGGATGCAAAGATGATTTTCGCCGAGACGGCATCTCAATTTAAATCCAATTAGAACCATATATATACGGATATATCATTACGCAAGGGAAAAGAAATAATTAGAGCCTGTGAAAGGGGCCCGTTTGCAACATTCCACCGAGAGATGGGGAAGAGAGCCCACAAATCCACGTAGCATCTCAACTTTTTCGGAGCATCTCAGGAGCACCGAGCCGGCAGAGACGGCGACGGCCAGAGCGCGGGACACGCGTGGTGGTGGTGGTGGCGCCCAGCGGCGGCGGCGGCGACGAATACAACGCGAGGCCGCGACAGATTCCGCCGCCGCCGCCGTCGGTTATCACGTCGCGGCGCCGCTCGCGAGAGCGGTGGCGCCTCGTCGGACGCTCCGCCGCCGACGTCACTGATTGACCGAGTAGAGCTCTCTAGTTGGGCCCGTACTGGTTGGGCCGGAACGGGGTTTTGCTTCGGATAAAGTACACCGAACGTCCCTCAACTTGTTATCGAGTTACAAAATCATCCCCCAACTGCAAAACCAGATATATGACATCTCTCAACTTATAAAACCGTTCATTCTTAGGTTCTTCAGTGGTTTTCACCCCGGTTTTATACGATGTGGCAGCTGAGTCAGCGTGGGACCCACGTGGGCCTCACATGTCAGAGTGACCACGTCTTTGGTATGATCTATTTTCTGCCTCTTCTCTCCCTTCCTCTCTCATTTTTCCCCTGGGCGTGGATGGCGGAAGTGTCTTCGACACGGCAGGGAGGAGGGTCGGCGTGGCCGACTGTTGGCGGGGGAGAAGCGTGGTGGAGAAGAGGGCCAATGCAACGGGCACCGCCGCCGATGGCTACCGACGCACGGATGGCCGCTGCGGTCGTCTGCCTTCCCTCCTCCTCCTTTCACGTGCCTTTTGCGCCGCCATTGTCGTGGTCGTGCGTCATCATCGGGGTGAGGCGGCGATGCACGGTGGCGCGGCGAAGGGGAGGGCCGGCAGGGCGGAGTGGAGGGCCGATGCGATGGGTGGCGCCGCCGATGCCTACCGTCGCGCGGATGGCCGCAGCGGTCGTATGCCTTCCCTCCTCCTCCTATGCGTGCCGTGCAGCGCCATTGCCATGGTCGCGCGTCGTTGTCAGGGTGAGGTGGTGCGGGCGACGCGGCGGAAGGGAGGGTCGGCGCAGCCGGCGGTTGGCGAGAGAGGAGCACGATAAAGAGGAAGGTCAAAGGCCGATGCGGCAGCGACGGCGTCACCAACGCGACTGGGAAGAGGGTCGGCACGTTCGGAGAGGAGATCGGCTGGCCGACTCCCCACCCAACACGGTGGCCTGCTCCCGCGCCGCTGCTGCCGTTGGACCTTCTCCTCTCCCTCCTCGCCCCGCCGACCTCCTCCCGACCTGCCAGCCTCCTCCCTTCTCTAGTGTTGCCATCGCGTCACCCGTCGCCGGCCGCCGACGCCCTCCTCTCCTGCCTCGCCCCGCCGGCCTCCTCGCCACCCACCGACCAGCTTGTGCAGAGGGGTGAGAGAGAGAGGAGGATGTGAGAGAAGAGGGGAAAGATAGAAGGTGCTGACATGGACACCCTCACATATGGGGCCCACGTGGGTCCCATGTTGACCCAGCTACCACGTTAGATAAAACTGGAGTCAAAAGCACTTAAGAACTTAAAGTGAACGGTTTTGTAAGTTGAGGGATGCTATATAGTATCTGGTTTTGTGGTTGGGGGACGATTTTGTAACTCGATGATAAGTTGAGGTACCTTTTCTTTTTGCTTCCGTGCGGCCCGTAATGGTTGGGTTGGAAGGCCCGGAATGGGATTACAGCTGATGTGCGGGCCCATTATAGTTGCTGTGAACGAAAGGCCCATCATGTGGTTTTCAGATTTTGGCCCGGAAGAACCGGAACCGGAACCAAATTACTAGGCTGCTTATTTTTTGCAGGTGAACCAAATTAAAATACTGCTCCCTCCGGGTTGATAATACTTGTCGTTTCGGACAAGGACACGGTCTCAAAAAAGCAATTTTGACAACTATTTTCTATTATAATATATATAGAAATATCAACAAATATATAATTTTATTGAAGTACTTTTTAAGACTAATCTACACATATGGTTTTCATATTTTTAAGATAAATATTTTAGAAAATATTTGGAGTCAAAGATTTTAAAGTTTGACTTTACCCTTGTTCAAAACGCCTAATATTATCAGCCCGGAGGGAGTAGTATTTTTAGACGCAAAAAATACAATAAAATGTCGTCCTACGTTTCGAACATTTGTCGTCTAAAAATACTATTATAAAATGTTATTATACGATTCGAACATATTTCTTTCTCACACAATAGAAGGGCAGTTGCTACCTGCCGCTGCTGAATATTCGCTGGGTCAGAAGTCAGAACTCATGTCATTAGCAAATCTGCTCACGCAATGCTACCAATTGCCATGGTCAAAGCAATGTCGTCAGATATATCCGTTCTAATCCGTACGAGTAGCTATTACCGAGAAAATCAGTCGCCAAACCATCTGGTCAATTCTTCATTAGCTTTTTAATTCACTTATCAAATGTGGCTGTTGGCACGGGTTACGTACTTCCAAAGAAAGAACAGGCATCGCCATATGACTGTTGTTGTTGTTGGATGAATCATGAATGCAAGACATTCGTTTAAATAGGATTCATGCAACATGTATGAAAGTACTGGGAAAGAGAGGGGGAGCGCCAACTGCCACGAGGTTGAAACTTCAAGATCCAACTCTTCTCCTTAAAACATGGGAGCAGGTAGCCAGGTACTTGCCATTTACATACACATAAATACACTACATATATGAAGTTCCATGCAAATTTTCACTGCATTCGGACCCCCTATGCCATCAGAACTCACATGAATCCGACGACAACACGGTCCGACTTTAATCTATAGCTCTACCCGGGCGCGGTAGAAATATATTGATCTTAGACTTGTGGATAGCATCCATGTTCATAAATAAATAACCACACAAAACGTACACACTAAACAGCAAACCTTGCACAGCCTCCTGAGCTCAAGGGCGCGTCTTCTTTATTTTGTAACAACATCGAACCGGAGGTGCTCAAGTTTGCTGCAGGTCGATTCCCAACTCAGAAGCTCATGCCTGAAAATGATACAAGGCTGGGTCAAATAACATTTTCGGGCACTTGTCTCCAACTCTCCATTAAGGATGGCAGCTTCGGTGCAGGCTTATATAGCTCAAGTGTTCAAAAAACGTATGACATTGAAATATTGCATTCAAACTGAACACATAGATATCAGATTGATTAACCTGGTAAAATTAGGATTTAGAAAGATACCTAGATTACATAATTAATGCCATCTCATATCTTCTTATTTCACAATATTTGGTTACTCTTGTCATCTTAAAGTATCCTACATAATAATGCATCTAACCATCTACAGCAAACAAAATACTGAGAAGCCATATTGTCACACTTGTGCATTGATATCCCGTTGGCAGTTTGGCACTACACAGACAGAACAAGTCACTATAGGTCTGTAGCTAATATAAATAACCACATATTTAGTAACTGATAGTATGTACTAAAAAACCATAACAAAAGCATTTCAACAAGGCGCAAACATGCTTACGGAACCAGCCTAAGTTTTAGACCAATGTGCAGCCGTAATATCAATATATTACAAATATCACAGGCATATCTTGCCAATACTTTACCTATCATCTGATCTCTTCCACACTCTATTCTTCAATCCTACCTGAAATAATGAACTGTTGAAATTCTACTATACTAACACTTCCATTTTTCACTAGGTTCAAAATTCACTACAAAAATCTGGTTGTCTTATCACTACAAAAGAGGAATGATTTTTCTCATATTTTTTCTGTAATTCTGTTGAACTGTTCATAGTAAACACTGAGACGATAACTAACCATCGTAAGTAAACAACACTACGGGAACACTATTTTTTAATTTTCTTAACACAAAACACTGTCGCCAAGATGCCAACTATGGAGCTAAGCAAACACAGTTTACATCTTTGTTTTGAGCTATCGACAACATGGTGGATGCAAGTAGGTGAAGTATGGGCCTATATGCTGATGACGATGGTGACATTGACCCAACAAGCTTTGATCGAACAAAAATCCAAAACCATTCAGACCCACATGATCAAAGATCATCATGAGGACGCTACTCGCCTAATCACATCAAGAATAACCGGCTGAAAATATTGAAAAACAAAACCTTCCTATCCTAATGCCAAAGGTCAAATTGGTGGTTCCATGACGCATCCTAACATCTAAGCAGCAGCAAAAGCACAATCCTGTAAGGATTCATCCCCTAAGAGCAGCCTCAGCTTTGATTTTCAGAGATACCACGTATACGAGACATCAGTATTCTGCCAATATCTAAGAACTAAACAAGAGCGCATCTCTTAGCACTAACATCAGAGGCACAATTCCAATTCAAATACCTTGCCTAATCAGCAGGATTAAACCGAATACCAGCTCGTATCTGAAGCTATACCTCAGCCACGGGGAGCAGGCCAAGCTCCCGGATAACCCCGGCAGCGCCGCGGAGCTGCGCGCCGGCGCCGCAGGCGGGCACCGCGTCGAACTGCGACGCCGGGAGCGCCTCGGAGACGAAGCCGACCTGGAACTCGACGGTGCCCTGGTCCGGGTGCGCGACGATCCCGGTGACGGAGACCCAGAGGAAGAGCTTCTTGGCCTGGATGCCGGAGAGGTCGGAGATGGCGCCGTACGAGAGGCGGCCGCGGACGCTCCTCTCGTAGTAGACGAGGTGGGAGCCGAACCAGACGTAGCAGGTCCCCGCCAGGTGGATCTCGAACTCCCCCGTGGCCTCGTCGAAGCTGTAGGAGGCTACGGAGTCCGGGATGAGGCCCCTGGGGAGGCCGTACTTCGGGAGGAGGTCGTTCGCCGCGCCGTTCGGCTGGACGCCGCCGCCGGCCGCGGAGGCGGCGCCGGCGACGACGATGGCGGCGGCGGCGGCGGCGAGGAGGAGAGCTTGAGGAGACATGGCGGTTGGGGAGTTTGGGATTTTTTTTTTTTTTGGTGATCAATTTTCCGCGCTGTGTATGGGACTAGGGCTATGGGTTAGTTATACTAGTAGCATTTAAATTGGGTTTTTCGGCCGGCTTGACTTTTGACTTATGAATTGAGAGATGAGAGAGAGTTCTCATTGCTTGAGAAAGAGTTTATGGATGGTGATTTGTCAAGTGAACATAAAAAAACATGCTCACCCAGCTAACTTTATTTTTTTTCTTATGGAAAAGAGAAAGGGTGAGGTAAGACAGTATCTTAAAAATCTGATTATGTTTAAAAGATCTCAAACTATTGCCACCACCATATTTGTTATCGAAGCAAATCGACACACAATCCAATATGAAATTTCCTCGTTTTAGTCCTTCTCTTTTCCTTTAGAGTGTATTTTTTATAACAATTATTACTAGTATATTACGAGAGATATGTAGCTACAAGCAACACTGTGATATGAGTAGACCAAACATTCACATGTTTAAGAGTCCATTTATAATAAATGCACTATTTTTAGTTTTGTAAATATAGAGTGTCACTTCCTTAGCAATAAGTTTTTCTGCGTGCAACTTGACTGCTTCATTGAGCGAACTTATGCTTGGCACTAGCGCTCAATGAAAACAGTCGGAAGTGATCGGAAAACAACCTCAACTATTTTTATAACCATATTTTTCTCGGAAACGAAATCGAAAACGGTAAAGTTGGAAACGAAATCAATATCGAAAATATAAGAATATTGGAAACGAAATAATACGAACGGAAACATGTCGGTATAGATTGGAAACCGGTAACAAAGACGGAAATATTAAACTATAAAAACATATATTTAATTTTGCATAAGTATGTAATACATATAAATAAATTCAAGCTTATACTATATAAATTATAAATTAACTTCATTTTAGCCATGTACTCAAGTTAGGGATTTGATTTAAGAGTTAATCAATCTCTAAACCGTGGGTCAAGTAGAGACATACCCAATAAATATCGACATATTTAGAAATACGGTAATTACCATATTATAAGAAACAGTAATTTCCACAAGAATACGGTAAATACGAAAACGATTGGTATAATAGCAAAACTATTTCCGTTTCCATTTCCATATTTTTTACCATTTCTATTTTCATTTCGGTCGATTACCATTTCCATATGGCTCGAAAACGAACGCAGGTTGGCCGGTAATTTCCGCTACTGTTTTCACCCCTACCCCTATCACATCTACTATATTAGCTCATGCTCACTCACTCTTTACCTCAGACGTGAATACTTTGACGTAATCTCAAGTGTGACTTTGTGTCACTGATATGTGGATCCGACGTACCTTAGAGAAATAGAACCTATGTCTAAACGTTGGGCACAGGAAGTGTTTGTTTTCATTTTAGCTCTTTTACACCATTTGCATGTACCCTTCCAAAAACTCATCTTAGCAAAAGAGGTGTTTATTTTACAAATACACTATAACGGAAGCATAGAATTCAGCCAAAACTTCTAAACCGTACATCTATAGCTTTAACCCGTTTACTTTACACGACTTATCCTTAATCAGGTTGGCTTTGAATTTATATAGCCTCGGCGATGGAACCACTACCCGACAACCCCGCATAACAGCCCTAGCTTATCGGTGAATCGCAATAGAATTATGATGATATCAAAGGGAATAAAAATAAAAGTTTCAGTGTAGTTAAATTTACTCGAATCTAAATTATGTGCAGTTCGATCATCATAATTTTTTTCAAAACAAAAAACATGGGACCCGCCTATCATCCACTCTGCCTCCCTTTGCCATCCTTCTTTCTTATTTCTATCGACCTACCAATTCGATAGAAAAAACGTAATTTCTCCGTCTCTCTCTCTCTTAAAAGGTTCAATCCAAATTATGAATTTTGATAATTTAGACATACATATATCCAGATTAATAGTTAGTATTAAACTTTTCACGGGACGGAGGATGTAGATATTCAGATCTCTAACATCAAATGATATAATAGTACTTGGTTCATTAAATGGAGTACCAGTACAGAACGAAAATTTTGATGGATTTTATTGCCGGAAATGAGGACCTCGCTTGGAAAATAAATGATTGACATGGGCAACCAAGCATGGGCACACACATGCGTATGTCACCATGTGAAAAGTGAAAGCCATGGAGCAACTCATACACACAAGCTAATAAGCTATACCTCGGCGACGGTGGGGAGCTGCAGGCCGAGCTGGCGTGCGAGCCCGGCGGCGCCGCGGAGCCGCGCGCCGGCGCCGCAGACGGGGACCTCGGCGAAGTCCGACTCCGGCAGCGCCTCGGAGATGAACCCCGCCCGGAACTCGACGGTGCCCTGGTCGGGGTGGGCGACGATGGTGGTGATGGAGACCCAGACGAAGAACTTCTGCGCCTGGATCCCGGAGAGCCCCGTGATGGTGCCGTACGCGATCCGGCCGCGGATGGCGTCCTCGAAGTAGGCGAGGTGGGAGCCGAACCAGATGTAGCAGGTGCTCGTCAGCCGGATCTCGAAGTCCCCCGTGTCGTTGTCGAAGGTGTAGGACGCGATCGTCTCCGGGATCAGCCCCCGCGGGAGGCCGTACTCCGGGAGGAGGTCGTTCGCTATGCCGTGGAGCGGCGCGGCCGAGGCGGTGGCGGAGGTGGCGCAGGTGGCGCCGACGGCGGCGGCGAGGAGGAGGATGGTGGTGAGAGGAGACATGGCCATGGCTTTTTTGGGGGGTTTGGGTTTCTGTGGGTTGTGTCACCTTTTCTATCTCCTATGTGTGTTGGCGTGCTAGTGTTAGGGGCTAGGGGGTTGCTTTTAAATGGGAGGATTTAACTGTTTACAGTTTAATAATTGTGACTGTAATTTTTTTATTTGGCAATAAGAATAAATGTCATCTAATAGTTTGTCGCTTTGTCTTTGTATGTAGGTTATACCTTGAGAGAATTCGGTTCGGATCACACTTTACCCTCCAAGACAGCCCCCGCTGTATCCCTAAAATGACATCTATTTCTTATAATTTTTTTCCTACAAAAAGTATTTTCTGTTCATGTTTTTCCTAAGTTGGCAAAATGCATCATATTGTACTTCTGAAACATTTTCATAATTTGAAGCGACTATCTACCAAGGTTATAAATATGTAAGACTGATAGTAAAAATAAGTACTAAACAAGACCGACTTGGATTCCACGACACGGAACCACTATATAGATAGTTATACCTTGAGAGAATTCAGTCGGATCACTTTACCCTTTGAGGCAACCTGCTTTATCCCTAAAATGATGTCTGTTTCTTGTAAATTTTTTTCTACAAAAGTATTTTCTGTTCATAGTTTTTCTTAAGTTGGCAAAATGTATCATATTGTACTTCTAAAACATTTTCAGATTTGAAGTAACTATATCTACCAAGATTATAAGTATGTAAGGCTGGTGATAAAAATAAGTAATAGACAAGACCCACTTGGATTCCATGGTATGGAACCACTATATAAATATCATCACGAAAATTTCAAGACAGTCTAAATCATAATCATTTTCTTTCTGTGTATGATGTTGTTGAGTTCTGTACATGTTTGACCATTCGATGTGTCGGCAATTTTCTGAGCGCGATTCGCAGGTCAGACAGGGAAACTTAAGTCACAACCATCCATTCGATCATTGTCATGATATCAGTAATTATCCTCACATCGATCGATCTCAACTCCCTGTAATGAATGGACCAGAGATGGAACGGAATTGTATTGATTTGAAGCATTAGAGGCGACAGCGACGAATAGCCGAATTGGTTGGCTTTAATTTGGTCGCCCCAATTAATCCCAGTTGGCAGCTTGAACGCTGACACTGACGGCCACCTGCTCAAGCAGCTACGTATACGTGTATCATGTAATTGCGCCATTGTGTGTGCGCGCGGCGCAGTACGGGTGGTAGCCAACGATAGATCGAACGACCGCGTATTCATGACCTTCGGTCGCGGAGGGCCTCAGTGATTTGGGTGTCGAGTCTTATCGTGTGTCGCGTGGGTGTATTGTAATAAGTAACAGGTCGTTGGTAGTAGTTAGTTTATGAGAATTTGAAAAATTGAAAAACCTAGCTTCTTGAATTTAATTTTTATAAGATTATGTGACAATAGCTTCCTTTTTTAATAATGGAAATGGATTACATCTCCGGTTTCTGTCATAAGACAAACAACCGTAAGTTTAATAGTAATAAAAAGGTAAGATAAAAGTAAATCAAAATGAGAAATAAGGTTATGGGACAAATCCCCAACTCCCCTTTATTATTGACTAGCGTTAAATCACATAAAATATTTTAGCTAGCAATTCTTATGGAACTACGCCACCCATAGTGGAATAAGAGACCCTTGGCTACCAATTTCAAGAGTGTAGCACTATTGCGCATAGTATCCTGCTCCTCCTGTGGTAGCATTGTAGACCAGAAGTGGAGCCAGTAGGAAGACATGAAGATAACCTACATAGGGTTAGATAATTATTTACCATTAAAAACTTTATCATTGCGACAACGCCAAATTGACCAACATACAACACTAGCTCCAATTAGAATCATCTTCTTAATGGACCTAGATACCCTTCTAAGCCAATTACCGAAAATGTTTTTGACAATACAGGGTGGGGGATATTAAAAGCAAAAAAACACACATCTCCAAACAAACTGAGCGACATGACAATCAAAGAAAAGATGTTGGATTATCTCTTGTGCATAGCAGAAAGAATAATGTTTGTCTCCCCTATTTTCTTTTAGCCAGGTTATCTTTCGTTAGAATTACTTTCTTGTGAAGAAACCACGTAAAAACCTTAATCTTTAGTGGAATTTTCAAGTCCCACAGAATTCTCTTTTTATCCGAACATTACAGTTCATGATCGCGGCATATATAGATTTGACGGAAAATTGACCATTCTTATGGAGCGACCATACAAAGCAGTCCTTTTCATTTGACAGAGTTATATTAGCTAGCCTGAGGATCACATCGTTCCACTCGATTAGCTTGACAATAGCTTCTTATAATCTAAATAAAATCTAAACTATTTAAAAGAGCTTTTGATTTAGGGAAAAATTGTAGTGGTTAGAAACTTCTCCAGACAGGCTTTAGATCAGATAGATACATGTGTCCTTCCTTGGGCTAAGCCTCGTGTTGTTAATATCCATCGATCCATGATCATTCCACGGCCAACGATTACGATAGATCGATGCATTCATGCGGAGTAAAGGTCGATTGACTCGTTAAAATTTTTTACTGAAAACACACATACCAAAATTTGATCATAAGGTAGATAGTCATCCCAAAGTATGATGTGCATTTGTTTCATGCTATTGCATTCCATGGCCATTATTCTCATTGCTTAGAGCATATCCAAAAGCCTTGATAATTTGACTCATCAAATGCCCATATAGCTAACCAGCCAAAGAAATCCCTCTCTATATTTCCTTTGCATAAAAGAAGACATCCTATTTAGACTCTTCAAATGATAGACTGGCGATATGACCCACGTATTAGTCTTATCTCCTTCTTCCTCCCCTAGATCATGCCCTCACCACTATCTTCTCCAAAGCAACAACAGGGATGAGGAGTGAGAGGAGGCACAACGCCATGGCGAATTAAAGGACGATACCATGGCGAGGGAAGGTTGAGGTCAAGATCATGGGGAGACAATGGGGAAGCAGCGCCTAGCGAGCTCACTTAGAGACAGCAGGGAGGCGGGTGAGCTCGTGCGTGGAGGCGCACCAAGCTCGGGCAAAGACAATAAGGAGGTGACAAGATTTTTATTTAAGATGGTTTAGAGGTCCAAATGATCTTCGATGAAGAAAAACTATATATCAAAGTGATAGAGCTCAACAAGATCTACAATTTTATATTTAATCATTTTTTATTTTAAAATTATTTAGGATGTCAAATAAGCCTTACTACTTTTTTAGCAATAAAACCCCATAGAATATTTACGTTTAGGCCCTTCCTTTCTCTAGAAGGATCGGTTTTTAGAAACCAACCTGCCAAGGAAGGAGTAGTATATTTCTAAAAATTTTAAAAATAATAATATGTTTTATTTTTTAAAAAAATGAATATATATAAATTAAAAGAATTGTGGAAGTGTGTCTGAATCCCCCATCCCGTCGACTGAAATGGACCCAAGCGAGTAGTTCTTATCATTAGGGTTGGGAATAAGTCTATTTTGTTTCTCTCATCTCTTACCTTCGATCAAATTGCATCTCTCAACTGTAAAACTGGGTATAAGGCCTCCACTAACTTCGAAAACTAGTGCAAATCAACTCCTTCAATGGTTTGGAAAGTGGTTTTTGCTAACGTAGCATGTTCCACAATCAAACTTGCTAAGTCAGTGCATGGCCCCTAAATGTTAGTGAAATGTGGCAAGCATATGTGGTGGGGCCCACATGTAAATTGCATCCCTTTTCTGCTTCCCATCTCTCCCTCTCTCTCCTCTCTTCCTTTCTCTCTTCTCGCAAGCCGTAGCAGAAGCAGCACCGACGGTGTGACCGGGAAGGAGCCACCGAGGAGACCCGTGGCAGGCAGCGACGAAGATGGCATTGAGCAAGCCTTCCCCAGTAGTGTCATTGTTGTCGTGGCAGGACGGTCATGCGCTGTGATGGCAGCAACGCTCGGCCACAAACCTAGCAGCAGTGAGCTCTTTACCGCGGGTGTCACAGGGGATCGACGACCACCTAGAGTAGGGGGCACAGCAACGCTGCCAGCCCGTCGTCACGCCCAACACCCACTGGCACCTTTGCGACGGGACGTCAGTGTCGCCTAGATCAGGCCTCCTCCACTAGATCGCTGCCACCCTTGGGCACCTATCTCCGCTGTGTCCACGGCCAACCTCGTCGGCCCAGTGTCACGCGTTTTGGCATCCAGCCTCATAGACGCCCCTTTGACCTCAACTCCAATACATGGACTTCTTTGACCACACCGCGATAGGGGGGCATGTCCTCCCCGTTGTTAGGCTGCCAGGCCCTCGTCGTCGATAGGAATCCACCGCACCGCCTCCACAATGTTCAGCACGACCACTACCTCACCTCGACCACCACACCGTCCCAGCTTCGCCCGACGGCCGCCGTTGTTGTTTCCTTTCTGCCGGCTTCCCTATTAATGTGTCAGATCGGCCATCCATGTCCCGTCCTCCTCTAGTCTGCCTCAACAGCACCCTCTCGCCGAAGATCAGGGCGACAAGCACCCATAACCATTGTCCTCTCCAATAGCCGCTCCTTGCACTCCACCTAGCCGTCGCTGACCTCTCGCCGTGCTCCGTCGGGAAAAAAGAGGAGGGAGAGAAGAGGAAAGGAGAGAAAGAGGGAATGACACATGGGCCCGCTATAATTTATTAGTTTTTCGATTAAGAGACCTGCTGACTTAGCGAGTCAAAAGTGGTCAATCTGCTATGTCAGCAAAAACCGCTTCTTAAATCACTGGAGGAGTCAATCCTATCTTCCTATATAGTTGGTACCCACTAAGAGGCATTTACTCCTATAAATCAAGACATGTAAGAAGCCACATCATCAATAATTTTAAGCCATTATATCATATTAGTATAAAGATAATAACCATTGTATCAAGAAGCTACTTATTCATCCAATTCAATTATTTATTAGTTATCCATTCACCTCTCTTTGCTCTACCTCACTGTCACACATAGCACTGTTACATATGTTGTGCATAACACCATGTTTTCTGAATACAACTCAAATTATTGTTTAATATGTGTGATAAGATAACATATAATTATTAGGTATCGTTACCTGAATCTATTTTCAGAAAGAACTTGAGTGAAGTAGAGAAATGCAAATTGTCTAACTATAATGAAACCTATATTACGTATGAAAATAATATTCATATATTATAACAATACACAATAACGCTTGGAAAAATAAAACATGAATTATATTGTAATAACATAAGACATATATAAATCCACGCAATCATATATTTTGTATATACATAGAGTTGCACCTAACCATTTAAAACTATGGTATTGTTTGATGATAAAATTACAAAACCCGCGGCAAAGACACGGGGTGCCAACTAGTTTATACTGATTTTATACCCGTTTTGTGGTTGAGGGAGACGAAGAGCAAGATGTGAGGATGCAAAATAGACTTATGCCTGGGTTGAGCAAAAGAAAAGCCACTTCAGGCCTGAGAAAAGAAAGCTTCTTGGGTCTAGAATTTTGGGCTCAGTTTCTGGTCGTGCCATCGGATAGATTAGTTACGAAACCACCAGCCTTGTACGGAAGACTATTAGTTAGGCAAAAACTTAAATTTGAAATGCGTGAATTGGGCCGGAACATATTTATCGGTATATCTATATACCTAATTAAAAAATTTGTAAGGTTTCCATGAATTTTTTTCGTCCGTTGTCCCGATTCCGATCCGACCATTCGCGAGATCGCATCGCGTGGCCGAACATATCCGCCTCACTTCCGTCCCATACGAATGTACAGATCAAACATGTTCCCCTTGAACTAGAGGTCAAATCGTACAGAAAAGAGAGAATAAATCACAAAATCACAACTCCACTTAATCACAAAATCACAAATCCAACAACAATGAATCAAAATCATGCAGGAAAATTAAATCACAAAAAACTAAATCACTGGCACCACTACTCATTGGAGCCGAGGATGCCGCTGCCCCCGAGGTCGTGGTGGTTGGCGCGTGTGCCGCCGCCGTGCGCCATGAGGAGGGTGCCGCCGCCGAGGGGTTCCCATGAAGAAGGTGCCGCCGTTGTGCCGGAGAAGAAGGTGATGCCAAAGAAGGTGATGCCGCCGAGGAGAGAACGCCGCCCGCCGGGGAAAGGACATTGCCGGCCAGGAGGAGGGTGGTGCGAGGCACCGCGGCTGAGGCGGCGCCCGCCTTGGGAGCGCGCCGCAGCTAAGGCGCAAGTTTCCAAGGGCAGGATGCCGCCCGCCGGGGAAAGGACGCCGCCGGGCCGGTGAGGGCACCCTGGCTGAGGGGTAGGGGTAGCAGCATCGCCGTGGGGGGAGGAGGAGGAGGAGCAGCGTCGCTGGTTTGGGGAGAGGGAAGGCGTCGCCGCTTAGGGAGAGGGAAGGCAGAGAAGGAGAGAAGGAGATATGGCGGGCGGGCGGAGCAGATACAGCGAGAGGAAAGAGAGAGGGAGGATAAGGTCAGGCGGAAGAAACGAGGCGCGTGGGGGCGGAAGAAACGAGGGTGCGCATGCGACCGCCCTCCGCTGATGAGCGTTTTTTTCTTTAAAAAAACTTACGGTTTTTTTGTTTGGTCCGTCTTTTTTTATCGTTGTTTTTTTATCGGTTTTTCCCTTTTTTTCTCACCGTTTATTTTCCGATTGGATTAATCATTTTTATCTTTTTTAATCGGTTTTTTATTTATTTTTTGCTTTTTTTAATCGGATTTTTCTTGCGCACGCCGGTTTTTTGTTAGATTTTCTTTTTATCTATTCCAATCCGAACCCATATCCATATGTCTTTCCCTGCATTTCCTCCTTTAATTAATGGCAAAAACGATTCCCAACTCCTTATTTTCCCTGTAATTTTCCCTTTCAATTCGTTTTTAGTTTGTCGAATTTAATCTACATTTACCAGTTATATTCATATAATGTAATTAATCATGGAGAATTTAATAAAAATTAATTTTATTACTTGGGAAATTTTATTACCCACTTTTACCTTGATTTTCATGATCCTTTCTTTTCCTCAATATCATATGTAATTGCGATTTTATATGTAGCGGGGATGAAATAAATATAAATATATGTAGTTTATTTATAGTAAAGATGCTGAAATTTGTATTTTAATTAATTACGTAATGTAAATCTTTCTCGGTTTTTTCTTAATTTTCTCATGTTGTATTCCCGTTGCAACGCACGGGCATTTCTTCTAGTTGAGACAAAATGATCTGAAATCGCCTGAGATTATCATAGAAATTTGGAGTATTTCGCAAGTTAAAAAATCTGTTCTTTACTTTTTCATGTTTTTAGACTGCGATTAGGTAGTTTTTGAAGCACAAATACTAACTCAACACCACTTATGCTGCATATGATAATGTGTGACCATATTTCTTTTCCCTTTCTGATGTTGGAACCACTACCTTTTCATGTGAGGTGGTACAGTGCTTCCAGGTTCATATTCTACCCTACTGATGTATAAATGAAGCAGCGGATATTCACCATAAATCCTGCACAAGTTCGAAGTACACCTAAACCTACTCTTTCACAGGAAAATTAGTGATATTTACTAAAATCTAGAATCATGATTAGCAACAGCAGAGGCCACTGGAACTCATGCAATGATATACAGATCTACATGTGCCATTGCCTCTGTCCATGTTACTTGTGTGCAATTCCACGTGCTCAGATGATGGTGCTTCTACACAGGGGCTAATTTGGCTACCTCTCAATAACCAAATTTTGGTTAGCATGTTCTAGTAAGCTTCATGTTCAGGCCCCATGTGTCATCAGTGGCTTATATTGTGTGTAATCTATCCCATTCAACCTAACACAGCATAAAATCTGCTCAGGCAATTCTTCAGCTTTATTTCCCTACATAACAAGCAAAAGGAAAATTAATTAATCCAACTTTTATTATAGCAAAGAAAATGGTTGTGGTCGCTGTTGTAAGCACATACCTGAATGGTTAGACCAACATCTAGCATGCATATTTTTAGCCTGTCCAAAAATGTTTCGAAACCTTTCCTTGAGATGTAGCTAAACCTATGCATGTCAATGTCAACCTCAAAGTAGTTGTCACCCTGCAAATAGACATAAGATGCAAACATTGCTTGAGGAAGTCATAAAGTTAAAAGTAGTAAAAGATCACAAGGTGGTTATGATGAGAACATTGCATCTACTTCTCTAATAATGACATAGTAGCTGATGTATGTGGACGCATGCTACAAAAGTATACATTAGATTCTAAAAATAAACACAACTAACCAGGTAAAACTCGTGTTGAGGTCTAGAAAGCACAGGCTTCTCATTGTATGCATGCATTAGCTTCCTTTCTGCCGCACTTAAAGGAAGGTCCTCCAGATTTGCCACCCGGCCAAGTATCTTTAGCCGTTCTCGAAATGGTATGGTTGTTTCCATCGGAAACGCTTTCACCTTTTCTACATGATCATCAACTAATTTCTGTTTGGGAAGTCAAAGGAAAAAAATAGAAGTTACAGAATTGTTGACTTATAACAATAATCAGCAAAGGTGACTGTGTTTAGACAGTAATAAAACAAATGAATGTTGATAAAAGAAAAGGTGACTGTTGACAGATCATCAATCACAAATCACACAAGAGAATAATGTGTATTAATAATGTAATGTTAACTAACCAAGGCCAATGATGAAAACAAATACAACTCCTAATTAGACTACTCCTGAAACCACAGAATGTCCAACCTGAGTTGTCAGACGGTAAAGCATGAAAATTTTTGGTATGCATCTTTTTGTCTGTCAACTATTTACTATATATACCTAAGACATTGGCCCTTGATCTTCAATCTACAAGAAAATGGTATTTTTAACATCCCATCCTACAGTCAAGTGACTGCCTTTCTTTTGTTACCAGCCCAATATTCCCAGGATTAAAAATGTAGCGTGAAAACCCCACTACATTAAATGGACCCTTGCAATGAGGTACTCTCTACTATAGTTCGTACTAGCCTGGATGATATAATTATTATATCAAGTATAAACTTTATATTTTATTCACTTCAAAAAATGGAGAATCTGGTCTCTATATCATCATTTTGAAACTTTTACGGCGCACATAAAATGGCTAGGAAAATCGGCAATCGTCATAGTGACAGACCTTCCTAATATGCACAGAAAGGTATATACAGCATTAGAATAACCATTGTAACTATGAAAAGAAAGTAGCACAGAAAGAATAAGTGAAAGAAACATTGTAACTATCAAAATCTTACTCTGATATTCTCTATAAATGATGGGGGTAGTTCTTTTGAGTAAGCATCGGAGAGCCTAAAATACAAAACAAAGCTCATCCCTTCTCCATCGATTTCATTTTGAAATAATGAGGCAGGATATAGTGGAACCTGTGAGAAACACATAAAAAATGAAGTCAAACCACTGAATGATAAGACACAACTATCAAGAGCATAGAATGTTTGCATGTGAAAAGGAAATATACAGTGGTTAACTGGCTAACAAGAAACTCAAATTCAGCTGTAATATTCAAAATTTTCATAACTTGAATCCTGCTGCAAGGTCATAGGAAAAATAACTTTCCTACATGTCAAGTGGATATATCCTATTCCTTCATAATAGTATCCATATCTAGAAAAAAATATCTATAATGAACACACAGGTGTCACCATACCAGCTACTACAAACTTAGGGGTCATATGAGCAATTAATTGTGAGTTCCTTTTAGAACAGATATTCGTCTTAAAAATAATGGTGTTTATACAGGACATTGCAGTTGTCAGATACGGTGATTTCTATCATTTGGAATAATACTATTTAATTATGTGAAATTGCAAAGCTTCAAAAAGAAAAGTTCATGACCCTCAAGCATGCAGACTGATAGTTACATCTTTAAAAGAGTTGCTGCATATGGTTATTACAAGCAGAGCAGCACAATGCTACAAAAAGAATTCCATGCAAAATTTTCAACCTGATCAAGTGTGTGTCATTGTACCAACAAGAAGTTATTTAGAAGAGGTTATAAAATAAAAACTAGAGATGTTTTATGATGCTTGGATGGTACTAGAGGTAACTTATTCACTTAGAAGTGAGCAATGGATGATGTTCCACTAATAAGTGGAATGTACCTGTAGAACCTTACCAGCAGAGAACATCTCAAAAGTCTAAAATTGGGGTAACTCACCTGTACATTGACCACCAAAAGTGGTGGGAGTTTACTGGAGATTTGAACATCGGGAAGTTGAACATATCGGGATATATGGTTGAGTTTTTGCGGTGACAAGTATACATCAACTCCAAATGGGTAGTACGCTGCATAATTTGGAGCAAGCTCTTTCTTTTTATCCCTGATTTTTTTTTCAAAGGTAAGATCACTTGCTTTCCATAATCATCCAGTACTTTCAAAAGGAACATGTACAATGGACTGAATATGATGGTAATATGCTTGAAACAAATCCTGAGAATAATGCTTACCTAAAATAGTTTGACCCACGGACTCGGAAAGTGCCAGGATCAATATGAGACCAGCTGTTCAGTATTTTCTTTTCCAGTAAGCATAACTGAACTTGAGAACCTGCTAGAGGCCTTTCAAGGAAATCCTTTGTAGACACTGATCAAAAGAGAAGAACTGGTATTACTTAATAGTTTTTATTAAGCCAAAATTTCATATTTTCCTACATTGTGTATAAAGCAAGAAAAAAATCCCAGCCGAACTGCACTAACATGTGAATGTTAACATTTTGTTTTCTTACACTTTTATCCCAAGCATTAATATATGCCTCACCCCAAAAGCCCACCGCACACAAACTTTGAAGACAAAACATAAGAAAAAGACCAAGATGTCTCCCACCTCATAATATGGGGTAAACTGACTGACAAATTTTAATTACCAAGCACCATAAAATTGAGGATCATCAAGATGGAAAGAAGCTGATATGAAGTGTAATCCAGTACTTGAGGAAAGTGCCTAAAACACAGAGGCCAAGGAAGAAATGCTTACATAGTGTGGAAGAAGGATGAGCTTCTCCAGACTTCTTCTTGAATGAGAGCTTTAAGGAGGGCATCTTCATGGAATGAGTTGGGCTTGTGGAAAGTGGTCTCTTCTTCTCATTTACACCAACAGCGGAGGCAATACAAGGCAAACAATTGTTTGGCAGGAGGCCACAGTCGTCCAGTATCCTTCCTCCACCGCCGTGTGCACTATCCTCAGCTGAAACACTTGCCACATCCTCATGGCTCACAGAGGACCGCACACCATTCTCCAAATTCCCCCTTGACAGCTCGCTGGACCTCGGCTTTCTGTAGTGCTGCTCCGATGAATGTGAGCTTCCGTTGAAGCTCCCCCCATTGGCATCTCTCGTGCTCAATGCCGCATCGTTCTCGAACCCATTCAACGAAAAAGCATCTGCAGAGTCAACAAGAGCTCAAAAGGTTCAACGATCTTCAATTGAACCGCACCGGGGGAGGCTTGGGGGTAGGGTACTACTACCCTACAGCCTACACATCCTACTACATTGTGTGGGCATCACGCGTTACCATCTTGCACGCTGTGGAAATCGTCCTCCCCGTCCGACTCGCTCATGGCAAACGAGTCGTACCATGCCTCCTCGATGCTCCCGGAAACTGCAGCAAGAAAGTTCCCAAATCTGCGTCAGGTCAAACCGGACTAGCAAAGTACTACCACCACATTGCTACGCATCCGCATTCATTGGCGCGGAAAACAATAATTGTACCACCCAGAAGACTAATTGCAACGCCCACTGATCGTCCCGCACTAGTAGAACAGAACAAGGTAAAATTCACCGAAGCAATTAAAAAAAATTCATCAGTTGTTGGTAGATGCGCACGGCGACCTCTAGAACGCCGTAGTTTAATCGCCTGGAAGGCGCAATCTCACGCGGGCACGCACCCGAGAATGGTCCCCCAGGATCAAATCTAATTCCCCCAAACGGAGCAGAAGCAAAAGGAAATCCGGAGAAAAGCAATTCGCCCACCCATCCCAATCCCAATCCCAATCCCAATCCCAAGCCAAGCACGCAGCCCCACCCAACCTTGGAACGCGGGGTTGCTGTAGGTCCGGTGATCCCCGGCGGCACCGGAGGAGGCGGCGGCGGAGGCGACCGGCGGAGGCGGGGAGCCAGGCACGACGTCACCCTCCTGGATGGTCTCCATCGACGCGGCCCGCGACGGGGCCTTCCTCCGGCCGGACTTCCCCCTCCGCCTCCGCCGCCTCGCTCCCCCGCCCGCCCGCGCCGCCTCCCCCGACCGCGGCGTGTGGGGCTTCCCCCCCACGCACGCGCTCGGCCGCGACACGCACGTCCCCATCCCCCCCCTCCCCCCCTCCTTCCCCTCCCGCGTGAGGTGAGGCGAGGTGAGGTCGCCGCCTGCTTGGAGATCGGGGACGGCGGCGGCCGCGGGGACGAGAGGAGGAGGAGGAGGAGGAGGAGGCGGCGGCGGTTGGTCGCGTGAGGTCGCAAGCTTTTTGTGGAGGTGGAGGTGGTGGCGATGGCTGCGTCGCGGTGGCGTTGCGTTGCGGTGCGGCGCGGCGCGGCGCGTGGGGCGTTGGCTTTGGGCTGGGCTTTTGTTTCCCACACGAGTGGGTTGGATGGTGGACGCGGTGTATGGTGGGCGACGGCTCGTGTCGCGACTTTTTTTCGGGTGGGGGTGGGGGGATGGGGGGTGGGGCCCGCGCTTTTCTGGTGAGGAGGAGGTGGGGTTGGGGGGTGCTGTGTGTGACTTGTTAGTTTGTGCGTGTCGTCTCGTGTCATGTCTGAACGTGAGAGATTAGCTAGCAGCTTATTATTACTCGGTTAACATCTCTCGTTTCATCACCATTTTAGTGGAGATTATTACCAAGCCTGTGTTCTTGTCCCACCTTTCTCAACTCATTTCTCTTGTTTTTTCACGCGCGCACTCCCAACCTATTAAACTGTGCATATTTTATAAAAAAAAATTATATAGAAAAGTTGCTTTAAAAAAATCATATTAATTTATTTTTTAAATTTACTTTAGCTAAGTATTGTATTAGAAATAGCTACTACATCTATAATAAAATATACAAATTTATAATACGATGAAGTATTTTCTAGTACTACGAATCTGAACGAAAAGGTAGCACGTTTTAGAATAGATCGAGGCGGTAGTAGAATCTATCATATGGAGATATGGAGAAAGTATTATAGATAACTACTGCAGAAATCTTTGACCATCCCCCATAATGGGAAGCTAATACCTTTCGTTCATAGTACGTCACCTTCTTGCAACCGCTTGAATGCTTTAACTTTCTACTAATAATGTGTTATTTCGTGGCCACAAATCATATATCCTTGCCACGAAAAAATCTCACGCGCGCTATGCAATTCTAAAACTCGCCTTTGACTTGTTGTAGTAGTACCATACTCCGTACATACATCAGCAATGCATAAAATCGTCAAACCATTATACCTACAGATCTGTTTTGTTTATCTAGCAAAAAAAAAAAAGAAAAAGAAACAGCCACAACGTGCGTGATAGTATTTCGTTGACCATTGACCAGTCTAGCTCGATAGCTAGGCATACTAGACTGGATGATGCAATGGAAAGTTCCAAGCCCTAGCTAGCTTCGCTGTGAAGTGATGGCTTAGCCACGTGCACGCGCACGTGCACCATGGCCGGTACGTGGTCCTGTCACGTAGGGGTAGTACGGGCCGACGGGGTACCCCTGATGTATCGTGCACCACAGAAGGGAGAACGGGGACGGATGTTGCGTCACATCCACGGGACAGTGGGAAACACGCATTATGCATCTGTCGTCTAGTAGTATTACGTCGACTATCATCGTATACGTTGCCCTCTTTTTTTTCTCCGTCTAAAAAAACTTAACCTAGAAGCAAGCAGATGTGATCCTTTTTAGATTGAGTGTTTTTACAGAGAAAGTAAAACTTAAGGTCCGGACAAAAAGAAAATGATAATTTTGTAGGAGGACAAATATATGCAATTAATATTATAAGTTATTTTAACTTTTTATCTGAATAGACTTTTTATGTTTATCAATATAGACAACACCAAGTTAGTTTAATTAAATGTAATATGTTTGATAAAATATTTGTTTATTTGGAAAAAAGCTCGTTTGGAAAAATGCTTGAAAGTTAATTTATGAGAAAGAAAATCTGATATTGTTAAGGCCACTTCGAACGTGTGGTATCTCTGATGAGAATTTAACAAATCATATGAATTCATGCGAAAAAAATTGTTAAGGCCACCCGTCTTGTTCACGTTACATCGTACTACAATTATAAGGTACTCCCTCGGTTCATAGGATAGAAACCTAAGATCGGATGGGATATTTTATGTCAAGATTCGTTGTACTATAAAATGTCCCATCTGTTTTAGGGACTTCCATATTATAGGACCGAGCGAGTCAAATCATACGCACATTATATTTTTTTCTTTTTTCCCCTACTACTATGTTTAGGTTGTGTTCGACACTCACGGTTGGGAATGGTTCCCTGCGGCAAAAAAACGGAGCAGTTCATTAGCACGTGATTAATTAAGTATTAGCTATTTTTTTAAAAAAATAGAACAATATGATTTTTTTTTAAATAACTTTTGTATAGAAACTTTTGAAAAAAACACACCGTTTTACAGTTTGAAAAGCGTGCGCGTGGAAAACGAGGGAGAGGGGTTGGGAACCCGGACAAACGAACTGAGAAGGAGCCTTCGTTTCCAGAGAGATTCAAAATAGAGCTTGACACTGAACTCGAAATAGCTCATCAACAATTTACCACACAATTTACATGCCAAGTGAGCTCATACATCGGACTGATTAAAGTTTTGAAGGCTGCTCCTGCTCCCTCACCTCAAAATCTGGCGACCTTCCTTTTTTTTTCGGGTGTACGTGGACGCGGTCCACGGAGCCGTCACCCGACGTCAGCCGAGTCACGGAAAAAGCCGGTAACTCTCACGCCGACGTCATCATTTCTTATGGGCAATACCAAAAAAAAACATTTACTATTTTTTTTTTGTATGTGTGTTCTTTTTCTCTTTTTGCACAGCTCCAGCCTCCAGGCAGGGTCCAAGGCATGATTGGTGGCTGATGCGTGTTGTTATCTCGTTTCGTTTCTGCTCGCTGACTCGCTTCCATTTCGTGCTGAGCTGCGTGTGAACTGCTCTATTTGTTTCATATTATAAATTATTTATGTTTTTCTAGTTCAAATTTATTAAAAATATAAAAAGATATTTTAAAAAAACAAACATATATATTCAATGCTAGATTTTATAAAACTAATTTGATATTTAGATGTTACTAAATTTTTCTATAAACTTAATCAAACTTAATAAAATTTGATAAAAAAAATCGAACAACTTATAATATAAAATAATAGAGTATTATATATTTATTTCTCGAGCAGCCTGGTTTGAACCGTTCTTGTTGAACATGGTCACTGTGCAGTGCAGTGCAGATCGATCAGTGCGTGGATGTAAACAGAGGAAGAAGATTTTGACATCGTTTCGTCAGCTCATGTGGCCATATGCATGGCCACGACAACTCGACGACCTAGCCTAAATTTGCACAGCGTGTCCTTCTCGAATGCTGCAGGAGCAATTGACTTACGGGTAATGCAGGGCTTGGTTGGTTTGGAGCCTATTTTTATCTCTACCAATAGTACCAAGAACTTTAATGGTATTAAATTTAAATTATTCTAGGATAAAATTTGGTAGTAAACCAAATATACATATCACTATTGAAATTATCAAAGATCTGGTAGGGCAAGTTTGCGTTTGGTAGCATTGGATTGGAAGAAAAATTAAAATTTACTCGTTCTCCACGCACTTACCGAAATACTAAACATTTTTTCAAAAGGAAAGTTGCTTGAAAAAATATATTAATCATTTTTTAAAATTTAAAATAATTAATCATTGTCAGGGTTATGGGTAAGGTATACCCTCTACCCTTCGATATACGTCACATATCGATATGGTACACTTGCGCGTATACGGACGTTTTCGGCATACGTTAAGGAAATTCATCACGGAGTTCACAGATGGAAGGAGTCCTAATTGGACAGAACTGGATCATCATTGTATCGTGCCGGGTCCGATGTCTCCGAGTCCTACTTGGAGACCAGTTGACCTGCGATATAAAAGGGACCCCCTAGGAGGACCTAAGGCATCGAATCTCATAGCCAACACATCCACCACAGCCTACGGAGTTGAAGCCTACAGGAGCCAAGTCGCCGGGAGATCTAATCGAACCTGTTCGATTATGATCTCGTCGGTATTATCGAGTTCCGCTATTCCCTTTGTAATCTGTGGTTTCCATCATATAATCCAATATCAACTGGATTAGGGCTATTACCTATCAAGGGGCCTGAACCAGTATAATCTTTGTTTTCTGTATGCTTGATGTCGTATTACGTAGATCCTCGTACCAGTGTACCCCAGTACCCTCTATATTCGGTCTACAGTTATCCCCGTCGACAGTGGCGCGCCAGGTAGGGGGACTTGGTGCTCAAGGTTCTACTACTATGTCATCTAGCTTCGTCGACAACAGCGTCAACACCAACCTCAACCAAGGAGTTCCTATTTCAACAATGCTGGTGTGGACTCAAGTCGGCGAAATCGTCTTCCCGGTTTACACCACGGTGCCGATCTCGGCTGGTCCATCAATGACCGGAAGCGAGAACGCAGTGGCTACAACCCAGGACGACTCCATGTCGAAGGATCCTCCCGCCAAAGCGGAGAATGGAACGTCGACGACATCCGAGCCCGAGAAGGATCCTAGTGCGGCCAAACCTTGTCTTTCCTACAAGAATCACGAGCCGATGAGGATGACTTCCGAGGTGACAAGGTCCTGGTGTCCTATCCATAAAACCAGAAAACACACCTTGCAAGCCTGTTGGGTTTTTCTCAACGTCTACGCTAAAATTCGTGCCTACAAAGAGTGTGGAATTCAGCGTACTTCTCCAACTCGTGATGTCTATTGTCCTATTCACAAGACAAAGAATCACGACCTCTCAAGCTTCAAGGTCTTTCTCAGCGCCATGAAGACGTCACCTCCTAAGGTCCAGCAGTCATGTATCCCCCTCAGGGATGAGGACAAGGAACAAGGAGCGACGCTGATCTCAGATCGATTCGTTGGGGTAATCGACATCGATCCCCACGAACCGTCAGTCCTGCACCTGCTCGAAGACTATGGCTCATCGTCAACAAGTACGCCACGCGAGGTATTGGCTATTGACGGGACCAGCACGTCAGCGCGCGCTAATGCGGAAGCAGAAAATCAAGTGACTACACCGGCCCAGCACATCAGGGCCATCAACGCAATACTGAGGGAAACCCCCTATGATCCCGTTCTGAATGACGATCTCGCACGGTGGATAGAACGGCTACGGGAATCAGTAACCAACCTCAGCAACGCGTTTGAAGAGGCCACTACTGCAGCGCACCCGGAACAGCCACCAACTGGCGGTGCTAATGGCGAAAACCCTGAATAGCGGGAATCGCCTCATCGAGCCACCCCTCCACCTCGTGGCACCGGCGATCTCCGCGATCACCTGAATGGCCGCCGAGAGGCGCGAGGCGCACGAGACAACGAGAACCGTTCCCGA